CAAAATGTCTGCCCTACTATCTGGTCAATACAAAATGTCTGCCCTACTATCTGGTCAATACAAAATGTCTGCCCACTAAGAGGTCAATACAAAATGTCTGCCCTACTATCTGGTCAATACAAAATGTCTGCCCTACTAAGAGGTCAATACAAAATGTCTGCCCTACTATCTGGTCAATACAAAATGTCTGCCTTACTAAGAGGTCAATACAAAATGTCTGCCCCACTATCTGGTCAATACAAAATGTCTGCCCTACTATCTGGTCAATACAAAATGTCTGCCCTACTATCTGGTGAATACAAAATGTCTGCCCCACTAAGACGTCAATACAAAATGTCTGCCCCACTAAGACGTCAATACAAAATGTCTGCCCTACTAAGAGTTCAAAACAAAATGTCTGCCCCACTATCTGGTCAATACAAAATGTCTGCCCTACTATCTGGTCAATACAAAATATCTGCCCTACTATCTGGTGAATACAAAATGTCTGCCCTACTAAGAGGTCAATACAAAATGTCTGCCCTACTATCTGGTCAATACAAAATATCTGCCCTACTATCTGGTCAATACAAAATGTCTGCCCACTAAGACGTCAATACAAAATGTCTGCCCTACTATCTGGTCAATACAAAATGTCTGCCCTACTATCTGGTCAATACAAAATGTCTGCCCTACTAAGAGGTCAATACAAAATGTCTGCCCCACTAAGAGGTCAATACAAAATGTCTGCCCTACTAAGAGTTCAAAACAAAATGTCTGCCCCACTATCTGGTCAATACAAAATGTCTGCCCTACTATCTGGTCAATACAAAATGTCTGCCCTACTGTCTGGTCAATACAAAATGTCTGCCCTACTATCTGGTCAAAACAAAATGTCTGCCCTACTATCTGGTCAATACAAAATGTCTGCCCACTAAGAGGTCAATACAAAATGTCTGCCCCACTATCTGGTCAATACAAAATATCTGCCCTACTATCTGGTCAATACAAAATGTCTGCCCTACTATCTGGTCAATACAAAATGTCTGCCCTACTATCTGGTCAATACAAAATGTCTGCCCCACTAAGAGGTAAATACAAAATGTCTGCCCCACTATCTGGTCAATACAAAATGTCTGCCTTACTAAGAGGTCAATACAAAATGTCTGCCCTACTATCTGGTCAATACAAAATGTCTGCCCTACTATCTGGTCAATACAAAATGTCTGCCTTACTAAGAGGTCAATACAAAATGTCTGCCCTACTATCTGGTCAATACAAAATGTCTGCCCTACTATCTGGTCAATACAAAATGTCTGCCTTACTAAGAGGTCAATACAAAATGTCTGCCCTACTATCTGGTCAATACAAAATGTCTGCCCTACTATCTGGTCAATACAAAATGTCTGCCTTACTAAGAGGTCAATACAAAATGTCTGCCCTACTATCTGGTCAATACAAAATGTCTGCCTTACTAAGAGGTCAATACAAAATGTCTGCCCTACTATCTGGTCAATACAAAATGTCTGCCCTACTATCTGGTCAATACAAAATGTCTGCCTTACTAAGAGGTCAATACAAAATGTCTGCCCTACTATCTGGTCAATACAAAATGTCTGCCCACTAAGAGGTCAATACAAAATGTCTGCCCCACTATCTGGTCAATACAAAATGTCTGCCTTACTAAGAGGTCAATACAAAATGTCTGCCCTACTATCTGGTCAATACAAAATGTCTGCCCTACTAAGAGGTCAATACAAAATGTCTGCCTTACTAAGAGGTCAATACAAAATGTCTGCCCCACTATCTGGTCAATACAAAATGTCTGCCCTACTATCTGGTCAATACAAAATGTCTGCCCTACTATCTGGTCAATACAAAATGTCTGCCCCACTAAGACGTCAATACAAAATGTCTGCCCCACTAAGACGTCAATACAAAATGTCTGCCCCACTAAGACGTCAATACAAAATGTCTGCCCCACTAAGAGGTCAATACAAAATGTCTGCCACCTCCCGTAAGTACCCTGCAGGATTCATGTGAGGTCTTGTTTGGCTAAGCAAACTTGAAAAAGCAAGGTCGAGGACGTTTGATGAATGCGAGTAGTCAATCAACACCAGCCAGTGACTCAAGCTCTCCGATCTAACGACTGTGAAAAAAACTTAGCTGTAGAGAACCGCGATCTATAACCCTAAATTTAATTCTAAACATAACCCTAACCCCAACCAAACACAGCCACAAACATCAATATGAAACTTCTCCCCTCCTCGCCCTTCCACGTCTAAATAAACAACCAGGTCAAATATCAACTTTAACCCTGGGTCAATCCGTTGGTCAAACATAAACACAAACATAACCATCAACTCAAACAAAAACAAACAATAAACACAAACACAAACATAAATACAAACATCAACATAAACATAAACACAAACATAAACACAAACATAAACGCAAACACAAACATAAACACAAACAAAAGCACAAACACAAACATAAATACAAACATCAACACAAACATAAACACAAACATAAACGCAAACACAAACATAAACATAAACACAAACATAAAAGCAAACACAAACATAAACACAAACATAAGCACAAACATAAACATAAACCTTAACCCTCACCACAATCTCAACCACAAACAAAAACATAAACTCTCTCTCTCCTTTCCACACTTCTTTGCCTCAAAACATAACCACATAACAGATTAGGCTAAAGTGTATGTTTTAACTTGTACCATTAACCAAATGTTTGACCGTAGGTTAAAGTTCATGTTTGACTCGTATAATTAAGAACGAATAGACCTTAGTTTAAAGTTGATGACTGACCTGATACAATTACCCAACGGATAGACCCTAGGTTAGATGACTGACCTGATACAATTACCCAACGAATAGACCCTAGTTTAAAGTTGATGACTGACCTGATACAATTACCCAACGAATAGACCCTAGGTTAGATGACTGACCTGATACAAATAACCAACGGATAGACCCTAGTTTAAAGTTGATGACTGACCTGATACAATTACCCAACGAATAAACCCTAGGTTAGATGACTGACCTGATACAATTACCCAACGAATAGACCCTAGGTTAGATGACTCACCTGATACAATTACCCAACGAATAGACCCTAGTTTAAAGTTGATGACTGACCTGATAAAATTACCCAACGAATAGACCCTAGGTTAGATGACTGACCTGATACAATTACCCAACGGATAGACCCTAGTTTAAAGTTGATGACTGACCTGATACAATTACCCAACGAATAAACCCTAGGTTAGATGACTGACCTCATACAATTACCCAACGAATAGACCCTAGGTTAGATGACTGACCTGATACAATTACCCAACGAATAGACCCTAGGTTAGATGACTGACCTGGTACAATTACACAACGGATAGACCCTAGTTGATGACTGACCTGATACAATTACCCAACGAATAGACCCTAGGTTAAATGACTGACCTGATACAATTACCCAACGGATAGACCCTAGTTTAAAGTTGATGACTGACCTGATAAAATTACCCAACGAATAGACCCTAGTTTAAAGTTGATGACTGACCTGGTAAAATTACCCAACGAATAGACCCTAGTTTAAAGTTGATGACTGACCTGATACAATTACCCAACGAAAAACCCTAGGTTAGATGACTGACCTGATACAATTACCCAACGAATAGACCCTAGGCTAGATGACTGACCTGGTACAATTACCCAACGGATAGACCCTAGGTTAGATGTATGGCCTGGTACAATTACCCAACGAATAGACCCTAGGTTAGATGACTGACCAGATACAATTACCCAACGAATAGGGTAAACGGAAAAAAAGTCACAGGAAAAAAAAACACAGAAAAAAGTCACAGTTTTTGCTAGGAAAAAAAGTCACAGAAAAAAAGTCACAGTGGAAAAATTTTATCAGAAAAAAAGTCACAGAAATAAAGTCACAGAAAAAAAGTCACAAAAATCTTTTTAGAAATATTTTGATTTTTTTGTATGTTTATTGTTGTGGGTTGTATTTTTGATAGCATAAATTATTTATAGACGTTAAAAGCATTATGGTTTATAACAATTGTAAGTAAAAAATACTCTAAGATAATTTACACAACAATCAACTTTTGCTACGTATTTAGTTAAATACGCGGTAGAAAAGTTAATAAAAGAAATTTAGGCAAGTTTTGCCGTAGGCTATTCTCTGGTCGGCCTCTCCTCAGTAGGCATTGTCCGAACATATTTTGTGTTGTTGACGTTATGCGTCAATGACAGCCTTTGAACCTTGTCGGCTTTCTGTTTGATCCTAAGTTTTGTTATGTAATGAGCGTGATAAATGTGGGCAGTAAGGGTGGTTGAACTAAATATAACTATTGTTGCCATGAGTTGAGGACAGCAAGTCAGATGAACTTACCATTTCACGGTAATTTAATGTTGGTATTTAAAAAAACACGATGAAAACCGTGGACATTGGAGCATTCTATTAAATGCTACTAATCTTAAGTTTAAAATAATTACAATCTACATACTTCTTACTAAATATTTTTAGATGAATTATAAAAATTACTATGCGTATACAGCCTACACACATTACATTAAATTTAATTAATCCTAAGTTAATTTGCACTCTCTAAATATTTAATACATAAAAGTATTACCAAATATCAAGTAAATATATATTTGTGACTTTTTTTCCTGTGACTTTTTTTCCTGTGACTTTTTTTCCTACAATCACGAATAGACCCTAGGTTAGATGACTGACCTGATACAATTACCCAACGAATAGACCCTAGGTTAGATGACTGACCTGATACAATTACCCAACGGATAGACCCTAGGTTAGATGTATGGCCTGATACAATTATCCAACGAATAGACCCTAGGTTGGGAAACTTGAGAAACGCCCCCATGAATAAGTAAACAAACCAGGCCTACATGTGACACTCCCACCGCCCCCCCCCCCCTCCCCACCCCTGCTGGTGTCAGACGACTAATCTTCCAGTGAAGTTGGGTTAGATCCCCTACATTTGTCGCACGCTAGCAACTCAGGTGAATTCTCCTCAAGTTTGCTAACCCTCAACTTTCAATCCATCGTGGGGTGCTGTCTGTGGATTTGTCTCCCTTGATGGAATGCAGACACTAGCGGTGGTTATAGTTCTTGGTGAGTACATTAGGTCGTAGCGCTCAATTTGCTACTTCAATTACAGTTTTCGTTAATTTTATATATATATATATATATATATATATAATATTTATATATATATATATGTATATATGTGTGTGTGTATGTTATGTGTAAACAGATATGTAGATGTAGATGTATTAGGAAGGTGTGGGTATGGCTAAGCGTTTAGATATTCTGTTTTATCAATAAGGTTTGGAACATGTTTAGGTATAAATGCAATTAAATATATTTATGTAAATACTTATGCTCTAAACTATTGCACGCATGACTGACCGCGAGACGTCATTGATATTTGTACTTTTATAAGCATAACACACATAGCACATAGCACATAAACCTACCACATAGCAGTACATCAGTCCACATACACTCAAAAATCAGCTTTGATACGCCTGACTTAGTGTGTCCTGTATTTTGGGCGGCTTTGACCTCTGATGAGTGATGACCTCTTGTCCGCTTTAATAGTGCTATCTTTTTCCTTCTTTCTTAGTGTGATCTTGTAGTTGATGTAGTTGTTTGTGTGTTTTTGTAGTTGTTGTCGTTGTTTGTGTGTTCTTGTAGTTGTTGTCGTTGTTTGTGTGGGTTCTTGTAGTTGTTTGTGTGTTCTTGTAGTTGTTTGTGTGTTCTTGTAGTTGTTGTCGTTGTTTGTGTGTTCTTGTAGTTGTTGTCGTTGTTTGTGTGTTCTTGTAGTTGTTGTCGTTGTTTGTGTGGGTTCTTGTAGTTGTTGTCGTTGTTTGTGTGTTCTTGTAGTTGTTGTCGTTGTTTGTGTGGGTTCTTGTAGTTGTGTGTGTGTTCTTGTAGTTGTTGTCGTTGTTTGTGTGTTCTTGTAGTTGTTTGTGTGTTCTTGTAGTTGTTTGTGTGTTCTTGTAGTTGTTGTCGTTGTTTGTGTGTTCTTGTAGTTGTTTGTGTGTTCTTGTAGTTGTTTGTGTGTTCTTGTAGTTGTTGTCGTTGTTTGTGTGTTCTTGTAGTTGTTGTCGTTGTTTGTGGGTTCTTGTAGTTGTTGTCGTTGTTTGTGTGTTCTTGTAGTTGTTTGTGTGTTCTTGTAGTTGTTTGTGTGTTCTTGTAGTTGTTGTCGTTGTTTGTGTGTTCTTGTAGTTGTTGTCGTTGTTTGTGGGTTCTTGTAGTTGTTGTCGTTGTTTGTGGGTTCTTGTAGTTGTTTGTGTGTTCTTGTCGTTGTTTGTGTGTTCTTGTAGTTGTTGTAGTTGTTTGTGTGTTCTTGTAGTTGTTGTCGTTGTTTGTGTGGGTTCTTGTAGTTGTTTGTGTGTTCTTGTAGTTGTTGTCGTTGTTTGTGTGTTCTTGTAGTTGTTTGTGTGTTCTTGTAGTTGTTGTCGTTGTTTGTGTGTTCTTGTAGTTGTTGTAGTTGTTTGTGTTTTCTTGTGGTTGTTTGTGTGTTCTTGTCGTTGTTTGTGTGTTCTTGTCGTTGTTTGTGTGTTCTTATAGTTGTTGTCGTTGTTTGTGTGTTCTTGTAGTTGTTGTCGTTGTTTGTGTGTTCTTGTAGTTGTTGTCGTTGTTTGTGTGTTCTTGTAGTTGTAGTTGTGAGGGGAGATTTTGAATGTGTTCGAGGTTTTTTCTAGCCAAACCATACTGGTTTTTTTATTTAAATTTTTCAACTTAAATATTGATAGATTAAGGTTTTAAAGTGTTTGTAATTAAAGAACTTCAATCGCATTAAAAAAAAACAAGTTCTCCTCAAAGACCTTTTAAGTTGAGCACAGCCTAAAGTTGTTTACAAGGCGTCAAAATACGCTTAGTCATACCAGTCTTCGCTAGTCACAGACAACTCATGTGACGTCTTACAATATTGGCTAGTCACAGACAGTAATTGTGACGTCTTAAATTATTTGCTAGTCACAGACAGTCAATGTGACGTCTTACAAGTCTTTATTAGTCACAGTCTCTATGACGTCTTACAATATTTGCTAGTCACAGACAGCCCATGTGACGTCTTACACAACTACCTACAGCCTGCAGTGACTAGTTGTATCAACTGGCGTCAGTAGACCATGGAAGCCACTCGCTCGGCGCGGCAGTCAAAGCTGAGAGGCCGCAACTTTAGATAGATGTGGGCAGGGCCAGGGGTGGCGGGCCAGGGGTGGCGGGCCAGGGTGGCGGGCCAGGGGGGCGTGTCACGTGACACTAAGTGCCAGAAATAAAGCGGGTGTTTACGTAAGTCAACGGTAGGTGTGCATTGAAAGGGTATACTTAAGTCAACTGTTTGTACGTTGAATGGTAAAGAGAGTGTTGAATATTTCACAGAGTGGTGGGTCACACATTTGATGTAACCTTTGACACATGAGATCGTTTGTTGTTTTGTCTGACGGTTATATTCAGACAACGCAGGCTTAGATGTGCGACGGACATTAATTGAGAGTTGGGGAAGGGGGGGGGGGGCGATGCTGGACGTAAACTGTAACTGAATATTTTGTTCCAGTCAAACCCTCGCCATTCTATGTTTTCTATAATCTGCTTGCCTATTTGATTCAATTGTTTTTATTGCGTTTGTTTCTGTACGTAGTGGTGTGTGGCGTGAGTGTGGGGGTGTCCACTGCCCAGTCAACTACCACACCCCGACCCACAGCCTGCTCGAGCTACATCGATGGATGTGGCCTCATTTACCGCTCCTCCCCCAGTACAAGGTAAATATACGACCCTGTTGTCATTCATGTCTATCTATACAACCTGTTGTCATTATTTGTGTCTATCAGTCTAGTGGTCCACTTATCTAACGGCCCACCTGTCTAATGGCCCACCTGTCTAACGGCCCACCTGTCTAACGGCCCACCTGTCTAATGGCCCACCTGTCTAATGGCCCACCTGTCTAACGGCCCACCTGTCTAATGGCCCACCTGTCTAATGGCCCACCTGTCTAACGGCCCACTTATCTAACGGCCCACCTGTCTAACGGCCCACCTGTCTAATGGCCCACCTGTCTAACGGCCCACCTGTCTAACGGCCCACCTGTCTAATGGCCCACCTGTCTAATGGCCCACCTGTCTAACGGCCCACCTGTCTAATGGCCCACCTGTCTAATGGCCCACCTGTCTAACGGCCCACTTATCTAACGGCCCACCTGTCTAACGGCCCACCTGTCTAATGGCCCACCTGTCTAACGGCCCACCTGTCTAACGGCCCACCTGTCTAACGGCCCACTTATCTAACGGCCCACCTGTCTAACGGCCCACCTGTCTAATGGCCCACCTGTCTAACGGCCCACCTGTCTAACGGCCCACCTGTCTAATGGCCCACCTGTCTAACGGCCCACCTGTCTAACGGCCCACCTGTCTAATGGCCCACCTGTCTAATGGCCCACCTGTCTAACGGCCCACCTACCGGCCCACCTGTCTAACGGCCCACTTATCTAACGGCCCACCTGTCTAACGGCCCACCTGTCTAATGGCCCACCTGTCTAACGGCCCACCTGTCTAACGGCCCACCTGTCTAATGGCCCACCTGTCTAATGGCCCACCTGTCTAACGGCCCACCTACCGGCCCACCTGTCTAACGGCCCACCTGTCTTGTAGACGAGCAGTGTTCGAGTACTACCTGTGTGTGAAGAACACGACACAATGTAGCGATGCTGACGGTCACGGTCTTCAACAACAAACGCTCGACTCAGTGCTCACCTTCTCGCTGTGTAGTAAGTCTGTGGTGCTTGGGGGTGGGTGGACCCTGGGGCTTGAGGTTGGGGTGGACCCTGGGGCTTTGGTGTGGGGGTGGACCCTGGGGCTTTAGTGGGGGTGGACCCTGGGGCTTTGGTGTAGGGGTGGACCCTGGGGCTTTAGTGGGGGTGGACCCTGGGGCTTTGGTGTAGGGGTGGACCCTGGGGATTGAGGTTGGGGTGGACACTAGGGCTTTGGTGTGGGGGTGGACCCTGGTGCTTTGGTGTGGGGGTGGACCCTGGGGCTTTGGTTTTGGGGTGGACCCTGGGGCTTTGGGAGTTGGACTGGCACTGAGGCATTGGGGTGGAGGTGGACACTAGGGCATGGGGGTAGGAGGTTAGCACTGAGGTAGGGGGGTGGGGGGTTGCACTGAGGGTGTAGTATAAACACTATTGGCCTGAGGGTGGGTTGTTGACACCTGGGGGTGGAGTATAAGCACTGTGGCCTGAGGATTAATGCTTCGACACTGTTCCCTGGCCTTGGGTAGACTTGGGCTGCTGTCGGTAAAGGTGGTAATTTGAGTTCCCTCTGTGTTTGTGGTGTGTCTGTGGTGTGTCTGTGGTGTGTCTGTGTTGTGTCTGTGGTGTGTCTGTGGTGTGTCCTGTATGTGTCCTGTATGTGTCCTGTGGTGTGTCCTATGTGTGTCCTGTGGTGTGTCCTGTGGTGTGTCCTGTGGTGTGTACTGTGACGCCAACATCCACCCTTCTACCTACTGTGTCCTGTGGTGTGTCCTGTGGTGTGTCCTGTGGTGTGTCTATGGTGTGTCTGTGGTATGTCCTGTGTGTGTCCTGTGGTGTGTCCTGTGTGTGTTCTGTATGTGTCCTGTGGTGTGTCCTATGGTGTGTCTGTGGTGTGTCTGTGGTGTGTCCTGTGTGTGTTCTGTGGTGTGTCTGTGGTGTGTCTGTGGTGTGTCCTATGGTGTGTCTGTGGTGTGTCCTGTGGTGTGTCCTGTGTGTGTCCTGTGTGTGTCCTGTGGTGTTTCTGTGGTGTGTCTGTGGTGTGTCCTATGGTGTGTCTGTGGTGTGTCTGTGGTGTGTCCTATGGTGTATCCTGTGTGTGTCCTGTGTGTGTCCTGTGTGTGTCCTGTGTGTGTCCTGTGGTGTGTCTGTGGTGTGTCTGTGGTGTGTCCTATGGTGTGTCTGTGGTGTGTCTGTGGTGTGTCTGTGGTGTGTCCTATGGTGTGTCTGTGGTGTGTCCTATGGTGTATCCTGTGTGTGTCCTGTGTGTGTCCTGTGTGTGTCCTGTGTGTGTCCTGTGGTGTGTCTGTGGTGTGTCTGTGGTGTGTCCTATGGTGTGTCTGTGGTGTGTCTGTGGTGTGTCTGTGGTGTGTCCTATGGTGTGTCTGTGGTGTGTCCTATGGTGTATCCTGTGTGTGTCCTGTGTGTGTCCTGCGTGTGTCCTGTGACGCCAACATCCACTCCTCTACCTACAGATGACGGCGGTCAATATGCTGGAGCTTCCAGACAGACCATGTCCCTGCTCGCCGTCCTTGTGACCTTGACATTGTGGCTCACGAACCTCAACACCTCCTCGTGACAGTCCTGACAGTAGTTTTAGGGTCAAAGGTCGCGAGGTCAAGGGTCATGTGGCACACAAGTCGTCACGTGGTATTTGAAAACAAAGTGATGTAACTATTCATTCGACAACCAAAAGTGATTCAATTACTTGAGTTAGATGACTGGCGGAAATGTTCACACCTGTGTAACGTGACGCTGGCTGTCTGCTGTTCAGTGTGACTTTAACATTTCACCATACAACTTTGTGTGACTTTAACATTTCACCATACAACTTTCTCGCTGTAAGTTTGTTCTTCTGTGTGGCGGATACTTGTTCTTGATACTTTTTTTGTAAACCTTTCAAGACCGTGTGAATGTAACTTCCAATATTTGAAGAGATAAATCTGATGTGTAGTAACCGGTGAGAAATATCTATGACGTATCTCAGCTTCATGTGCACAGTTCTACAGCTGCTAGTCTGTATGTTGGTCTCTACGTTCTTCTCTACAAGTTAGGTAACTCTACAGTAATTATAAAAGTGTAGGTAGATCCTGGACTATTCCCCTTGATTCACGAGGTTTTTTTTTGTTTTAAATTAAACCTCTGGGGTGTTTTTTTTTATCTTTGACTAATACATATATATTTGAAATGTAATTGATTCCATTTTTTTTTTTTTAAATCAGGTTTTTCAAAAAAAAAAAAAATACAAATTAGTCGGGTAATAAATTTTAGCAGCATTTATTTGTGTCATGTGTCCTGTTTGATCACGTGATTTGATTTTGTTGATGATGCGCACAACAAAATCTCAAATTATTTGTTTAAAAAAAACGGTCAACTAATAAATCAGGAGCATGTAGATTTTTGTTTTAAATACAAATAAATATTTAAAGACGCTGTTTGTTTTATTTTTGTGACGTTTTGGGGCAGTGAGATTGAGGTATGTGGTCGTCCATAAATGACGTCACACTCGAAAGGGGGAAGGGGGGGGGTCCGTAATTTTGTAACGGTGTGTGATGAGGGGGAGGGGGGTTATAGGGTGACAATGTGTGACGGAGGGGAGGGGGGAGGTAAAAATCGTCAAAAGAAGCGTGACATCATTTATGGTAGACCCCTATGCAGGCACTGAGGTATACAGGCAGTGAGGTATGCAGGCAGTGAGGTATGCAGGCAGTTAGGTATACAGGCAGTGAGGTATGCAGGCAGTGAGGTATGCAGGCAGTTAGGTATACAGGCACTGAGGTATACAGGCAGTGAGGTATGCAGGCAGTTAGGTATACAGGCACTGAGGTATGCAGGCAGTGAGGTATGCAGGCAGTGAGGTATGCAGGCAGTAAGGTATACAGGCAGTGAGGTATGCAGGCAGTGAAGTATGCAGGCAGTGAGGTATGCAGGCAGTGAGGTATGCAGGCAGTGAGGTATGCAGGCAGTGAGGTATGCAGTCAATGAGGTATACAGGCAGTGAGGTATGCAGGCACTGAGGTAGACAGGCAGAGGTATGCAGGCAGTGAGGTATGCAGGCAGTGAGGTATACAGGCAGAGGTATGCAGGCAGTGAGGTATGCAGGCAGTGAGGTATGTAGGCAGTGAGGTATGTAGGCAGTGAGGTATGCAGGCAGTGAGGTATGCAGTGAGGTATGCAGGCAGTAAGGTATGAAGGCAGTGAGGTATACAGGCACTGAAGTAGACAGGCAGTTAGGTATGCAGGCAGTGAGGTTTGCAGGCAGTGAAGTATGCAGCCACTGGTATTATTTTATTCGAGCGTTTCATTTCCACCATTCCCTCCCCCCCCCCCCCCCCCCCCACACACACGCACTAGTCTGCAGGCCCTGAAAAACAGTCACGTGACGTAGATAAATGACAACCGCCATCACTAAAGTTGTACCTCCATATTGGATCAGCACCACCCAACCGAAACAAAAGAACAGGTTTTCTTAAGTCCCCAGGAGGAGGGGCTGGGGGGGGGGGGGGTGGACTGTAGCCCTGCCCAGACTACAAGATGTAAGGCCATGGGTATGTGGAGAGACGGTTAGAGAGACGGTTAGAGAGACGGTTAGAGAGACGGTTAGAGAGACGGTTAGAGAGACGGTTAGAGAGTGGGTTAGAGACGGTTAGAGAGTGGGTTAGAGAGACGGTTAGAGAGACGGTTAGAGAGACGGTTAGAGAGACGGTTAGAGAGACGGTTAGAGAGTGGGTTAGAGACGGTTAGAGAGTGGGTTAGAGAGACGGTTAGAGAGACGGTTAGAGAGACGGTTAGAGAGGCGGTTGGAGAGACGGTTAGAGAGACGGTTAGAGAGTGGGTTAGAGACGGTTAGAGAGTGGGTTAGAGAGACGGTTAGAGAGACGGTTAGAGAGATGTTAGAGAGGCGGTTGGAGAGACGGTTGGAGAGACGGTTAGAGAGGCGGTTAGAGAGACGGTTAGAGAGATGTTAGAGAGGCGGTTGGAGAGACGGTTAGAGAGACGGTTAGAGAGTGGGTTAGAGAGACGGTTAGAGAGACGGTTAGAGAGTGGGTTAGAGAGACGGTTAGAGAGACGGTTAGAGAGTGGGTTAGAGAGACGGTTAGAGAAGAGAGACGGTTAGAGAGACGGTTAGAGAGACGGTTAGAGAGAGGGTTAGAGAGACGGTTAGAGTGACGGTTAGAGAGATGTTAGAGAGACGGTTAGAGAGACGGTTAGAGAGACGGTTAGAGAGACGGTTAGAGAGACGGTTATAGAGACGGTTAGAGAGACGGTTAGAGAGACGGTTAGAGAGACGGTTAGAGAGACGGTTAGAGAGACGGTTAGAGAGACGGTTAGAGAGACGGTTAGAGAGACGGTTATAGAGACGGTTAGAGAGACGGTTAGAGAGACGGTTAGAGAGACGGTTAGAGAGACGGTTAGAGAGACGGTTAGAGAGACGGTTAGAGAGACGGTTGGAGAGACGGTTAGAGAGACGGTTAGAGAGACGGTTAGAGAGACGGTTGGGGAGACGGTTAGAGAGACGGTTAGAGAGACGGTTAGAGAGACGGTTAGAGAGACGGTTGGAGAGACGGTTAGAGAGACGGTTAGAGAGACGGTTGGGGAGACGGTTAGAGAGTGGGTTAGAGAGACGGTTAGAGAGTGGGTTAGAGAGACGGTTAGAGAAGAGAGACGGTTAGAGAGACGGTTAGAGAGACGGTTAGAGAGAGGGTTAGAGAGACGGTTAGAGAGACGGTTAGAGAGACGGTTAGAGAGACGGTTAGAGAGTGGGTTAGAGAGACGGTTAGAGAGACGGTTAGAGAGATGTTAGAGAGACGGTTAGAGAGACGGTTAGAGAGACGGTTAGAGAGACGGTTAGAGAGACGGTTAGAGAGACGGTTAGAGAGTGGGTTAGAGAGACGGTTAGAGAGACGGTTAGAGAGACGGTTAGAGAGACGGTTAGAGAGACGGTTAGAGAGTGGGTTAGAGAGACGGTTAGAGAAGAGAGACGGTTAGAGAGACGGTTAGAGAGACGGTTAGAGAGAGGGTTAGAGAGACGGTTAGAGAGACGGTTAGAGAGATGTTAGAGAGACGGTTAGAGAGACGGTTAGAGAGACGGTTAGAGAGACGGTTAGAGAGACGGTTAGAGAGACGGTTAGAGAGACGGTTAGAGAGACGGTTAGAGAGACGGTTAGAGAGACGGTTAGAGAGACGGTTGGGGAGACGGTTAGAGAGTGGGTTAGAGAGACGGTTAGAGAGTGGGTTAGAGAGTGGGTTAGAGAGACGGTTAGAGAAGAGAGACGGTTAGAGAGACGGTTAGAGAGACGGTTAGAGAGTCGGTTAGAGAGACGGTTAGAGAGTTGGTTAGAGAGATGTTAGAGAGACGGTTAGAGAGACGGTTAGAGAGACGGTTAGAGAGTGGGTTAGAGAGACGGTTAGAGAAGAGAGACGGTTAGAGAGACGGTTAGAGAGACGGTTAGAGAGTGGGTTAGAGAGACGGTTAGAGAGACGGTTAGAGAGTGGGTTAGAGAGACGGTTAGAGAGACGGTTAGAGAGTGGGTTAGAGAGACGGTTAGAGAAGAGAGACGGTTAGAGAGACGGTTAGAGAGACGGTTAGAGAGAGGGTTAGAGAGACGGTTAGAGAGACGGTTAGAGAGATGTTAGAGAGACGGTTGGAGAGACGGTTGGAGAGACGGTTAGAGAGACGGTTAGAGAGACGGTTAGAGAGACGGTTAGAGAGACGGTTGGGGAGACGGTTAGAGAGACGGTTAGAGAGACGGTTAGAGAGACGGTTGGAGAGACGGTTAGAGAAACGGTTAGAGAGACGGTTGGGGAGACGGTTAGAGAGACGGTTAGAGAGACGGTTAGAGAGACGGTTAGAGAGATGGTTAGAGAGACGGTTGGAGAGACGGTTAGAGAGACGGTTAGAGAGACGGTTAGAGAGACGGTTAGAGAGACGGTTAGAGAGACGGTTAGAGAAATGTTAGAGAGACGGTTAGAGAGACGGTTAGAGAGACGGTTAGAGAGACGGTTGGAGAGACGGTTAGAGAGACGGTTAGAGAGACGGTTGGGGAGACGGTTAGAGAGTGGGTTAGAGAGACGGTTAGAGAGTGGGTTAGAGAGACGGTTAGAGAAGAGAGACGGTTAGAGAGACGGTTAGAGAGACGGTTAGAGAGAGGGTTAGAGAGACGGTTAGAGAGACGGTTAGAGAGATGTTAGAGAGACGGTTAGAGAGACGGTTAGAGAGACGGTTAGAGAGTGGGTTAGAGAGACGGTTAGAGAGACGGTTAGAGAGATGTTAGAGAGACGGTTAGAGAGACGGTTAGAGAGACGGTTAGAGAGACGGTTAGAGAGACGGTTAGAGAGACGGTTAGAGAGTGGGTTAGAGAGACGGTTAGAGAGACGGTTAGAGAGACGGTTAGAGAGACGGTTAGAGAGACGGTTAGAGAGTGGGTTAGAGAGACGGTTAGAGAAGAGAGACGGTTAGAGAGACGGTTAGAGAGACGGTTAGAGAGAGGGTTAGAGAGACGGTTAGAGAGACGGTTAGAGAGATGTTAGAGAGACGGTTAGAGAGACGGTTAGAGAGACGGTTAGAGAGTGGGTTAGAGAGACGGTTAGAGAAGAGAGACGGTTAGAGAGACGGTTAGAGAGACGGTTAGAGAGAGGGTTAGAGAGACGGTTAGAGAGACGGTTAGAGAGATGTTAGAGAGACGGTTAGAGAGACGGTTAGAGAGACGGTTAGAGAGACGGTTAGAGAGACGGTTAGAGAGACGGTTAGAGAGACGGTTAGAGAGACGGTTAGAGAGACGGTTAGAGAGACGGTTAGAGAGACGGTTGGGGAGACGGTTAGAGAGTGGGTTAGAGAGACGGTTAGAGAGTGGGTTAGAGAGTGGGTTAGAGAGACGGTTAGAGAAGAGAGACGGTTAGAGAGACGGTTAGAGAGACGGTTAGAGAGTCGGTTAGAGAGACGGTTAGAGAGACGGTTAGAGAGATGTTAGAGAGACGGTTAGAGAGACGGTTAGAGAGACGGTTAGAGAGTGGGTTAGAGAGACGGTTAGAGAAGAGAGACGGTTAGAGAGACGGTTAGAGAGACGGTTAGAGAGTGGGTTAGAGAGACGGTTAGAGAGACGGTTAGAGAGTGGGTTAGAGAGACGGTTAGAGAGACGGTTAGAGAGTGGGTTAGAGAGACGGTTAGAGAAGAGAGACGGTTAGAGAGACGGTTAGAGAGACGGTTAGAGAGAGGGTTAGAGAGACGGTTAGAGAGACGGTTAGAGAGATGTTAGAGAGACGGTTAGAGAGACGGTTAGAGAGACGGTTAGAGAGACGGTTAGAGAGACGGTTATAGAGACGGTTAGAGAGACGGTTAGAGAGACGGTTAGAGAGACGGTTAGAGAGACGGTTAGAGAGACGGTTAGAGAGACGGTTAGAGAGACGGTTAGAGAGACGGTTATAGAGACGGTTAGAGAGACGGTTAGAGAGACGGTTAGAGAGACGGTTAGAGAGACGGTTAGAGAGACGGTTAGAGAGACGGTTGGAGAGACGGTTGGAGAGACGGTTAGAGAGACGGTTAGAGAGACGGTTAGAGATACGGTTGGGGAGACGGTTAGAGAGACGGTTAGAGAGACGGTTAGAGAGACGGTTAGAGAGACGGTTGGAGAGACGGTTAGAGAGACGGTTAGAGAGACGGTTGGGGAGACGGTTAGAGAGTGGGTTAGAGAGACGGTTAGAGAGTGGGTTAGAGAGACGGTTAGAGAAGAGAGACGGTTAGAGAGACGGTTAGAGAGACGGTTAGAGAGAGGGTTAGAGAGACGGTTAGAGAGACGGTTAGAGAGATGTTAGAGAGACGGTTAGAGAGACGGTTAGAGAGACGGTTAGAGAGTGGGTTAGAGAGACGGTTAGAGAGACGGTTAGAGAGATGTTAGAGAGACGGTTAGAGAGACGGTTAGAGAGACGGTTAGAGAGACGGTTAGAGAGACGGTTAGAGAGACGGTTAGAGAGTGGGTTAGAGAGACGGTTAGAGAGACGGTTAGAGAGACGGTTAGAGAGACGGTTAGAGAGACGGTTAGAGAGTGGGTTAGAGAGACGGTTAGAGAAGAGAGACGGTTAGAGAGACGGTTAGAGAGACGGTTAGAGAGAGGGTTAGAGAGACGGTTAGAGAGACGGTTAGAGAGATGTTAGAGAGACGGTTAGAGAGACGGTTAGAGAGACGGTTAGAGAGACGGTTAGAGAGACGGTTAGAGAGACGGTTAGAGAGACGGTTAGAGAGACGGTTAGAGAGACGGTTAGAGAGACGGTTAGAGAGACGGTTGGGGAGACGGTTAGAGAGTGGGTTAGAGAGACGGTTAGAGAGTGGGTTAGAGAGTGGGTTAGAGAGACGGTTAGAGAAGAGAGACGGTTAGAGAGACGGTTAGAGAGACGGTTAGAGAGTCGGTTAGAGAGACGGTTAGAGAGACGGTTAGAGAGATGTTAGAGAGACGGTTAGAGAGACGGTTAGAGAGACGGTTAGAGAGTGGGTTAGAGAGACGGTTAGAGAGACGGTTAGAGAGTGGGTTAGAGAGACGGTTAGAGAGACGGTTAGAGAGTGGGTTAGAGAGACGGTTAGAGAAGAGAGACGGTTAGAGAGACGGTTAGAGAGACGGTTAGAGAGAGGGTTAGAGAGACGGTTAGAGAGACGGTTAGAGAGATGTTAGAGAGACGGTTGGAGAGACGGTTGGAGAGACGGTTAGAGAGACGGTTAGAGAGACGGTTAGAGAGACGGTTAGAGAGACGGTTGGGGAGACGGTTAGAGAGACGGTTAGAGAGACGGTTAGAGAGACGGTTGGAGAGACGGTTAGAGAGACGGTTAGAGAGACGGTTGGGGAGACGGTTAGAGAGACGGTTAGAGAGACGGTTAGAGAGACGGTTAGAGAGATGGTTAGAGAGACGGTTGGAGAGACGGTTAGAGAGACGGTTAGAGAGACGGTTAGAGAGACGGTTAGAGAGACGGTTAGAGAGACGGTTAGAGAAATGTTAGAGAGACGGTTAGAGAGACGGTTAGAGAGACGGTTAGAGAGACGGTTAGAGAGACGGTTGGAGAGACGGTTAGAGAGACGGTTAGAGAGATGGTTAGAGAGTGGGTTAGAGAGACGGTTAGAGAGACGGTTTGAGAGACGGTTAGAGAGACGGTTGGGGAGACGGTTAGAGAGACGGTTAGAGAGACGGTTAGAGAGACGGTTAGAGAGACGGTTGGGGAGACGGTTGGGGAGACGGTTAGAGAGACGGTTAGAGAGACGGTTAGAGAGACGGTTGGGGAGACGGTTAGAGAGACGGTTAGAGAGACGGTTAGAGAGACGGTTAGAGAGATGGTTAGAGAGACGGTTGGAGAGACGGTTAGAGAGACGGTTAGAGAGACGGTTAGAGAGACGGTTAGAGAGACGGTTAGAGAGACGGTTAGAGAGACGGTTAGAGAAATGTTAGAGAGACGGTTAGAGAGACGGTTAGAGAGACGGTTAGAGAGACGGTTAGAGAGACGGTTAGAGAGACGGTTGGAGAGACGGTTAGAGAGACGGTTAGAGAGACGGTTGGGGAGACGGTTAGAGAGACGGTTGGGGAGACGGTTAGAGAGACGGTTAGAGAAACGGTTAGAGAGACGGTTAGAGAGACGGTTAGAGAGACGGTTAGAGAGACGGTTAGAGAGACGGTTAGAGAGACGGTTGGAGGGACGGTTGAAACGCTTCCAGCAAGAACTCCGGGAATCAAGTCATGTATGACTGACGCAACTAGAGTCCTTCGTTGGTCTTTTATCGCCGGATGACGTATGACGGATGAATGACGATACTGAAAAAACTTTATGTGCTAGCTCAGTCATGCGGGGGGGGGGGGGGGTGGTGCAACGGTTAAAACTGAATCAAACAGTCAATAGGGTGATACACTACCTGAAATATTTTAATCAAACTGTCAATAGGGTGATACACTACCTGAAATATTTGAATCACATTTAACACAATCCGCTCTGATAAGATCTACATTCTGGGTAAATAAGGGACAATCCTAGCAGTCATTCGGCCTTCAATACCCGGTTAGCCGAAAGGGAAACCCCTCAGCCACTGTCCAGTAGAACATTCACGCACCGATTCACACACAAAAATATAATAATACAAATAATACATTCAATAGCTCACATTCAACTTTTAGTTTATACACATGTTGAGTGATTAATTAAATATGTTAATTGGCAACGGTTAGCCGCGTCACTTCTCAGTGCGCATGTGACTCAAGAATAGTCTACCATCAGCGGTTGCTCTCACCATATTTCTGACTGTGCACAAATCCCCCCTCCCCAAGGCGTAGCGACAGGGGGGGGGGGGGGGGGGCAGGGTGGTACATATGTCCCCGAGCGCCGACCCTAGGGGCGCCAAAATAAGCTCATTTTAGCTGTTATTTTGAATTATAAATATTTTTTAAACACACACAACGTTACCATTTTGCTGGGGTAAACCCTTCACAAATCTCCCACCCCCCACCCCCCCCTACAATGTTACCATGTTGCTGGGGCAAACTCTTCACAAATCTCCCATAGCGTTACCGTGTTGATGGGCCTTCAAGCGTGTGTGAATCACGAACATATTACTATAGCTATTCATAAACCACTTCTTATAAAATGTTTTGATAGCCCAACATCTCTTGCTTGTTAATCAGCCATGATAACTAGCAGCGCATTTTTCTTTATAAACTCGGTGATAGAGGTAGGGGATGGCGGGGGGAGGGCTTGAGAAAGTCTTGGAGAATGTACTTAGTGCACCAACTTTAGCGAGTCGTGACGCACTAAATATAGATACGTATGGGGAGGGGGAGGCTGCACACCAAAATGTGACTGGTTGCACAACTTACTGCATCATTACGCTACCCCGACCACTTTAGAACTTGCAACAACAGTAAGCTACCCGGACCAATTCTCCGGCAGACGCAATACAAACCTGACGCGTGGTTGAAGAAAAAAAATGTTTTGGATTTTGTTTGGACTCCTGGGTGAGTACTTGTGTTTTTGTCTCTCGTTCGGATTTTTCTGTAACTTTCCGTAAAGTGTATTTTTCTTTTTTTCTGTAACTTTCCGTAAAGTGTATTTTTCTTTTTTTCTGAAACTTTCCGTAAAGTGTATTTTTCTTTTTTTCTGAAACTTTCCGTAAAGTGTATTTGTCTTTTTTTTCTGCGTTCTTTTAAATTACTAGAAGGTACACAAAACCGAAATTTTTAAAGGATCCACACCTTTTTTTAATGTTGGTTTGTCAGGAGCTCAAGATTATGTGATTATGGATACCATATGTGTTCATAACAAATAAAATAACTTACTGCGTTGAAAATATTTGATGTATTAACTTTTTTTAACACCCTATCTTTAAAAGTAGGTGAAACAAACTCATTCGCTTGTACTCAATTCAATCAAACACTCACAACACAACACACACACACACACATACACAGCACACAAACACATACACATACACAGCACACACATACATACATCACATACACATAGAGTGTTACATTAACATTCACGTATCACTTAAGAAAATTTTATTTTTTCATTTATTTTTATTTAAAAAGGGGGAGTAAAAATACAAATTGAATACCTTTAAAAAATAAACTATAATTATTTTGTTTTAATTAATTTAATTGTTTTAAACATTTAAAATAGTTTTACACAGCATCAAAGACATGAACATCAATTGCATATAGATCTAGATCTATAGTAATTAAGTGGAGTTAATATTTTATAATTTTTTTTTTTTTGCCTCAGACATGTAATTTACAGCGTCAGTTGTGTGTTCGCTTTAGTATTACAGTTTTCATCATCGGCTTGTGAGGACTGATACAGATTTACAAAATATAAATAAACTATAATAAATAATAATTGCTTCCAAAGCGTATAACAAATTGTATCTGAAAGTAAAATAAAGTGAATCTATGAGGTTAATTAACCTGCATGTCTATTTAACAAGTTTAAAGAAGTTTCATCAGGAGAGAGCACATTTCATAATCTTACAACGATACAACTTATAAAACAAAATTAAAAAAAAAACTATTATGACAATTTTACTTACCGGTACTAAAACTGTGCATATATGGGTAAGTCTATTATAGAAGACATTTGCATATTTATTCACATCAGCTAAAATAGCGGGAGTGATCTCCCCTAAACTTATTTGAATTTTCTGATATCACTCAGGGGATGGCAACTCGGGATATAGACAAGATTTTTAATCCATTTTTAAATACTTTTAAAATAGAATAGAATTTCGCAGGAAAAAAAAAGGATTGCGCACCAAGTGAACAGCCAACATTATATGTATAATAATGCGGAATATTAGTACTTAATAAATTCATAAGCGGTTTTTTTTTTTTTTGAGAAATCGGAAATGGCGTAAAGTACTACTTCCGGTCAACGGAAATTACTCAAAATTTGATAGAAGGCACTGAATTAGATAGTTTACTTGTATATGTAAAATTTCGTCTATCTATTTCAAGCAATTCAAGTTAAAGGCTTTTGAAAAACCTAAAGTAGAATAAGTTCCACTTCCGGTTACCGGAAATCGGTTGAAAGTTGATACAGAAGTACAAATTTGATATAATATTTGATATAATAAATTTCATCAACCTAGCTGTAATGTTACTCAAATTATCGTGTTCACAGACACAAAACCACACAGACATACACAGACATACAGATATACACAGACACACGGACAAAATTGCAAAACCATGTTTTTCCGACTCGGGGAGGTGAAAAAAGTCGAGATTTGTGAAAATAGATTTCTTTGCACAATTACAATACTTCCTCTATACTTCAAATACGAGAAAGTAAAACGAGAACTCGATAGCCTAACAAGAATTTTACACTACATAGATTGATCAACATGTACTCAGTAACTAACTTACATGCGTGACCTCACCGCGATAACTTTATTTCTGCAGACACTATTCACTTGTGACAGAGATTTGACTTATGACAAACTTATGACAAACTTATGACATATTTATAACAAACTTATGACTTGCAACAATCTTATAACTTACAACAAATTTATGATTTACAACAAAGGAGTATTTCCTTATGGAGAGAAATGCGAAAGAACAGAATTTCTTCCAGCAATACAGAAAGGGGGGGGGGGGGGGCTTTTATGTGAACTACAATTTGAGCTTAGAAAAACTGTCAATGTTATATTCAATGTTTTTGTGTACAGACTAAACAACGACAGCGACTAAAAAGCTTTTCAAATGGGTTCCAAGGAATTTAATAATCAACCAAACCGAATTCTTTGAGTACCGAGAAAATGCTAAAACAACATCGGCGCCCGATAAATTCCTTGACTAGCAGGGCAACTGACATATGGGCTCCTGACATATAGGCTACTGACATATAGGCTACTGGCATTTGGGCTTCTGACATATGGGCTTCTGACATATAGGCTACTGGCATATTGGCTACTGACATTTGGGTCCTTGACTTGTTGGCTGACAGAATGTGTCATGATGAATGTGATTCGTGAACAGAACCAGGACAGAAATATGCTACAGGAGCTAAGTGTACGACAACAGTTGGCTGTAATGAAAGATGTAAGGAGCTTAGTGTAAGACTAAAGATAGTATGTAAGCAGAGAGTTTAATTAGCCTGTGGACGTTAACCTAATAATTAACACCTCACCCCCCCCCACTTCCATTTCTCGTCGGTTTAAGTTAAAATGGATGACCAAATTAACCTGTACTAGCTACCAGAGTTATTTCTAAGTCGTGGACCTGCGACTAATTCAAGTGATCAACATTTTTAAAAAAAAATGTCTTCGTATTTCTGCAATAAGTTTAACAATGTTTATCTTTAATAAAACACACGTCTATAAACATCAATGCTTATCTTTAATAAAACACACGTCTATAAACATTAATTCTTGTAAAATTGTCTCTGTATTTCTGCAATAAGTTTAACAATGCTTATTTTTAATAAAACACACGTCTATAAACATTAATTCTTGTAAAATGTCGTCTTGTCACGTGATTGGTCAACCTTGTGTCGTCACCAGTCACGTGCTGCCTGCCCAGTACCCAGGCCCAGCTTGACCTCTCCAACCTGTTCCCCACCACACAGAAGGTCATCGACTGTCAACCACAGATCAACCAGTGTCTCGTGGCTTTTACAGCATCCTTGGTCAACCAGTAGGTCTTTTACAACCATTCTCTTATATATATATATATATATATATATATATATATATATATATATATATATATATATATATATATATATATATATATATATATATATATATATATATATATATATATATATATATATATATATATATATATATACCTAAGTAGATATTTAAAGTGTTCTTATGTTCACCTAATTGAATCACTGACTAAAGCTGACTGAACCACTGACTGAAAAACTGACTGAACCACTGACTGAACCACTGACTGAACCACTGACTGAACCACTGACTAAATCTGACTGAACCACTGACTGAACCACTGACTAAATCTGACTGAACAACTGACTAAATGACTGAACCACTGACTAAATCTGACTGAACCACTGACTAAATGAGTGAACCACTGACTAAATCTGCCTAAACCACTGACTAAATCTGACTGAACAACTGACTAAATGACTGAACCACTGACTAAATCTGACTGAACCACTGACTGAACCACTGACTGAACCACTGACTGAACCACTGACTAAATCTGACTGAACCACTGACTGAACCACTGACTAAATCTGACTGAACCACTGACTGAACCACTGACTGAACCACTGACTAAATCTGCCTGTTTGTACGAGTGCAGACAAACAGCCGCGGCCGCTAAGACGTGTGTGCAGATAGTCAACTGTTACCTGGACGCCGTGGGCGAGGATCTCAAGCAGCAGGCCCTCAAGTCCATTGATGATGTCTTGAACGGTCAGTTCCGCTCTTAGATGAGCAGCAGGCATCGTGCGGTGCCATTCTAGAAATAAGTTGTACACACATACACACACACATACACACATACACACATACACACATACACACATACACACATACACTCATACACACATACACACATACACACATACACACATACACACATACACACATACACACATACACACATACACACATACACACATACACACATACACACATACACACATACACACATACACACATACACACATACACACATACACACATACACACATACACACATACACACATACACACATACACACATACACACATACACACATACACACATACACACATACACACATACACACATACATACACACATACACACATACACTCATACACACATACACACATACACACATACATACATACACACATACACACATACACACATACACTCATACACACATACACACATACACACATACACACATACACACATACATACATACACACATACACACATACACACATATACACATACACACATACACACATACACACATACACACATACACACATACACACATACACACATACACACACACAATGTGTGTATTACGGCCTCAATGTCGGTCAGTTAGTGAACTGACCAGCCAGTTTTTTCGTGTCTGACCTTAGGCTTTGGCCGGTCAGATTTTGCCAGATTTTATCCAAATCCCGCGGTCAATAGTGATTTTCTGATGTAGACATAATGGAAAGGTCACGATTAAAAAAAAAAATAAGGCCTTTTTATTTAGTTTTGCAAGTTAAGTTAGCTGCCTCGGTTCTTATTAAAGGGAAGTATTTTTTTTTCAGGTGTTGTTGATGATATATTTTCTGGAGTTACATCCCCTAGAATGTCCGTGGTGGTGACGGGCTGCTGTCTGCTGGTCGCGACACTCGTGGGACTGATGTGGCAGTAAACACTGGGACAAACATCTGGACTTTGGGGGGGGGGGGACATTAGAGGGACATTAGAGGGATAACTAGACCCATTGAGGGAAAAACTTCGGGACATTAGAGTGTCATTGACCGGACAAACATCGGGACATTAGAGGGACATTAAAACATCGGGACATTAGAGGGACATTGACCGGAAAAAATTGGGACATTAGAGAACCATCCAGAAACATCGGGACATTACTGGGACATAGAAAAATCTGGACATTAGAAGGACATTGAGGGGACGTATTACTTATCATCAATAAGGCATTAATTTACAAAAAAAAGGGCACTGTCGATGAGTAGACGACATTTTGACGCAACATTTATGACTCTAGACATTCCTAATTATACCACCTGTCTACAATTTTTATCGGCCACAGTAGACAATGTACTTTCTTGTAGATGTATTCGATGTAGTGACAATTACGTTTGTACATTTCCAATATTGGTTTATTCCTCGTATGTATTCCTGTTATACATTTCATTTAATTGTTAACAGCTTGATGTAGACAAAAACAATTTGTAATTAACTAAAAACAATTTGTAATTAACTAACAGGGTGCGCATGTTGAACTAATTGGACAGACACATTGTTAGACATTTAGGACAAATTAAATGTTTTTGGTTGATTAAAACTGTTATGCTTTAGATTGGTTGCTTTTAACGAATGAAGTATTGTTTGTAGATTGAGAGATTTTGTGCACGCAATAACCTCTAGAGAAGCCAAACTAAAGAGTTAAACCACACACTGCACAGTTAAACCACACACTGCACAGTTAAACCACACACACTTAAACCACACACTATTCAGTTAATCCACACACTGTTCAGTTAAACTACAGTCCAACCACATGTTACATTATGGTTTTTTAATAATAATCTAGCTTTCATCTTAAATTGTGTTACATTAATTTTATAAAACCCCTGATAGATAAATTAGTTCTAAAAGAAATTGAGACACACCATTGTGTTTTATGTGTTTTAACTGTAAGTCTTCATTAATAGTCTTTATCGTTCGGTCTTGTCTCTCCACATTGTGCATTGTTAACGTTTTGGACCTAACCTGACTTTAAAATGTTGTCGGCTTTTTGTCGTGATCCTGTGTTTTATTATTTTGTCGTGATCCTGTGTTAAGTAATGAACGTGGTAAATGTATGCAGTAGTGATTATTGAACAAATAGTTGCGACGAGTTTAGGAGAGCAAATCACATCAACTATATTTTCTTACTATTTAATCTAGCCGATTCAAAATTAGTATTTTAATTAAATATACCGGGAATGATCTCCCCTAAACTTTCTCGAATATTCTTATATAAAACAACATGGGATGGGAACTCGGGCTATAGACATGATTTTTAATCCATTTTAAATACTTAAAGTTTTAAAAATAGAATAAAATCTCGTAGACAAAAGAATTGCACACCAAGTGAATGCCAAATAAAAAAAAAGTGCATAATAGTGCGCAATATTTTTAGTACATTAAAAATTTACATTAGTTTTTTGAGAAATCGGAAGTAGCGTAAATTACTACTTCCGGTCAACGGAAATTACTCGAAATTTAACAGAAGGTAGAGAATTAGATCTTATACTTACATGTGAAATTTCATTTATCTATCTGAAATAGTACTCAAGTTATAGGCTTTTGAAAAATTCAAAGTAGAAAAAGTACCACTTCCGGTTATCGGAAATCGCTCAAAAGTTGATACGGATCTACGATTTTGATAAAATACTTATATATGAAAATTCATCAACCTAGCTGTAACGGTACTCAAGTAATCGTGTTTACACACAGACAGACAGACAGACACACAGACATACGGACAGAATTGCAAAGCCCAGTTTTTCAGACTGGATTACGCATAAAACCTCTTAATTTTGATAAATCTGGATTGATAATTTTTGCCCGATTAAAATAAGTCCTCTATACTTCGGATGTGATGAAGGACTGAGGTGTAATACGGTGAAAATTGTTAAAATTTCAAGTGATTTTTGTGCACGATTACAATACTTTCTCTATACTTCGTATATACGAGAAGATAAAAAGATGAAAATAAAATGAGGAGGTTGGAACATTCTATTCACTTAATTCTATGAAATGTTATATGTATATCGGAATCAAAAACTACATTCTTCACACTAAAAATTGTACGTGTGATATTAAATAGAGCATAAGAATTTATACAGACAAATCGCGATATGTTGATATGCACTTTCTCATTTCTTAGTGGATATAAGGATTTAAAAAATTCAATACAAACACACATTTTTTTCCTGTGACTTTTTCCGTATATTTCTCAATGTTGACCACTCCTCTATGTTGGCCACCCCACCCGACTCCTCTATGTTGGCCACCCCACCCGACTCCTCTATGTTGGCCACCCCACCCGACTCCTCTATGTTGGCCACCCCACCCGACTCCTCTATGTTGGCCACCCCACCCGACTCCTCTATGTTGGCCACCCCACCCCACTATGTTGGCCACCCCACTATATTGGCCACCCCACCCCACTATGTTGGCCACCCCACTATGTTGGCCACCCCACCCCACTTTTCTATGTTGGCCACCCCACCCCACTATGTTGGCCACCCCACTATGTTGGCCACCCCACTATGTTGGCCACCCCACCCCACTCTTCTATGTTGGCCACCCCACCCCACTATGTTGGCCACCCCACTATGTTGGCCACCCCACCCCACTATGTTGGCCACCCCACTATGTTGGCCACCCCACTATGTTGGCCACCTCACTATGTTGGCCACCCCACTATATTGGCCACCCCACCCCACTATGTTGGCCACCCCACTATGTTGGCCACCCCACCCCACTATGTTGGCCACCCCACCCCACTATGTTGGCCACCCCACCCCACTATGTTGGCCACCCCACTATGTTGGCCACCCCACCCCACTATGTTGGCCACCCCACCCCACTATGTTGGCCACCCCACCCCACTATGTTGGCCACCCCACCCCACTATGTTGGCCACCCCACTATGTTGGCCACCCCACTATGTTGGCCACCCCACCCCACTATGTTGGCCACCCCACCCCTCTATGTTGGCCACCCCACCCCACTATGTTGGCCACCCCACTCCTCTAAGTTGGCCACCCAACTATGTTGGCCACCCCACCCCACTATGTTGGCCACCCCACCCCACTATGTTGGCCACCCCACTATGTTGGCCACCCCACCCCACTATGTTGGCCACCCCACCATGTTGGCCACCCCACCCCACTATGTTGGCCACCCCACTATGTTGGCCACCCCACCCCACTATGTTGGCCACCCCACCCCTCTATGTTGGCCACCCCACTATGTTGGCCACCCCACCCTTCTATGTTGGCCACCCCTCTATGTTGGCCACCCCACTATGTTGGCCACCCCACCCCACTATGTTGGCCACCCCACCCCTCTATGTTGGCCACCCCACTATGTTGGCCACCCCACCCCTCTATGTTGGCCACCCCACCCCTCTATGTTGGCCACCCCTCTATGTTGGCCACCCCTCTATGTTGGCCACCCCACCCCTCTATGTTGGCCACCCCTCTATGTTGGCCACCCCTCTATGTTGGCCACCCCACCCCACTATGTTGGCCACCCCACTATGTTGGCCACCCCACCCCACCCCTCTATGTTGGCCACCCCACCCCACTATGTTGGCCACCCCACTATGTTGGCCACCCCACCCCACTATGTTGGCCACCCCACTCCTCTAAGTTGGCCACCCCACCCCACTATGTTGGCCACCCCACCCCACTATGTTGGCCACCCCACTATGTTGGCCACCCCACCCCACTATGTTGGCCACCCCACCCCACTATGTTGGCCACCCCACCCCACTATGTTGGCCACCCCACCATGTTGGCCACCCCACCCCACTATGTTGGCCACCCCACTATGTTGGCCACCCCACTATGTTGGCCACCCCACCCCACTATGTTGGCCACCCCACTATGTTGGCCACCCCACTATGTTGGCCACCCCACCCCACTATGTTGGCCACCCCACCCCACTATGTTGGCCACCCCACCCCACTATGTTGGCCACCCCACTATGTTGGCCACCCCACCCGACTCCTCTATGTTGGCCACCCCACTATGTTGGCCACCCCACTATGTTGGCCACCCCACTATGTTGGCCACCCCACCATGTTGGCCACCCCACTATGTTGGCCACCCCACTATGTTGGCCACCCCACCATGTTGGCCACCCCACTATGTTGGCCACCCCACTATGTTGGCCACCCCACCCCACCATGTTGGCCACCCCACTATGTTGGCCACCCCACTATGTTGGCCACCCCACCCCACTATGTTGGCCACCCCACCCCACTATGTTGGCCACCCCACCCCACTATGTTGGCCACCCCACCCCACTATGTTGGCCACCCCACCCCACTATGTTGGCCACCCCACCCCACTATGTTGGCCACCCCACCCCACTATGTTAGCCACCCCACTATGTTGGCCACCCCACTATGTTGGCCACCCCACTATGTTGGCCACCCCACTATGTTGGCCACCCCACTATGTTGGCCACCCCACTATGTTGGCCACCCCACTATGTTGGCCACCCCACTATGTTGGCCACCCCACTATGTTGGCCACCCCACTATGTTGGCCACCCCACTATGTTGGCCACCCCACCATGTTGGCCACCCCACTATGTTGGCCACCCCACTATGTTGGCCACCCCACCCCACCATGTTGGCCACCCCACTATGTTGGCCACCCCACTATGTTGGCCACCCCACTATGTTGGCCACCCCACTATGTTGGCCACCCCACTATGTTGGCCACCCCAATATGTTGGCCACCCCACCATGTTGGCCACCCCACTATGTTGGCCACCCCACTATGTTGGCCACCCCACCCCACCATGTTGGCCACCCCACTATGTTGGCCACCCCACTATGTTGGCCACCCCACTATGTTGGCCACCCCACCCCACTATGTTGGCCACCCCACCCCACTATGTTGGCCACCCCACCCCACTCCACATGTTGGCCACCCCACCCCACTATGTTGGCCACCCCACTATGTTAGCCACCCAACTTGACTATGTTGGCCACCCCACTATATTGGCCACCCCACTCCTTTATGTTGGCCACCCGACTATGTTGGCCACCCCACTATGTTAGCCACCCAACTTGACTATGTTGGCCATCCCCACTATGTTGGCCACCCCACTATGTTGGCCACCCCACTATGTTGGCCACCCCATCCCTCTATGTTGGCCACCCCACTATGTTGGCCACCCCACTATGTTGGCCACCTCACTATGTTGGCCACCCCACTATATTGGCCACCCCACCCCACTATGTTGGCCACCCCACTATGTTGGCCACCCCACCCCACTATGTTGGCCACCCCACCCCACTATGTTGGCCACCCCACCATGTTGGCCACCCCACCCCACTATGTTGGCCACCCCACTATGTTGGCCACCCCACCCCACTATGTTGGCCACCCCACTATGTTGGCCACCCCACCCCACTCCTTTATGTTGGCCACCCCACCCCACTCCTTTATGTTGGCCACCCCACTATGTTGGCCACCCCTCTATGTTGGCCACCCCTCTATGTTGGCCACCCCTCTATTTTGGCCACCCCACTATGTTGGCCACCCCACTATGTTGGCCACCCCTCTATGTTGGCCACCCCTCTATGTTGGCCACCCCTCTATTTTGGCCACCCCACTATGTTGGCCACCCCACTATGTTGGCCACCCCACTATATTGGCCACCCCACCCCACTATGTTGGCCACCCCACTATGTTGGCCACCCCACCCCACTCCTTTATGTTGGCCACCCGACTATATTGGCCACCCCACTATGTTGGCCACCCCACTATGTTGGCCACCCCACCCCACTCCTTTATGTTGGCCACCCGACTATATTGGCCACCCCACCCCACTATGTTGGCCACCCCACTATGTTGGCCACCCCACCCCACTCCTTTATGTTGGCCACCCCACTATGTTGGCCACCCCACTATGTTGGCCACCCCACTATGTTGGCCACCCCACTATGTTGGCCACCCGACTATATTGGCCACCCCACTATGTTGGCCACCCCACTATGTTGGCCACCCCTCTATGTTGGCCACCCCACTATGTTGGCCACCCCTCTATGTTGGCCACCCCTCTATGTTGGCCACCCCTCTATTTTGGCCACCCCACTATGTTGGCCACCCCACTTCTCTATGTTGGCCACCCCACTATATTGGCCACCCCACTCCTTTATGTTGGCCACCCCACTATATTGGCCACCCCACTATATTGGCCACTCCACTCCTTTATGTTGGCCACCCCACTATATTGGCCACCCCACTCCTTTATGTTGGCCACCCCACTATATTGGCCACCCCACTATATTGGCCACCCCACTCCTTTATGTTGGCCACCCCACTATATTGGCCACCCCACTCCTTTATGTTGGCCACCCCACTATATTGGCCACCCCACTATATTGGCCACTCCACTCCTCTCTATTTACCAGGGCAAGTCTTGTCTGTTGACTATAAAAAATGTGTTATCACAACTCGACCTACGTATCAGAGCTGTGTTGCTAAAAATAGATCCCCACATACCCTGTATTTAAACACACCTGGTGTGTGCACTTGATCAACCGTGACGGTTGCCTCAAGTTTTGGGTCACCTTTAAACTAAGGTCCTTGACCCTGCTCGCTATGCATGGCTGCACATGGCAAACATTGTGAGAGGACAGCGGTCCCCAGATTGTTGTGGGGGCGACCAGATTGGTGTGGGGGCGACCAGATTGGTGTGGGGGCGACCAGATTGGTGTGGGGGCGACCAGATTGGTGTGGGGGCGACCAGATTGGTGTGGGGGCGACTAGATTGGTGTGGGGGTGACCAGATCGGTGTGGGGGCGTCTAGATTGGTGTGGGGGCGACCAGATTGTTGTGGGGGCGACCAGATTGGTGTGGGGGCGACCAGATTGTTGTGGGGGCGACCAGATTGGTGTGGGGGCGATAAGGTTGGTGTAGGGGTGTGGGGGTGACTAGATTGGTGTGGGGGCGACTAGATTGGTGTGGGGGTGTGGGGACGACCAGATTGGTGTGGGGGTGACCAGAGTGGTGTGGGGGCGACTAGATTGGTGTGGGGGTGACCAGATCGGTGTGGGGGCGTCTAGATTGGTGTGAGAGCGAACAGATTGGTGTGGGGGCGACTAGATTGGTGTGGGGGCGACCAGATTGTTGTTGGGGCGACCAGATTGTTGTGGGGGCGACCAGATTGGTGTGGGGGCAACCAGATTGGTGTGGGGGCGACCAGATTGGTGTGAGGGCGACTAGATTGGTGTGGGGGCGACCAGATTGGTGTGGGGGCGACTAGATTGGTGTGGGGGTGACCAGATCGGTGTGGGGGCGTTTAGATTGGTGTGAGAGCGACCAGATTGGTGTGGGGGCGACTAGATTGGTGTGGTGGCGACTAGATTGGTGTGGGGGCGACCAGATTGGTGTGGGGGCGATTAGATTGGTGTGAGAGCGACCAGATTGGTGTGGGGGCGACTAGATTGGTGTGGGGGCGACCAGATTGGTGTGGGGGCAACCAGATTGGTGTGGGGGCGACCAGATTGGTGTGGGGGCGACTAGATTGGTGTGGGGGCGACCAGATTGGTGTGAGGGCGACTATATTGTTGTGGGGGCGACTAGATTGGTGTGGGGGCGACCAGATTGGTGTGGGGGCGACTAGATTGGTGTGGGGGTGACCAGATCGGTGTGGGGGCGTTTAGATTGGTGTGAGAGCGACCAGATTGGTGTGGGGGCGACTAGATTGGTGTGGTGGCGACTAGATTGGTGTGGGGGCGACCAGATTGGTGTGGGGGCGATTAGATTGGTGTGAGAGCGACCAGATTGGTGTGGGGGCGACTAGATTGGTGTGGTGGCGACTAGATTGGTGTGGGGGCGACCAGATTGGTGTGGGGGCGACTAGATTGTTGTGGGGGCGACTAGATTGGTGTGGGGGCGACCAGATTGTTGTGGGGGCGACTAGATTGGTGTGGGGGCGACTAGATTGGTGTGGGGGCGACTAGATTGTTGTGGGGGCGACCAGATTGTCAGGAGAAGAAATGTCGACGACAAAAGTCCAGCCTCCCATATTTAAACTTAGGCCATGTCAAGCCCACTTGAAAGTGTTCGGGTCACTTCATGTTAGGGTCAATCTATTGATACATGTAATTGTTATTTCCCCTCAGTTTCGAACCCGTTTAATTAATTTTAATAACTAATTAAACATCTTATTAAATTTAAAAAGTAGATAGACTTGTATTGTTATCTAAGTGAGACGTATTTGGAAAGTTTGAACGCAATCGCTGCATTAAAAGTGGGTCAAAAATGACTTACAAGATTTGCCACAAACCCACTAACAGGCGTTGCGAACTAAATAAAATCTTGTAAAAAGGACAGTCTAAACAAGCGGTTGATTTTATCCTCAATTAATTATATATCTTTATCAAGCAGAATTTGATGGTCTTTATTTTCCGAGATGACATGCACATAAACTGTTGTTTCATCTTGGGCTAAATTGGTCTTTTAATCAAACATTGTGGATATTCTTTAATTAACTTTTATAAATTTTTTTTCACTAAATTACAAAGGCGTATGACGACAAGACAGTTACCATGACAACTGGGTGCTGCTATCATTGTGAGATAGTTACCATGACAACTGGGTGCTGCTATCATTGTGAGACAGTTACCATGACAACTGAGGTGCTGGCATCACTGTGGGAACCGCTGTGACCTGACCAACTGACCCAGCCTGTGGTCAATTGGCTTATGGGGGCGGGGCGAGTACAACAGCCTACACATCTACTGTGTACACACACATGTACTGTGTACATACACAGCAAATACTGATGTGCAGCATTATTTATTAACATTAAAATATTTAGATTTAATTTTGCTGCAGTCAGCAGTTTCTACTGAACTGTGAGTGTTCCCTGGATATCTGTGGGTGGAGCGACTGTCCTACTCTCTGTGGAGCCGACTGTCCTTCTGCGTGGAGCCGACTGTTTTACTGTACAAGATGGATCTCCTGAGTTTCTTACACACCCTTGTTTTCCTTCTATGTAAGTTTTCCCTAACTTGTTCTTATTCTTGTGTGTTTGTAAAATATCTCTTGGAAAATAATAGGCAATAATTCGTTTTTTTTATTGAGAAATATTGGCTTAAACCAGACTTGATGAGCAAAAAAATATTGGCTTAAATCAGACTTGATGAGCTGGGTGTAAACTAGATGACATGCAGATCGAATGATTGGACAAAGACTGGTATCATGACTTATATGACTGTCAGCTGTGACAGAGACAACTCAATGACTGTCAGCTATGACAGAGACAACTCAATGACTGAATACATCATCGACTTCAGCTATCAGGGCGCCACATTTATCTTGTGACGTAATCATTCGTGTACGTCTGCTTGCCAAGTCTGCTAGCGACAGTTAGCGTAGAAAGGATTGGGCCATATTTAAGGGCCTGAAAGATTTAAAATATTTTAAATATAAATCTTTTTAATTTAAAATAATTTATTTAATGCTCAGCTTACTTCCTATCTCCAATTTGGCTTCCGATAAAGATATTTAATTAAGTCATTAAAAAACCTTCACACAATAGTAACTTGGTGTACGACCCCAGTTTTACTAACACAAACTCTAAGTCACGAGGTCAAACAAAGCCCAAAGATTCCAGTCTGAAACTATTTGTCAAAACAATCTCACTGAAATCTTTGTCTTTTAACAATTGTAGTTAATATTTTAAGGATGTTCGGACCTGACTACGGCCAGTGTCAGGACCCGGGTCCTTTTCCATCCAAGCAAAATTACCTAAATGATTTTACGTTCTTATTTATTTCACAATGATATGACTAGGCTAATATAACTTCAGGATATGATGAACATGTCTAGTAGACTGGTTTTAACTATTCTGGTCTAACGTCTGGACATTAAGATTTTAAAATTTCTTGACATTAAGATTTCAATAATTTCTATACATTAAGATTTCAATAATTTCACGACATTAAGATTTCAATAATTTCACGACATTAAGATTTCAATAATTTCTGAAAATTAAGATTTCAATAATTTCACGCCATTAAGATTTATTTCTGGACATTAAGATTTCAATAATTTCAAGACATTAAGATTTCAATCATTTCACGACCTTAAGATTTCAATAATTTCTGGACATTAAGATTTCAATAATTTCTGGACATTAAGATTTCAATAATTTCAAGACATTAAGATTTCAATCATTTCACGACCTTAAGATTTCAATAATTTCTGGACATTAAGATTTCAATAATTTCTAGACATTAAGATTTTAATAATTTCACGACATTAAGATTTCAATCATTTCACGACCTTAAGATTTCAATAATTTCTGGACATTAAGATTTCAATAATTTCTGGACATTAAGATTTCAATAATTTCTGGACATTAAGATTTCAATAATTTCAAGACATTAAGATTTCAATAATTTCTGGACATTAAGATTTCAATAATTTCTGGACATTAATATTTCAATAATTTCAAGACATTAAGATTTCAATAATTTCTGGACATTAAGATTTCAATAATTTTTGGACATTAAGATTTCAATAATTTCTGGACATTAATATTTCAATAATTTCTGGACATTAATATTTCAATAATTTCTGGACATTAAGATTTCAATAATTTCTGGACATTAATATTTCAATAATTTCTGGACATTAAGATTTCAATAATTTCTGGACATTAAGATTTCAATAATTTCTGGACATTAAGATTTCAATAATTTCTGGACATTAATATTTCAATAATTTCCCAGCTTGTTTGTTTTCTGGATCTCTGTGCGTGACTTCTACAAGAACGAGCAAGTCGACACCATCCACCACCACCACAACTACAACAACCACCACAGATGGCACACCTGTTGTGACAACCACCGTCCCACCCGGCAACTACGACAAAGGGATGAGGGAATGTCATATGCAGTACCTGGCAGCGGGGGAGAACAGGTGTGTTACACAGGTGCACATTCAGGGGTGGGGGAGGGGACCCCTTTATAGGTGTGTTACACAGATGCACATTCAGGGGTGGGGGAGGGGAACCCTTTACACAGGTGCACATTCAGGGGTGGGGGAGATGACCCCTTTATACATGAATTACACATTAGCAAATTCATGGGTGGGTAGGTGAGCCCCCCCCCCCCCTCCCAACAGATGCGTTACATTCGTGCTCATAGAGGGGTAGTGGCTCCCCATCATTACTTTAGACTAGCCCATCATTGCTTTAGACTAGCCCATCATTGCTTTAGACTCGCCCCATCATTACTTTAGACTCGCCCCATCATTGCTTTAGACTAGCCTATCATTGCTTTAGACTAGCCCATCATTGCTTTAGACTCGCCCCCTCATTGCTTTAGACTAGCCCATCATTGCTTTAGACTAGCCTATCATTGCTTTAGACTAGCCCATCATTGCTTTAGACTCGCCCCCTCATTGCTTTAGACTAGCCCATCATTGCTTTAGACTAGCCCTATCATTGCTTTAGACTCGCCCCATCATTACTTTAGACTAGCCCCATCATTGCTTTAGACTAGCCCATCATTGCTTTAGACTAGCCTATCATTGCTTTAGACTAGCCCATCATTGCTTTAGACTAGCCCTATCATTGCTTTAGACTAGCCCATCATTGCTTTAGACTAGCCCATCATTGCTTTAGACTAGCCCTATCATTGCTTTAGACTAGCCCATCATTGCTTTAGACTAGCCCAACATTGCTTTAGACTAGCCCATCATTGCTTTAGACTAGCCCATCATTGCTTTAGACTAGCCCAACATTGCTTTAGACTAGCCCATCATTGCTTTAGACTAGCCCAACATTGCTTTAGACTCGCCCCATCATTGCTTTAGACTAGCCAATCATTGCTTTAGACTAGCCCAACATTGCTTTAAATCCAATTTGTGTTTCTAAGCTAGCCGCACATTTCCTTCCCAATACGCCTCCCTCACTCCCACACCCCTCTAATACAAGGTATGGACCAGAAAAATCAAAGGAGAGATCAATCGTTAAAAAAAATGTGTGAAGTATTTTTAAAACGTGAAGAAATCTTCGCTCTGAGAATAACTGTAACCATGACAACAATCTGCAACTAACACGTTTTCCTTCCTCCTAACGGTTCTCATATTTTCAGAGAAAACGCCTTCAAGTTCTACGAATGTGCCAGCGCTGTGGAATGTGAGACCACTTTAGAGAATTGTGAATCTCTGAAAACCAGATACCTGAACTACATCAAAAACCAAGAGATCCACTGTAAGAACTCATCATTGCCTGTTTACCTCAAACATCAAATGTTATACTTTGGTCTACTGCTAATCATTGCCTGTTTACCTCAAACATCAAATGTTATACTTTGGTCTGGACTATCATTGCCTGTTTACCTCAAACATCAAATGTTATACTTTGGTCTACTGCTTATCATTGCCTGTTTACCTCAAACATCAAATGCTATACTTTGGTCTACTGCTAATCATTGCCTGTAGCCTATACCTCAAACATCAAATGCTATACTTTGGTCTACTGCTAATCATTGCCTGTTTACCTCAAACATCAAATGTTATACTTTGGTCTACTGCTAATCATTGCCTGTTTACCTCAAACATCAAATGTTATACTTTGGTCTACTGCTAATCTTTACCCACTCCATGCCTGTAGCAAACATTGTACCGGACGTACACTCCACGCCTGTAACTTACATTATACCCTGTAAGCGAGAGATGACCATTCAGCGCCCTACGTGCTGGGTCACCTCATGCGTGTCACACTGGCATCCGTTCAACTCTGACAGTCAGTGACCCGAGACGGTAGCGGGGTGTTAACATACTGTTAGACCATGTTAAACCATACTAGTGGAATAGAGAAATGTACGTGTATTTAAAGACTAGCTGCATACCCGTGCTTCGTCACGTTGAATCTTTTTTTTAAATGTACCAACTTGGGAACAGAACAAAACCAAACACAAACACAATGCAACACCATATAGATACAAACATAAAAGAAAACACAACGCAAACAATCGCAAATTCAAACAAAAACGCAAACATAACGTCAACGCGAACACAAAGCAAACACAGAATAAAACGCAAACGCAACACGCGAACGCAAAAATAAACACAAAAGAACCGCGACACGCACACGCAAACAAAAACGCAAACACGACGCCAAACGAAAAAAACAAAAGAAAACACAAAAGAAAACACACACGAATTATTCTTTACGGGACGTCCGCGCCCAGAGAGAGCCTTTCTCACATTCTTTAATTTAACCATCCCTTCTAATAACACTAAAAAATAATAATAACAAAATAGTGATTTTAAGAGATCACGGAAATATTTTTTTTAAAAACCTATAAAACAAATCAGAAAACAATATAAATAATCTAATCAATAAGGTAGAAGTAAAAAAAAAGAATTACTTAGTTGCAATATTTCGCGTGAGTTGAATTTGTTTTTAAATTACCTCTCCTGGCATAATAATTAAACATTTTAATTGATTCGTTTTATTCGACACTACTGTTATTTAAATGAATCATTATTTTTCTAGGAATATAAGCAAAAATATTCGACATTGATTTGTTTAATATGTTTTGCAATGTGTGTGTATTTAATATTTTCTTTACGTTCTTTTGTTGACGTATGCAAATAAGTTGTTACATAAATAGACCCAACTCTATTAAAATAAGACAATGGCTATGCAAAATAAAATCAAGGCATGTGGTGTTGGTTCTAGAGTCTATACCAATGACAGAAGGAAGGAAGGACTGACACACTACCAGCCCGATTATGTTATAGATCCCTAAATTTTAGATGAAATCAATATTATATATATAAATATATAACATATATATGTACATTATATATACTTATTATATAATTATATATATTCAGTGGCGTAGCGACCCCACCCGGTGCCTGGGGCAATCTTTCAATTTGGTGCCCCCCCCCCCCCCCTATATATTTTTTTTATGATTATAGTTCAAAACAGCAGCTAAAATGAGCTTTTAATTTTTTTCCAACCCATTTTGGCGCCCCTAGAGTCGACGCCCGGTGATATATGTACCTTTCCGCCTTTCCCCTCTCCTTTCGCCTATATATATATATATATATATATATATATATGTGTGTGTGTGTGTGTGTGTGTGTGTGTGTGTGTGTGTGTGTGTGTGTGTAATTATAATTGTGTTTAATGAAAGTTTAACACTGAGCTAACATGTCGTGCTATTATAATTGTGTTCTAACTCTAACGTTGAGCTAACATCACGTGCTATTTTCACAGGGACAGATGAGCTGGACAGTGACAAACGCCGGAACAACGCCATCACCATCTGTGGTGGTGCCACACGCTACATCAACGTCGTCTTCATGGCTGTCGTCCATTTGATGTCCAAGTTTTAAAACTTTACCCTAACTGTTCCCATGACAAACTTCACCCTAACAGTTCTCATGACAAACCACTGCAGGCACAACGTTCATCCAACTGATTTTGTATCATAATATTTTATTACAGATGTCAGTTGATTTAAGCGGCCCCATGTATCTTGGGCACAAAAAGGAAAATATGATGACATTAATTATAAATATGTATAAAGCATTTTTCTATATGGTTTAAATGAAATCTAATCACACTAATGTAGCAATAATAACAAGCAGCTTCTAGCCACAGAGGATGCTTGTTATTTAAATACCCAATTTTTAGCTTTCAGTTATTTTTAAAATTGAATAAAAGTTTGTATTTTTTATCTTTTGATGTAATCTTATTTTATTTATGTTGTTAGAATATCTATGGTGTGATTCCTGACACACATAGTTTTGTATGTGCTTTTTTCTCTTGTGTACTTTCGTGTGAGATTTTTGTTTCCGATGTGACTTCCCCACTTACTTAAGGAAATAAAGTATCTGTAATATCTGTAGAGAGTTGTTCTCTCGAGCTGGCCTTACACAGCCCCACGTCTGGCGGTCTGTCTATTCACCCGCCCGACGGTAAGTCTCCTGACGTCAGATATCAAAACATTTCCAAAGATAAAAGGATTTAAATCAGTCCCAGAAATAAAAGTGGGTCAAAAAAATTAATCCGTTCATGAATATTTCAGTAGTTTTTGTTGTATTATTTTGTTTGTTAATAGTTGTGTTTTTTAATTCAAGAAATAAAAGTCAATTAAATTAGGGTCTTTCGCCACCACAAAAGTGATGAGAACAAAATTCATGGGTGGGGAGAGGTTGGGATCAATTAAATAAAACAGTCCTGCTTGTATGTGACGCTGTAGGGAATCGGGGTCTCCCCAACAATGGCCAAAATATTTCAAGTCCGCTAAATGGTTTGCAATTGTTTCGTTATTGTAAGTCGTACATCACTTTCGTCGCGATGAATTGGTGGCATCCTGCGTAAAATAAAATTCCTAAAATGATGTAATATGTCGCAGACGGTGCACCATACTCTCCACAGAGGTCGCCTTATCAACGCTTCGTTTTGTAGGTGTGTGTTACGTCTTTGATCGATTCGCTCCAATAGTTTTATGTAACTCTAAAGAACATTCGTTTTGATAGTGTTAAAGTATACCAGAGGTTCTCAGTGCATTACTGTGAGAGTCCGTGTCACAGGTGAAGTAGAGTGCAGCTGGGCATTTCTCGTCGTCATTTCAAATGGTCAGCACAATGACCAGCAATTGGAATATCCAGAGTGAGAGTTTATCAACACAAACGTACAAACATGTGTCTCAACACTTTGCCTGCACTCAGTCAAGCGATAGAGCTCACGGACTAGACTCGCTAGGACGTCACTATGTCCGGTACATCGTTTCTATACCAACATCACAGTCCTACCAACATCACAGTCCTACCAACATCATAGTCCTACCAACATCATAGTCCTACCAACATCATAGTCCTACCAACATCATAGTCCTACCAACATCATAGTCCTACCAACATCACAGTCCTACCAACATCACAGTCCTACCAACATCATAGTCCTACCAACATCATAGTCCTACCAACATCATAGTCCTACCAACATCACAGTCCTACCAACATCACAGTCCTCCCACAATCATGTGTATTCCAACATCACAGTCCTACCACAATCATGTGTATTCCAACATCATAGTCCTACCACAATCATGTGTATACTAACATCACAGTCGTACTAAAATCTCTTGTATATCAACCACACCAAATATCTATAAATAGAAAACGTTTCGAACATAAGTAAACAGCAAACACCTGTCATAAAACAATCTATAAATAGCTAGACAGGTAACTTGATTGGTCAAATAATTCCAAATCAAACTACGCATCATTTCAGCAAAACATTTTTAGACCCCCTGATTGTTACGACATTGTTTGGGTGTCTTTAGAGTCTAGAACCTTTTCTTTAAGGCAACTAGCTTTAAGAAAACATTCGTGTCTCTGTCCGTGACTGCCGTGGGACCCATTAGCTCGAGGATTTACATCACGGATACATCGTGGGGACTTCTGTCTTGTGATTTTCTACAGCTTTAGGGAACAAGGGATCAGTTGGATGAACGTGTAGTACAGGCGTTGTGTAATCGTTGTGTAATCATTGTGTAATCGTTGGGCACTTGATGGTTTTAAAACAAACATGAACCTCCGTGTTGAGGATAGTGTTCTAATTGTCGGTAAGTTGGAGTTGGTACACCACCACTAGGTTAGGCTAATGTTGGTACACCACCACTAGACTAAGTTAGGCTAATGTTAGGACACAATTAGACTAAGTTAGGCTAATGTTAGGACACCACTAGACTAAGTTAGGCTAATGTTAAAACAACACTAGACTAAGGCTAATATTAGGACACCACTAGACTAAGTTAGGCTAATGTTAGGACACCACTAGACTAAGTTAGGCTAATGTTAGGACACCACTAGACTAAGTTAGGCTAATGTTAGGACACCACTAGACTAAGTTAGGCTAATGTTAAAACAACACTAGACTAAGGCTAATATTAGGACACCACTAGACTAAGTTAGGCTAATGTTAGGACACCACTAGACTAAGTTAGGCTAATGTTAGGACACCACTAGACTAAGTTAGGCTAATATTAAGACACCACTAGACTAAGTTAGGCTAATGTTAGGACACCACTAGACTAAGTTAGGCTAATGTTAAAACAACACTAGACTAAGGCTAATATTAGGACACCACTAGACTAAGTTAGGCTAATGTTAGGACACCACTAGACTAAGTTAGGCTAATGTTAGGACACCACTAGACTAAGTTAGGCTAATATTAAGACACCACTAGACTAAGTTAAGGACATCACTAAGTTATCGTCATTATTTGCTGAGATATGTAAACTATGTTTGAGATAATGTAAACGGTGTCTCTTGTTCCAATATTTGAACTGGGATTTGAAACTTCAGCGGAATGTATTGTTGCTATGGAAACCAATGATTCTAAAGATTTACGTCTCAAATTCGAATTATTTAAACTGTGGAAGTAAGCGGTTAGCGGGTGTCAATGTAAACAAACTTAATCCAAAGTGGTTAATTCCTAAATTTAATCCAAAAAGGTAAATTCCTAAATTTAATCCAAAAAGGTAAATTCCTAAATTTAATCTAGATTTCAGTAAACAAAATAAATCAATCAATCATAAATGTATTAAATGTATAATTAATTATGGAAGCAAATCCAAAAAAAAAAAGCAGGCTGAAATTTCAGTCAACGGCATAAATGACGCATAACCAGTTGCACATATTCTTAATTGTGTTGGAGGGAATTCCTTTCAACACTAAATAATAAATACATAAAAACGTTCATAATTACAAGCTTTTATGAATGCACTAAAAAGTGCAAAGTCAAACAAATATGCAAACTCAAAAGCAAACGCTTTATTAAATTTTTTTGTGAGAGAGAGCCCCCTCCAACATTCTCTAATTTAACCAGCCCTTTAAATAACAAAAAAAAACAAAAAAAAAACCACAAGTGGTTTTAAAATATATAAAACTATGTACCGACTAATTAGAAAATAATATAAGTAATCTTAACTTTAATCTATTACAATTATAATCCTTAACATAATAATCAATGTGGTGTGGAAAAAAATTACTTAAATAGCAATATTTAGTGTGAGTTGAATTTCTGTTTTAAATTACTCCCCCCCCCCCCTTGAATAATTATTAAACATTTTAGTTGAGTAGTTTTATTCTACACTAATTTTATTTCTAACAATATAAGCGATAATATTATTTGATATTGACATTAATTTGTTTTAGTAATGTACGTAGGCTATATGTAATATTTTCTTTACGTTCTTTTGTTGACGTATGCAAAACAGTAAAAACTTTGCCAACTATCAAAAACTTAAGTCATTACATAAATATCTCCTACTCCTATTATGTGCCCGTCAGGTTTGAAAAGGGAACTCTACCCAACTCAACTTATGAGATTAAGCAATGCAAAACAAAATCACGGCACGTGATGATGTTTCCTTTTCTAGAATCTATAGCGATGACGGAATGACGGACGGACTGACACACTACTAGGCCACTTATATTATAGATTAGACTGTAATATACTAGTTAGACTGTAATATACTAAAATTAGACTACTACCTAACCCAGGGAATCTTAAAATAGACAGCAATGTACCAGCTGACCCTTTCTCACACGGAAAAGGGGAGCACACAGATAGAATGTAAAACACTAACTTACACAGGTAGAAGAGAATACACTATCTCACACAGTGTATACTTTAGTTTAGATGCAGATAGATCTATATAGCAATCAAGCAAAACAGATTTGCTAACAATAATTGTGATATCAATTAAGTAGGTCAATTGACATACACAAGAACGGCAAACAGCCAATCGATCCAGATATAATCAATAACCAGAAATAGCCAATAACCACTAAAACTGACATGAATGAAACAAAAACACACCTCTTAGGAATCCAAAGAAAATATGGTCAAAAATAATTGCATTGACTTCATTTAACACACAATCAAATTTAATGCAACTAAACAATTCGAATATACAAAGTGGCTAAGTGGAAAATGTCAATTATAAAGCACAAGGGGAGATAAATAGGTCCAACAGTCACAATACACCCAAAGAAATGGTCTCCCCCCCCCCCCATCCCCAAAAAAATAATTTTCTACACATACGTAGCTCTTGTATTAAACTTTTTGTGCAGCCTTGTTGAGCCTCGTGACGGTGACCCAGGCAGTGACGCCACCACCCACACCAGTGGCGCCCGATGTCTCTTGTGGTGACGTCATGGACGAATGCCAGACGGCCTTTAGTCAAAGTCAACGAACAAGGTATGTGCTAGTGCTTTGTGTGTGTGTGTGTGGTTGTATGTGCTGGTGCTTTGTGTGTATGTGTGCGGTTGTATGTGATGGTGCTTTGTGTGTATGGTTGTATGTGCTGGTGCTTTGTGTGTGCGGTTGTATGTGATGGTGCTTTGTGTGTGCGGTTGTATGTGATGGTGCTTTGTGTGTGGTTGTATGTGATGGTGCTTTGTGTGTGTGTGGTTGTATGTGATGGTGCTTTGTGTGTGCGGTTGTATGTGATGGTGCTTTGTGTGTGCGGTTGTATGTGATGGTGCTTTGTGTGTGGTTGTATGTGATGGTGCTTCGTGTGTATGGTTGTATGTGCTGGTGCTTTGTGTGTATGTGTGCGGTTGTATGTGATGGTGCTTTGTGTGTATGTGTGCGGTTGTATGTGATGGTGCTTTGTGTGTGTGGTTGTATGTGCTAGTGCTTTGTGTGTGTGGTTGTATGTGCTAGTGCTTTGTGTGTGTGGTTGTGTGCTAGTGCTTTGTGTGTGTGTGTGTGTGGTTGTATGTGATGGTGCTTTAGTACTGTATACAGAAAATTTAAAATGGAAGTGTTTTTGTGTACGCGACTGTGTGTTTGTGTGTATGTGTGTGTACAAGTAAATGGTTTTAGCGACCCCCTTGTCCTCACTAAACGTTTCCTCCCCCCTCCACCCCCCCCTCCCTCAGGGCTGACGTCAGAGCTCTCCAGCAGTGCGTCAATGACGTCGACTGTGGCGATGACGCCGATGGGGAGGCGAAAAAGGAAAAGTTGTCGCTCTACATCAAGCTGTCAGTGCTGCACTGTAGGTGCTGGGTTTAGGTGCTGGGTTAGGGTTTAGGTGCTGGGTTGGGGTTTAGGCGCTGGGTTAGGGTTTAGGTGCTGGGTTAGGGTTTAGGTGCTGGGTTAGGGTTTAGATGCTGGGTTAGGGTTTAGATGCTGGGTTAGGGTTTAGGTGCTGGGTTAGGGTTTAGGTGCTGGGTTAGGGTTTAGGTGCTGCGTTAGGGTTTAGGTGCTGGGTTAGGGTTTTGGTGCTGGGTTAGGGTTTAGATGCTGGATTAGGGTTTAGGCGCTGGGTTAGGGTTTAGGTGCTGGGTTAGGGTTTAGATGCTGGGTTAGGGTTTAGATGCTGGGTTAGGGTTTAGGTGCTGGGTTAGGGTTTAGGTGCTGGGTTAGGGTTTAGGTGCTGCGTTAGGGTTTAGGTGCTGGGTTAGGGTTTTGGTGCTGGGTTAGGGTTTAGATGCTGGATTAGGGTTTAGGCGCTGGGTTAGGGTTTAGGTGCTGGGTTAGGGTTTAGGTGCTGGGTTAGGGTTTAGGTGCTGCGTTAGGGTTTAGGTGCTGGGTTAGGGTTTTGTTGCTGGGTTAGGGTTTAGATGCTGGATTAGGGTTTAGGTGCTGGATTAGGGTTTAGGTGCTGCGTTAGGGTTTAGGTGCTGGGTTAGGGTTTAGGTGCTGGGTTAGGGTTTAGGTGCTGGGTTAGGGTTTTGGTGCTGGGTTAGGGTTTTGGTGCTGGGTTAGGGTTTAGATGCTGGATTAGGGTTTAGGTGCTGGGTTAGGGTTTTGGTGCTGGGTTAGGGTTTAGCTGCGGCGTTAGGGTTTAGGTACTGGGTTAGGGTTTAGGTGCTGGGTTAGGGTTTAGGTGCTGGGTTAGGGTTTAGGTGCTGGGTTAGGGTTTAGGTGCTGGGTTAGGGTTTAGGTGCTGCGTTAGGGTTTAGGTGCTGGGTTAGGGTTTTGGTGCTGGGTTAGGGTTTAGATGCTGGATTAGGGTTTAGGCGCTGGGTTAGGGTTTAGGTGCTGGGTTAGGGTTTAGGTGCTGGGTTAGGGTTTTGGTGCTGCGTTAGGGTTTAGGTGCTGGGTTAGGGTTTTGGTGCTGGGTTAGGGTTTAGATGCTGGATTAGGGTTTAGGCGCTGGGTTAGGGTTTAGGTGCTGGGTTAGGGTTTAGGTGCTGGGTTAGGGTTTAGGTGCTGCGTTAGGGTTTAGGTGCTGGGTTAGGGTTTTGTTGCTGGGTTAGGGTTTAGATGCTGGATTAGGGTTTAGGTGCTGGATTAGGGTTTAGGTGCTGCGTTAGGGTTTAGGTGCTGGGTTAGGGTTTAGGTGCTGGGTTAGGGTTTAGGTGCTGGGTTAGGGTTTTGGTGCTGGGTTAGGGTTTTGGTGCTGGGTTAGGGTTTAGATGCTGGATTAGGGTTTAGGTGCTGGGTTAGGGTTTTGGTGCTGGGTTAGGGTTAGGGTTTAGATGCTGGATTAGGGTTTAGGTGCTGGGTTAGGGTTTAGGTGCTGCGTTAGGGTTTAGGTGCTGGGTTAGGGTTTAGGTGCTGGGTTAGGGTTTTGGTGCTGGGTTAGGGTTTAGGTGCTGGGTTGGGGTTTAGGCGCTGGGTTAGGGTTTAGGTGCTGGGTTAGGGTTTAGGTGCTGGGTTAGGGTTTAGATGCTGGATTAGGGTTTAGGTGCTGGGTTAGGGTTTAGGTGCTGCGTTAGGGTTTAGGTGCTGGGTTAGGGTTTAGGTGCTGGGTTAGGGTTTTGGTGCTGGGTTAGGGTTTAGCTGCGGCGTTAGGGTTTAGGTACTGGGTTAGTGTTTAGATGCTGGATTAGGGTTTAGGTGCTGGGTTAGGGTTTAGGTGCTGGGTTAGGGTTTAGGTGCTGGGTTAGGGTTTAGGTGCTGGGTTAGGGTTTAGGTGCTGGGTTAGGGTTTAGGTGCTGCGTTAGGGTTTAGGTGCTGGGTTAGGGTTTAGGTGCTGGGTTAGGGTTTAGGTGCTGGGTTAATGTGTAGGTGTTGGTTAGGGTTAGGGTTTAGGTGCTGGGTTAATGTGTAGGTGTTGGTTAGGGTTTAGGTGCTGGGTTAGGGTTTAGGTGCTGGGTTAGGGTTTAGGTGTTGGTTAGGGTTAGGGTTTAGGTGCTGGGTTAATGTGTAGGTGTTGGTTAGGGTTAGGGTTTAGGTGCTGGGTTAGGGTTTAGGTGCTGGGTTAGGGTTTAGGTGCTGCGTTAGGGTTTAGGTGCTGGGTTAGGGTTTAGGTGCTGGGTTAATGTGTAGGTGTTGGTTAGGGTTAGGGTTTAGGTGCTGGGTTAATGTGTAGGTGTTGGTTAGGGTTAGGGTTAGGGTTTAGGTGCTACTTAGGCTTTAAGTGCGGGGTTACGGTAAGCCTATAATGATGAAATTATGATAGTACACCCTGTAAGTTGCAGGGTTTATTTAAAGCCTTCAGTTGAAAACAGACATTTGTTTGTGCCAATCTATAAAACCAGACTTTTCTTTTCGTCATGTAAGACTTTATAAAGTCAGACTTTTCTTTTCGTCATGTATCACTTTATAAAGTCAGACTTTTGTTTGTGCAGACTCCAGATCCGATGAGTACGGCCATAACACAGCACCCACACTGTACGGCCCGTGTGCTGAAGTTGTGGCCACATTAAGCTTGCTGCTCTACACGATCTTGGCCATGTAGCGCCACAAACACCATCATCACCAACTAGATCAGCGTCAACATCACCAACTACATCATCGATAACTAGATCAACACCAACATCACCAACTAGATCAGCGTCAACATCACCAACTACATCATCGATAACTAGATCAACACCAACATCACCAACTAGATCAGCGTCAACATCACCAGCTAGATCAACACCAACATCACCAACTAGATCAACACCAACATCACCAACTAGATCAGCACCAACATCACCAACTAGATCAGCACCAACATCACCAACTAGATCAACACCAACATCACCAACTAGATCAGCGTCAACATCACCAACTAGATCAACACCAACATCACCAACTAGATCAACACCAACATCACCAACTAGATCAACACCAACATCACCAACTAGATCAACACCGACATCACCAACTAGATCAACACCAACATCACCAACTAGATCAGCACCAACATCACCAACTAGATCAGCACCAACATCACCAACTAGATCAACACCAACATCACCAACTAGATCAGCGTCAACATCACCAGCTAGATCAGCACCAACATCACCAACTAGATCAACACCAACATCACCAACTAGATCAACACCAACATCACCAACTAGATCAGCACCAACACCACCAACTAGATCAGCGTCAACATCACCAACTAGATCAGCACCAACATCACCAACTAGATCAACACCAACATCACCAACTAGATCAACACCAACATCACCAACTAGATCAACACCTACATCACCAACTAGATCAACACCGACATCACCACAAGATAATTTATTAATCATAGATGCTCTTGGTGAGAAAGATTCCAAAAAGTAAATCGCCATATCGTCTTTTATTTCACATTTCTCCTCACAACATGTGAAACAACGAGCGACTGGTCTGTTTCAAACAGCAGGCTGCTTACAAATATTTGAAATACTTGATTGGTTCGAAAATGGTGAGAAAATTCTCAGCGTCGCATTAGAGTGTACTAGCCATCAAAGGGAAATAACCTTTCGGACAGCTATATTTTTGTCTTTATTTAAACAAGACAATCTGTGTACTCATTTAGTACTCCCATTATCCGTCACACTACTCAATGACTTTTACATTGGTCACGCCAAAACACCGTATCACGCCAAAACACCGTATCACGACAAAACACCGTATCACCGCCAAAAATTCCTCACACAAAAACATAATCACCCAGTTCATCCCGACACACATTAGATGTTTATGGTACAGCCTACGTCTGTCCAGATTTTTTTTTGTTCCGGTGAAACTAAAATTCAACTTTTTAAACGACTGACCTGAGGATATAAAAAGAATGAAACAGTTCAAAGCAAATTGGACAGAAAAGTATGGTAGACTTACAAACAAAAACATTTGACAGAAAATTTGTTAAACTTACAGAAGAGAAAGTATGACAGTTTATGACAAATCAATTAAAACAGTAACAGACTAGAAAATTCGACATAAGATGAATGACTTAGGACTGACATACAACACGTTGAATTAATATGTCTCACTTACCAATTATGTATTAAAAAGATTCATATGCTCTTAAACATTATAATAAAAACTATTCTAAATATAAACTCTTTTGGTTTTTTTTTTTACTAACGTTGACTAGAATTGACTACAGTTGACTAATGGTTTACAAAGTGACTGTTTTGTTTCACGAGAAAAATTAGTACATATTTTCTACCAGAACTGACGTCATAGGCCTATATATTTTTATAAATACGCCATCTTGCTCACTCAAAAATAAACATCAGTGAAAAAGAAAATATTTCAAAACAAATTGTCTTGACCCAGTTTTGTGTCTGTTGGTTGGGTTTGGTCGGACAAACTCGCACTACTTAGATTATACCTACATGTGTATCGTATAGTAAAATAATATAGTAAAAGTAACTATAGAGAATCTCGTTATAGATCTATCATCTAACATAGTTAAATAATATCAAATAATATAAATATTGTCGTGGTTTATTTATCTGGATCAGTCATGTAGTTTAGATTTTCTCATAGTCTCATAGCGTGGTAACATTGTAAATTTTGAGATCTTTTCATTTTAGGTGTGCTTAGCAAAACAGCAATGCTATTTGTGAGGATCATGCAAGCCCTAGCGTTAGGTGAATATTATTTAATTTGTTGAACAACGGCACAGTCCATGTGGCGGTGAGACGCTGACTAAATACGTCACTCAAAATGTTGGTCTAATTCTCTGAACCGTTGACTAAATACGTCACTCAAGATGAACTGCACAACGGTGTCTCACCACAAGACCCCATTACAGAACTGACCTGCAGACCCCATTACAGACCCCACCAGGCACCCCTGACAAGCTACATCATCTCACACCCCATCACCAGTCCACACCCACAGACCCTCACACCACATCACCAGTCCACACCCACAGACCCTCACACCACATCACCAGTCCACACCCACAGACCCTCACACCCCATCACCAGTCCACACCCACAGACCCTCACACCCCATCACCAGTCCACACCCACAGACCCTCACACCCCATCACCAGTCCACACCCACAGACCCTCACACCCCATCACCAGTCCACACCCACAGACCCTCACACCCCATCACCAGTCCACACCCACAGACCCTCACACCCCATCACCAGTCCACACCCACAGACCCTCACACCACATCACCAGTCCACACCCACAGACCCTCACACCACTTCACCAGTCCACACCCACAGACCCTCACACCACATCACCAGTCCACACCCACAGACCCTCACACCACATCACCAGTCCACACCCACAGACCCTCACACCACATCACCAGTCCACACCCACAGACCCTCACACCCCATCACCAGTCCACACCCACAGACCCTCACACCCCATCACCAGTCCACACCCACAGACCCTCACACCCCATCACCAGTCCACACCCACAGACCCTCACACCCCATCACCAGTCCACACCCACAGACCCTCACACCCCATCACCAGTCCACACCCACAGACCCTCACACCACATCACCAGTCCACACCCACAGACCCTCACACCACATCACCAGTCCACACCCACAGACCCTCACACCCCATCACCAGTCCACACCCACAGACCCTCACACCCCATCACCAGTCCACACCCACAGACCCTCACACCCCATCACCAGTCCACACCCACAGACCCTCACACCCCATCACCAGTCCACACCCACAGACCCTCACACCCCATCACCAGTCCACACCCACAGACCCTCACACCACATCACCAGTCCACACCCACAGACCCTCACACCACATCACCAGTCCACACCCACAGACCCTCACACCCCATCACCAGTCCACACCCACAGACCCTCACACCCCATCACCAGTCCACACCCACAGACCCTCACACCACATCACCAGTCCACACCCACAGACCCTCACACCACATCACCAGTCCACACCCACAGACCCTCACACCCCATCACCAGTCCACACCCACAGACCCTCACACCCCATCACCAGTCCACACCCACAGACCCTCACACCCCATCACCAGTCCACACCCACAGACCCTCACACCCCATCACCAGTCCACACCCACAGACCCTCACACCCCATCACCAGTCCACACCCACAGACCCTCACACCCCATCACCAGTCCACACCCACAGACCCTCACACCCCATCACCAGTCCACACCCACAGACCCTCACACCACATCACCAGTCCACACCCACAGACCCTCACACCCCATCACCAGTCCACACCCACAGACCCTCACACCCCATCACCAGTCCACACCCACAGACCCTCACACCACATCACCAGTCCACACCCACAGACCCTCACACCCCATCACCAGTCCACACCCACAGACCCTCACACCCCATCACCAGTCCACACCCACAGACCCTCACACCACTTCACCAGTCCACACCCACAGACCCTCACACCACTTCACCAGTCCACACCCACAGACCCTCACACCACTTCACCAGTCCACACCCACAGACCCTCACACCACATCACCAGTCCACACCCACAGACCCTCACACCACTTCACCAGTCCACACCCACAGACCCTCACACCCCATCACCAGTCCACACCCACAGACCCTCACACCACATCACCAGTCCACACCCACAGACCCTCACACCACATCACCAGTCCACACCCACAGACCCTCACACCACTTCACCAGTCCACACCCACAGACCCTCACACCACATCACCAGTCCACACCCACAGACCCTCACACCACATCACCAGTCCACACCCACAGACCCTCACACCCCATCACCAGTCCACACCCACAGACCCTCACACCCCATCACCAGTCCACCCACAGACCCTCACACCACATCACCAGTCCACACCCACAGACCCTCACACCACATCACCAGTCCACACCCACAGACCCTCACACCACATCACCAGTCCACACCCACAGACCCTCACACCACATCACCAGTCCACACCCACAGACCCTCACACCCCATCACCAGTCCACACCCACAGACCCTCACACCCCATCACCAGTCCACACCCACAGACCCTCACACCCCATCACCAGTCCACACCCACAGACCCTCACACCCCATCACCAGTCCACACCCACAGACCCTCACACCACATCACCAGTCCACCCACAGACCCTCACACTGTCCCCATTTTTCCGACTGTCCGTTCTAGCCTTGACCTTGGTTGACCCCTGTGCTGGCACCAGGAGACGCTCCCCACCTGTCATCTCCTACAGGTGTGTCGACGCCGTGGAGAAGTGCGAGGCTATCTTACTCGAGGAGGCGGAGAACATGTAAGACGTTGTCAGGGTTGGCCTTGGGGTTGGCCTTAGGAGGCGGAGAACATGTAAGACGTTGTCAGGGTTGGCCTTGGGGTTGGCCTTAGGAGGCGGAGAACATGTAAGACGTTGTCAGGGTTGGCCTTGGGGTTGGCCTTAGGAGGCGGAGAACATGTAAGACGTTGTCAGGGTTGGCCTTGGGGTTGGCCTTAGGAGGCGGAGAACATGTAAGACGTTGTCAGGGTTGGCCTTGGGGTTGGCCTTAGGAGGCGGAGAACATGTAAGACGTTGTCAGGGTTGGCCTTGGGGTTGGCCTTAGGAGGCGGAGAACATGTAAGACGTTGTCAGGGTTGGCCTTGGGGTTGGCATGTAAGACGTTATTGGGGTTGGCATGTAAGACGTTATCAGGGTTGGGGTTGGCCTTAGGAGGCGGAGAACATGTAAGACGTTGTCAGGGTTGGCCTTGGGGTTGGCATGTAAGACGTTATTGGGGTTGGCATGTAAGACGTTATCAGGGTTGGGGTTGGCCTTAGGAGGCGGAGAACATGTAAGACGTTGTCAGGGTTGGTCTTGGGGTTGGCATGTAAGACGTTGTCAGGGTTGGTCTTGGGGTTGGCATGTAAGACGTTATCAGGGTTGGCCTTGGGGTTGGCATGACATTAGATGTTGGGTTGGCTTTAGTGGTTGGCTAACATTAAGTTTAGGGTTGGCTGACATTAAATGTAAGGTTGGCTTTTGTGGTTGCCTGACATTAAATCTGTTAATGGACTTGACTATTAAAGGAAAGTTATCCGCAATAAATCTGCCATGTTTTGTTTATCAAAACGTTTCCAAAAACTATGTGATAATCCATACAACAATGACGTACCCAACAACCCCCCCCCCCCCCCCCCCACAAATAGAAACTTGTATGCAGCATTCTACGACTGTGTACTCGGCTACAACTGTTTCCCGGATAAAAACGGTGACGTCCACAAACCTCCACCAGTCTCGCAGATTTTCCAGGATTTTAAAATGAGTGAGTACAAGATTTGAGTGAGGTGTTTGACCGAGGGTTGGGGCTCCGCTCATTTAGCAGTCAGTTGGTCATTGTAGAAGTCAGTTGGTCATTGTAGCAGTCAGTTGGTCATTGTAGCAGTCAGTTGGTCACTGTAGCAATCGGTTGGTCATTGTAGCAGTCAGTTGGTCATTGTAGCAGTCAGTTGGTCATTGTAGCAGTCAGTTGGTCATTGTAGCAGTCAGTTGGTCATTGTAGCAGTCAGTTGGTCATTGTAGCAGTCAGTTGGTCACTGTGATGGGGCCCATTTTGAAACAGATTTCATATCTTGTGCTGGTGATCTTGAACCGGGTGTTTGATGGGGGGCTTCTGATGGGTGGCTTTTGACATCAGTTGGGGTGGCTTCTGACATCAGGTGGGGTGGTTCACGTTGAGAATTTGTTTTTAGAATTCAAAGATGTTGGCACTTTGTTTTTACATCTGATTTTATTCCACAGGGCAGTTGTCTACACAGATCAACTCGAGTCAACATTCTCTTCAGATCAACTCTGTCTCACTGGTTGCTTTAGTCATACTGTACCAGGCTGTGCTGCCCTAAACATATTGTACCAAGCTGTGCCAGGGGCGTAGCGGGGGGCGGACCGCACCGGGTGACACCATTTAGGGGGTGACACCAAGGCAAAAAATGGCAAAATATAGAGAGAAAAACTTGAGGGGGGTGCAAATCGAAAGTTTGAGGGGGGGGGTGCAAATCGAAAACTTGAAAGTTTGTCCCCGGTAAGGGTCGCAACGCCTCTGGGGGGGGTGACACCATTAAGTGCCGCACCGGGTGACACCCGACCTCGCTACGCCACTGAGCTGTGCTGCCCAAACCATACTGTACCAAGCTGCCTTAACCATACTGTACCATGCTGTACCATGTCGTGCTACCCTTACCATTAGATTAATGTAAAATAAAACGTAAGAAATGGATCTTATGGGTGTTGTAACAAATTATTGGGATGCAGGTGGGGTGGGGTGCAGGTGGGGGTGGGGTTAATATCTGGTGTCATGCGTCCGTTGTAAGAGAAACTTGCTTAAGCAATGTTTTCAGCTGACCAATGGACCACGTCACGTGAGATGTTTTCAGCTGACCACGTCACGTGAGATGTTTTTAGTAGACCACGTCACGTGAGATGTTTTAGTAGACCACGTCACGTGAGATGTTTTTAGTAGACCACATCACGTAAGATGTTTTTAGTAGACCACGTCACGTGAGATGTTTTCAGCTGACCACGTCATGTGAGATGTTTTTAGTAGACCACGTCACGTGAGATGTTTTTAGTAGACCACGTCACGTGAAATGTTTTTAGTAGACCACGTCACGTGAGATATTTTTAGTAGACCACGTCACGTGAGATGTTTTTAGTAGACCACGTCACGTGGGATGTTTTTAGTAGACCACGTCACGTGAGATGTTTTAGTAGACCACGTCACGTGAGATGTCAGATGTCTAGCTTAAAACAAACCTTACAGAGATGACATCTATGCATGAATAGCAGACTTTTGTTTTGTTTAACTGTCTGTTTGTCCGTCTGTTTTCATGGATCGAAACTGCCGAACGAAATTTCGAGCACTTCTGGCTGACCGATTCGTTTCAAACTTGACACGTAAGTCAAGACCCGATGAATTAATAAAATGTACTAAATGAAGTAAGGGTCCTACTCAGAGGCGTAGGGGGGGGGGGCGGGGGTGCGGACCGCACCGAGTGACACCATTTAGGGGGGGGGGGGGGTGACACCAAGGCAAAAAATAGTAAAATATATAGAGAAAATTTTGAGCGGGGGGGGGGTGCGAATCGAAAATTGAAAGTTTGTTCCGGGGAAGGGTCGCTACGCCTTTGGGGGGTGACACCATTAAGTGCAGCACCGGGTGACACCCGACCTCGCTACGCCACTGGTCCTACTATTTACCGCACTATTATACTATACGCGCATGTTCATGCTCATTTGGTGCGCAAAAGTTTTTAGTCATGCAACTGTGTTGTATTGAAAATGTTTACTGAAACAAAACATGCATACAAAAAACGTTTTAATAACAAGCATTTATGTACTAATGCACTAAAAAAAGAAAATGAATTATTTTCTTTAAATATATAGCAATACACTGGGGTCTTTTTAACTTTCTTGATCGAGTCATGTTGGTCTATGGATCTGATCTACTGGATGCTACAGCCATTGGAGCTCTGATAAATGTGGGTCTATAAATAAAACACTGCATATTTCTTTAGAACGTAAATTTTGAACGAACTACACCTTCTCTATCCACGACAATCTTTAAGTCTACTGATCTCAAATACTGCTAGCCGACTAAATTCACTTCAGCAAGTTGACTAGTTCTTGTTTGCCTTGTGTTAGTTGTATTGGTTCCTATTGACTTGACCTGCCTATTATTCTAGCCGAATTCTTTTCTCTGCAAACATGCGTCATCACAGTGCAGTGGTTGCTTTATGTCACTTTATGAGAGTGTTGTAGAAAAACGTGTGAAAATACTCCTGGTTACCCTGACTGTCGGAGACTTCTTGTACATTTTGGTTGTTTTGTTGGTGGCTGGAGGTGGCGCCACAAGCTGATGTGTGATTGACTGGATTGGGAGAAGCGGGAAGGTTCGAACAAAGCTTGCTGCGCCATTCTTTGTTTGCTTGACAATGTGGCTCCACTTAGTGGCAATCTGGATCTTTGATTAGGTTCTTGTGTTGGCTAGGGTGTGATGACGCCGATTCTTTGGTCGCTGTGTGTGACGTAAGGTGTGTGGACGGGATATCGTGTGACGGGGGTTGCATGGTGTCGTCTTTGTTGAACTGGTCACGTGTGTTTGTACGTCACTTGTTCCGTGTGACGGGGGTTGCATGGTGTCGTCTTTGTTGAACTAGTCACGTGTGTTTGTACGTCACTTGCGCCGTGTGCCTGTAAAACAAATTAAAACAACTTCACCCCCCCCCCTCCCTTTCTGAATAGCACATTTTTAAAATATATTTTTTTGTAAACCGCCAATAATAACTCTTGAATACTGCAAAGTTTGAGTTATTATTATCATTAGGTATATTGATAAAAAAAATACCTGTGCATACTATAGTGTGACACACACCAGGATGTCACGACCCCCTTCAATAGACAAGCAAAATTTATGTAGTCATACTCATTTTTTTTTTAAATCTTTAGAAAAATATGGAAAGCCATAAACTTATAGTTAGATTTTAAAAACGTATAGCTCTTTGGGAACCATCGATTAAACTTATCTTTATATGTATGTATTAAATATAACTGCCACAAATTGAAAGACAAAAATTATGAACTAAATAAAAGCTTATAAAAAGGAAGGATTTGTATGTTCGTTATAGCCATCCATCTCTGTACTTTATCCGATTGGCTACTTAGCGTGCAGTTTATACGATTCTTAACGAAGATTAGCCACAACATTTAAGGAAAACTAAAATCATTGTTGTATATATTTTTTTGTGATTTTGATATCAAGTGAAGGTTGGCATCAGACTTTATTTTTTTTTTACTTTTTTTGTAAGTGATGTAAGCTGCAGTTTTCCCCAATAATATTATCTGAAAAGTAACTATTTATCAATGTTATTCATTATTTTGATAATACATACATTTATATGATAAAATATTTTTTTTTTTTACAATTTTTACCTCCCCCCTCCCCTCCGTCATACGTCTTCACAAAAACCCAGACCACCCCCCCCTAAAATGACGTCACACCTCAGCCTACAACCCTCCTCAAAATTGCTGTTAAATTTTTCTTCAAACATCGATATTTTTCCAAAATCTTTTCAGAACGCTGTCAACATAGAGTATTTCGATTAATTCCTATTACAATTTATTAAAACCGTTTTCTAAAACGCGAAATAACGACTAAAGCTGGTTTTCTAACATTGCTTTTTTATAATGCAAAAGTGTGACGTCACACCATCTGAACCCCCCCCTCCCCTTCATCCAGTGTTTCTTCCAGACTTTTTTCTCCGGGGGGGGGGGGGGGGCACTTGAAATTTTCGGGGGGGGGGGGGGGGCGGTAGACTTTCTTCGGGGGGGGGGGGGGGGCGGACACTGTTAAAAGTATATATTTTCTATATAAATTATATAAATTTCATTTCGTTCGGGGGGGGGGGGGGCGGTAAAATGCCTGGAAGAAACTCTGCCTTCATCACACACCGTCACAAAATTACGGATCCCCCCTCCCCCCTATGAGTGTGACGTCGTTTATGGACCACCCCATATCAAAATTTCCCTTTTACAACCCGTCCTTTGTCATGTCTACTAGGAATGTGCAAAGTTATATTGCATTGTTTTTAATTTTTTTTTTAGTTCTTTTGTTTTTACTGTTTACATAAAAAATTGCTCAATTTGACCCCAAATTTCTCTAAAAATATATAAAGCCCACCCCGCCGGCGATGACGCTAGTAGCTAGACAAAGCTTAGGCTTAGCAGTTTGCTATATATAAATCAAGCAGGTAGCCGCTGTTGGTCAAACCCAACCAACCATTCAGCAGAAGTCAGCTGACCGTTTAGTCAGGTGGTCAGAGAGTATTTGAGCACGCCACGCTAATAGTGTAGTCAGTTAAGTGAAAATCTTAGGACGATGTACTCAAATTATAGTTTGTAAGAGCTGGACAGATCTAGATCTAGTGATAAAATAGTTTATAGAGAAACAGTTTGGCTGTTTTTGGCTGAATTCAGTATTTAGACAGTTAACAAAAAAATGGCGACCTCCACAACTGCAGCAGTCAACACAGACTATTCTTATTATAGAACTCCCCTTGCATCGCGGTATGCTAGTCATGAAATGAAAACGAATTTTGGGGATCAAAAGAAATTCTCAACATGGAGAAAGTTATGGCTTTACCTGGCTAAAGCTGAGAAGGTATTTGACTAGATCTAGATCTAAGATACTAACTAAAACTCCATTGTTGCGTATTTTAAAATTTTATTCGCCGCTTCACGTTCACCTCCGGTTGAGCGAATTTACTCAGTATTTGTATTATTATACTTTATTATACTATTTTTTATAGGCCTATATATATGGCTATAGCCTAGGCCTAATATTGCTAATAATATAAATATATAAATCTACTAGATCTATCTATTATCGGTAATCCCTTAGTTTAGCGTCGGTTATTATTCCGGAATCGTATAGCAGTAAAAAACAGTAAAACAATGCCAAAGTCTGTCACACACTTCCGGAATTCACCGGAAGTACTGTAAACTATACTTTATTTGGTGTCATCTTTTATTTTTATACAGAATGTTTGAAATTTAGATAGATTTATTTTTGTAATCATTTTTACATTTTGTAATCATTTTTACTATTTTCGTAATCTAGATTTTTTTACTTGGCCTAGCAGCTAGATATCTAGCTAGATCTAGATCTAATTCTAATTAATTAATGGTCGCAAATCCGCTGCAAGCCAAAAACATTAAATTTTTACATTTGACTTCATTATTTATATATTAAAATAATTTTTTTTTGAATTTTTAGATCTATTAATTTAAATCTACTATTATATTTATTCTTGTTTCCTTTTTTCGATTAAACTTAAAAAAAATTAAAACATTAATTTACTACAATCGACTTTCAATTTATTTATATTTCAATGGTCAAATAAACGAGAGTTTACCGTAACTCTATTTACCGAAACTCAACAAACATTACCCGATAATTTCCGACGCTAAACTAAGGGATTACCCTATTATCTATAACTAGGGCCTAGATCTAGATCTAGATCTAGAATCTAGATGAGTCTACATACTACACAACGGTACACAACCAAATACACAAAAACGTTAGGAAAACACTAGGATTAAGTACTAAGTACATAGATCTCTAGTAGGAGATAGATTAGTAATTTTTAGTTAGGCCTAATCATAATAATAATTAGATCTCTAATTAATAGGCCTAATAGATACAAGATTGTAAGATAGGCCTATGGATCTATTAAAAATCTATACATTTTTTTACGAATGTGTTTTAATTAAAAAAGGTAAAACATTTTAATTAGCCTAATAAAATAATAAGGCCCTAAGCATTAGGGCTTACAGGTCCAATTAAATAGGGTCTGATTGTCGGCGGGAGAAAAATCCCTACATGGTGAAGGGTTCACTGTGAGTTGCATTGACTCTAATAATACTCTAATTATCAGCATACGTCATAGCTTAGGGTCATTGTGAGTTTGTATATGTTTATTTAAAGATCTAATCTAGTATCATGTGTGCGAGATATTTTTAACAATACAAACTTAACCTACTTGCATTTATGAGTTTCTCCTTTAAAGACACGAACCTATTTTCAAGAGAAAAAAAAGCTAAATCTAGTGCACATTCAAATTTAATATTCCATGTTTTGACAAAAAATATTAACATAAATTAAAACAAAAGTTCATAAAGAAATAGGCATAATGTTTTGGTTGTGTCTATAATAAAATACGCTCAACTGGAGGTGAATGTGAAGCAGGGAATAAAATACGCTAAAATGGAGTTTTACCCTAGATTGTACTAGATTCTAGATAACTAGATCTAGATTCTAGTAGTAAGATAAGTTAAAAAGAAGAAAGATAATTTAAAATTTATTTTAACTTGAAATTTAGTAATCTATCGTTTTAGCTAAGAATTTTGGTTTAGCTACCTAAAATCGTCCGAGGCTTGCAACTAAAGAAGAAAGGTAGCTCATTAGACTAGTTAACTAGTAGGCCCTAAATTTTAATTCATTCACATTTTTAGGAGATTTATGTTTAGAACATTACAAAAATGTTTCAAAGTTTCATTCATGTACCTGTTTTTAAACATTTGTATTAAAACTTTTTTCAGTAGGCCTTAATAATATTAAATAAAGGGCAAATCTCACGATAGGCCCTAGTGTAAAAAATCGCCTGGTAATTTGTTTCGTAAACATTCCTTACTGTAAATAGTGTAGTGTAAACTCATGGGTCATCCATAAATGACGTCACGCTTTTTTTGATGATTTTGACCCCCCTCCCCTACGTGACACATTGTCCCAAAATGCCAGACCCCCTGCACTCTGTCAACTTAGAGTATTTTAATCGATTCCTATTGCAATTTATTAACACAGTTTTCTAAAACATAAAATTACAGACCGCCTACGGCCTACGAGTGTGACGTCATTTATGAACAACCCCATAGTTTATTTGACCGTTGAAATAAAAAGTCGAGTGTATTAATTTAGGCCTAATGTGTTAACTTAATTTTAGTCTTAATAGACAGAAAATTAGCAACAATTAGGGCCCAGTAGAACTAAGGTTTTTTTTTTAAGAAACACGGGGAAAAAAACTTGTAGAAGGTTTGCAACAACTAGATCTAAGCCTAGTAAAATAAAATGCTGTTTAGATCTAGATCTACTAAAACAGTAAGAAATACACTTTAAATTGTTGTATTTAATTTAAAATGCAACTAAAGTTAATCTATGCAAATTTGTAAACATTATTTATTTTTAAAAAATATTGCACCAAATTAGATATGGTTTACAGTACTTTCTGTGGTTTCCGGAACGGAGGGACAAATGAGACTCCACCATGGTTTTACTGTTTTTCACTGCTGTACCATTCTGGAATAATAACCAACGCTATATTATGAGATAACCAAATAAATATGAGCAATGTTTTCATCAGATGCAACCAAGCTCATTTTTAATCTAGAATCAATGTTATAAATTATAAAAGTTGCAAATCCAGAGAACTTGAAAATAATTTTTTGAGTTTAAGGCTACTTTTCTATTTATTTTCATTATGCCTAATTCATAACCCGATGTTTCACTTTCGTAAGACAAACATGTTTTAGCTGTACAGGAACTCTTTGATCCATTTTCTAAAATAAGATAAGGCACAATAGTTTTTATGATTAGATTACTTTAGGCCTAACTGGATTTCTTACGTTAAGAAATGAAACCATCTTTCATACTATTCAAATTTTTCTATTTTTCTTTGGCAGCTTCTCCCATTCCACATCCACAACCTGTAACATTCTCATCACCGTTGCTCTCCACATTCACAACCTGTAACATTCTCATCACCGTTGCTCTCCACATTCACAACCTGTAACATTCTCATCACCGTTGCTCTCCACATTCACAACCTGTAACATTCTCATCACCGTTGCTCTCCACATTCACAACCTGTAACATTCTCATCACCGTTGCTCTCCACATTCACAATCTGTAACATTCTCATCACCGTTGCTCTCCACATTCACAACCTGTAACATTCTCATCACCGTTGCTCTCCACATTCACAACCTGTAACATTCTCATCACCGTTGCTCTCCACATTCACAACCTGTAACATTCTCATCACCGTTGCTCTCCACATTCACAACCTGTAACATTCTCATCACCGTTGCTCTCCACATTCACAACCTGTAACATTCTCATCACCGTTGCTCTCCACATTCAATCCAGAAACAATAATATATGAACTACTTGATGATGCCCTATTTTCTATTGGAGCTGATACTAATTCTGCTATTAGGTACATCTAACTAATGGTTCCAATTTTTTTTTAAAGTGCCTACTTTAAATTTATAAATGTTCAGAAGTAATCGCTTTTCATGTCTTTTAAAGCTGTTTTTACTTTCTCGTATATACGAAGTATAGAGAAAGTCTTGTATTCGTGCAAAAAATTTAAAAAACTGAGATTTTTGCAAATCTTGACGTTTTACACCTCACTTATAAGGAAAAACATAATTTTGCAATCTTGTCCATGTATGTCTGTAAACACGATAACTTGACGACCGTTACATCTAGGTTGATGAAATTTCATATATAAGTATTTTATCAAAATCGTAGATCCGTATCAACTTTTGAGCAATTTCCGATAGCCGGAAGTGGTACTTTTTTACTTTGAATTTTTCAAAAGCCTATAACTTGAGTACTATTTCAGATAGATAAATGAAATTTCACATGTAGGTAAAAGATCTAATTCTTTACCTTCTTTCAAATTTTGAGTAATTTCCGTTGACCAGAAGTACTAATTTACACTATTTCCAATTTCTCAAAAACTAATGTAAATTTATAAAGTACTAATAATATTGCGCACTATTATGCACATTTTATTTGGCGTTCACTGGTGTGCAATTCTTTTTTTCTAGGAGATTTTATTCTATTTTAAAAAGTTTAAGTATTTAAAATGGATTAAAATTCATGTCTATATCCCTAGTTCCCATCCCCTGTGTTTTTTATATAAGAATATTCGAGATCAATACCGGTTTATTTTTTTTCATAATTATATCAGCCATTTTTATAATCAGGAACTAGGGTTAGCCATAACAGAGGAGCAGATAGAAGAGATGGAGAAAAACATAGACAACATAGACTTCCAGCTGGCAGCAAGGGAGGAGAAGAAATACAGGCATGATGTGATGGCACATGTCCATACATTTGGTGCCTTGTGCCCTAAAGCAGCCCCCATAATCCATCTTGGTGCTACCTCGTGTTATGTTGGAGACAACACTGTAAGCTCTTAACTATCTTTACAAGTGACTACATTAAGGCCCTGATCAAACATATTTAATTTTTGATTTTTGGAATACCTGATTTTAAATAAAATAATACATTTTCTACTTTGCAGGACTTGATAGTACTAAGAGATGGACTTGAAATTCTTAAGCCTAAGGTAGAGTATCAGTATTTTTTTCCAAGCATTGATTTAAGTTTCTCATCTTTGTATTTCATTACTGAGTGAAAAAATTGCTTTATTAAAATATGATGCAATAGATTAAAACACTCAGCATAACAATTTTAAGAAATGGAAAACCTCTAAATAAAAGCATTATTTATATAGATATAAAGATACATATTTTTTACTGTGAAAGCCTTTTTAACTTACTAGTTTGGTTTGCCATCAGCAAGTTATCTACTCTACTTCATTAGTCATTCTCAGCATTCTTATATCAGTTTGTAGAAGAGTATTAAATTAAATAATTGCCAATTTCTTAAAGTGCCTATTAATTCTGATGATCTAATCTTCTTATGTAGTTTAAGATTTAATGTATTTTGTAAAAGTAATTCAGGGAACTTTTTTTAAAAATTGTCTAATATTGAAAAAAAATTGTCCATTTCTGCAAATCTAGTTGGCTTCTTGCATAGACCAGCTTACCAAATTTGCACTAGAACACAAGAGTCTTCCATGCCTCTCCTATACTCATCTTCAGTAAGTTTTTTGAACAATTCATTTTATATAGACTTCTAAATTCCAAGCAATATTGCCCATTTTTATTGGAAGCTTCTTTTTTGTTGTACTCTAGAATTTGTTTGATTGTTTTTGTTTGTTACTGAGTATGTACTACTGTTTTGTTTTTTACTGAGTATGTACTACTGTTTTGTTTTTTACTGAGTATTTACCACTGTTTTGGTTGATTACGTGACTATGTATCACTGTGTTTTGGTTGGTTATGTGATTATGTACTACTGTGTTTTTGATTACCTATGTACTACTGTATTTTGGTTGATTACCTGACTATGTACTACTGTATTTTGGTTGATTACCTGACTATGTACTACTGTATTTTGGTTGATTACCTGACTATGTACTACTGTGTTTTTGATTACCTATGTACTACTGTGACCTATGTACTACAGTGTTTTGGTTGACTATGTGACTATGTACTACCGTGTTTTGGTTGATTACGTGACTATGTACTACCGTGTTTTTGATTACCTATGTACTACTATTGTACTATGTTTTGGTTGATTACGTGACTATGTACTGCTGTGTTTTGGTTGATTACCTGACTATGTACTACTGTATTTTGGTTGATTATGTGACTATGTACTACTGTGTTGTGGTTGATTACGTGACCTATGTACTACTGTGTTTTGGTTGATTATGTGACTACGTACCACTGTGTTGTGGTTGATTATGTGACTATGTACTACTGTGTTTTTGATTACCTGACTATGTACTACTGTATTTTGGTTGATTATGTGACTATGTACTACTGTGTTTTGGTTGATTACGTGACCTATGTACTACTGTGTTTTGGTTGATTATGTGACTATGTACTACTTTTTTTTTGATTACTTGACTATGTGCTATTTCAATTCTCAGGGCAGCACAGGTCTCAACGGTCGGCAAGCGTGCCTGTATTTGGGCACAAGAGCTGCTCATGGATTTGATAAACTTTGAGAAAATCACTAGTGAGCTCAGGTTTCGGGGGGTGAAGGGAACCACAGGCACCCAGGCCAGTTTCCTCACGTTGTTTGAAGGTGATGGAAGCAAAGTTGAAAAACTGGACGACATTGTAACAGAGATGGCTGGTTTTAAAAGGCAAATTTCTTTTAGTTTTTAAAGTTATCACATTTATTTTGACATTTATATCTTGAAAAATTAACTTGAGAGGGGTGTGACCATTGATTCTGTTTTTGCAGCCATTTCATTATTTGTGGCCAGACTTACCCAAGAAAAATTGATGTTGCAATCCTGTCAGCTTTTGCCAGCTTTGGGGCATCTGTCCACAAGGTAGAGCTTACTATTACTTACTACCCAAGTTAGGGAAATGTTGGACATGTGTTAATGTTAGGGGTCATTTATTATATAGAGTTGTAGCAGAACCTAATTTCTTATTTCTTAATAACTGGGTCCCTACTACACAGTGAGCTGATTTAAAAATATAATAAATACATCATAATCACAAGCTTTTAAATGCGCTGAAAAAAAAAAAACTTGCTCTTTTAAATAAAAGCTTTAGTAGTTAAAATATGTAAAATCTCATGTGCAGTAGATTGTGATCTCTAAAAGACAGAATGTCAGCCCCCTCTACGTGGTGTACACTCAAGCAATCAACCGTGACCCAACAATATATAGTCTTAACCACAGCTCAACTAGTTATCTCCCCTTTAATTATTCAATAAAGTAATCATTTGTAATTAATTTTTAATGACAAATCTGATCTCTAATTAGATTAAAAACTAGGTATCCTTGTATTGCCCTCGAAGAAGAATGTATTTGGAAAGTTCGAACTATATCCTATTTTCTTATTTTCAGTGTATTGTTATTGTGAAGGTTTTTATATTTATTTGCTTTTCAACTTTAGGTAATTTGTTTTAAATGAAGTTGACACTTCATCTACATATGCTTCGACTAAAATTATTTGTGTTAAAACCCGACTAGTAGCTTGCGATCTCTAAAAGGCAGTTGTCTCGACCTTCTTTGATTCAATGCTCATCAAGAAACCAGCCAACCGTGATAACATTCCATCCCCCCTGCACGGCAAGCTATTAGTTACTTTTAAATCTTGTTATCTGTTAATTAAATTTTAATGACTAGACTACTGTCTAATTAGAATAAAAATTAGATATTTTGAATTGTCATCAAAGACAAAGGTAGCTGGAAAGTTTGAACTGTATCACTGCATTAGAAGTGGGTCAAAATTGTCATAAACCCACAGACGTTGCAAGCTGAGTAAAAGCTTGTTAAAAAACTATATTTTAGTGATTATTTATCAACTCTACAATGTTAAATTATTTTACCAAATATGTTATTAGAAAAATGGCAGTTTACATTTATAAACAATTAAACCCCAGTGTTCCAACCCCAACCTATTTTCTTATACACAGAAATTAACTGTTTGATACAAAAAACATGCATTTTAATTTATACATTTATTATTATCCATGTGGGTTTGAAAAAAGTTTAGGAAGTAATACTGATTTTTTTTATTTTAACCCTCTTTGAGTTGGAAAAGAATAGATTTTCTATCTTATCTCACTATTTCAATTAGATGGACTATATTTATAGATCTAGTATTAGATTTTGTTTGTAGGTTTTTATCAACTTTTGTTGATTTTCTGTAACCGTCAGTGGTATGTCACACTATATATGTATGAACATGATAACATTTACACAAAATTTTTATATACAGGTCTTTGTTTCTATCATTTGTTATCTTGAAAAATAAGTCCGTTATGTTTCTATAGTCTAATTCAGGGGTCTCCAAACTACGGCCCGCGGGCCGCCGGCCCGCGAGGTCCTCTCATCCGGCCCGCGGCGATCTTTTTGTCCACGGAAAAAACGTTTGTTGGTTATGGCTGAGGATCTTTGCCCCGAAAAATCAAAGACATGCCTGGAAGAAACTGGCCCCCCAACTGAAATTTGATAGTTAATGCGGCCCTCAGACTGAAAAGTTTGGAGACCCCTGGTCTAATTCAACTAGAAGTGCCTGCACAACACATTAAATTTTGTGTACTAATGGTTGGGTACACCTTATTTTAATAAGTAGAGGAGATATGCTCTCTCAGAGGGCAGGAAATCACACAAAAAAATTGTCAGGACATATTTGAATTCATTCTTTGTGGTTAGCATTTTGCTGGTTCAATACTTTAAAATTAAAACTACACAAATGACTTAAATGAAATAGTTTGTTTTACCTACAAACATAAATTTTAATCAGTGTTGTAGGGACAAGTACTTTTCTATTTTTGCTATTTGTTAATTGAAGGGGATAATTTAATTCGGGCATTAAAAATGGATGAGCTCATTGTTAAATGTTTTTAAAAAAACTATTGATGATTGCTAACATTGTTTTATACTCATATTTCATTGTTTAGATCTGCACAGATATTAGGCTTCTGGCCAGTTTTAAAGAACTGGAAGAGCCCTTTGAGGCTGAGCAAATTGGTTAGTATTGTTCATAATCAACTGTTATCAACACAAAATATTACATTTTGAATCTTAAAATGCTAAAAGCCTACCCACATTGCTAGTTATAAACCTTTAATTACTTCTTCAGGTTCTAGTGCCATGCCTTACAAGAGAAATCCGATGAGAAGTGAACGATGTTGTTCTCTAGCACGGCTGCTAATTAGTCTTGTTCAAAACCCTCTACAAACAGCATCAGTCCAATGGATGGAGAGGACATTAGACGACAGTGCCAATCGGCGAATAGTTTTACCTGAGGCTTATCTGGCTGCAGATGCAATCATCAACACACTTCAGAATATTTTTGAAGGAATTGTTATTTACCCAAAGGTATAAACTAAAACCTCTGTAATCATATCAATATTCAAAGCCAAAAAAACATTTAACAACAAATTTTTTATTAAAAAACAAAAATTTTGTAACCCAACAGGCATAAAAAGTATTTAAGGTTTGGAATTTTTCCTTATGGAAGTTTAAAATGTGACATGACATCTTAAAAATGCAATGTACATGTAAAATTTTCTATCAACACAGGTAATAACAAAAAGATTAAATGATGAGCTGCCATTTATGGCCACAGAAAACATCATCATGGCCATGGTGAAAACAGCAGGTGGTAATCGGCAGGTCTGTTATACATTCAAAAATTATTTTTTTGTACAATTTAAAATTTTACAGAACAGGATGGAACTTAGAAACACTTAGTTGAAAAGTATAATTATTGTTTTTTGACAAAGCATGCTTTACTTTAGGAATGCCATGAAAGATTGAGAATTTTGGCAATAGAAAGTGCTACAGCAATGAAGACTGAAGGTGTGCCATGTGATTTGTTAGATCGCATTAAAGAGGATAAATATTTTGGAGCAATAATAGACAAACTAGAGAGTTGTCTGGATCCTGCATCTTTCTATGGTTTATCAGTTAGACAGGTAATTAGCAATTGAACTTTAGAATCCAATTTTTTAAACATTATTTATTCAACTCTCAAGGTCAGTTGGATTAGAGAACTAATTGTTTTAACTTCGTTGCAGGTGGAGAGATTTGTCGATGAAGAAATTTTGCCTGTTCTCCAAAAGTATAAAGGAAATATTACAAAATCTACACAGCTGGAGATTTGAGTGACCTGGATGGTTTATTTGGTGCATGTCATGGACTCCATGAACATTCCACGTGGTGTTTTCATTAAAGCATTTAGATGTTGCTCAATTACAAACCTTAAATTGTGTATTAAAAATGATGTAATCACAATAAACAAGTCATTCAAATATGTACATAACAGAAATCCTAAAAGAAATCAGTAAATTAAACTTCTCAGCAGAAAATGCGTTCCTGTATCAGTTTTCATCTTCTTCAACCCACTGATCATCATCATCCAGATTTCCATCAATTTCTACCTTGTCTGATTGGTCGGTTGCTATCAAATTCTCTTCATCTGTTCTGACTGCAGTTAGAGGTTGGGGACTTGTCACTACCTGTGGTGAAGACCACATTTATAAGTGGGCTATGTTGCATAAAAGTACCTCACTACAAATGCTGACTTTCCCAGTCACCTTTTTAAGCATAACAGATCTTAAAAATAAGCTGCTTAATCAGGTTAATGACTTTCGCAAAAATATTGTGTTCTTAATTTTAGTGTTGGGATTCCCTCCAGCACAATTATACGCGTGTCAACTGGTTATGCGCTACTTAGGCCATTGACTCCAAATTTCAGCCTGCTTTTCTTTTTGGATTTGCTTCCATAGCCTTTGCCCAACCAAGAACTAACTACAAGGCAGCAGTTGTTTAATTTTGGAGGTGTCACTCCTAGAAGAGGGGCTGTCCCCAGCTAACCAGCCTCTTCTGCCAGTGGTTCGAACACAAGACTTTTCAGTTTAGTAACCATAAGCTTTACTGAATCAACCACACTGTCACATCAGTTATTTGGTAATTACACTAGCTCAAGTTCAGAATTACTAGTTTAATTAATTTAACAAAATAACCACAGGTTTTGAATAATCAAATGCATGTATAGTACTAAATTGTCACTATTTAGCCTATTTGTGATGTGAGAAAAACCATCACAAAAAAAGTGAATGAAATAATACACAAAAGATGCAGGTAATTAGAATTGAATCTACAACTGCTCAACACAGTACAGTAATTGATGTCTGAAGAATAAGCTAAGAAAGGGCATCGAGTCCACTTTGCATGCACAGAAATCTTGTCTGCTGTCCAGCTTTAAGGAGGTTGGAAGGCAGGTGAATCTTCCACATTGTCACTTTTTTCCTTTTATTGCTAGCAGAGGTGCACACAACTTTCATTGTACTTTTATTTGAAAAACAAAACCATAGCGAACAATTTAACCTAAAAGATCCTAAACAACCACCAACAAAGCTCAAATGTCCAAAAGCAAATTACTACTAGACATTTTATTATTTTTATGAGCATACCTCATATGCATTGGGATCAAAAGTTCCAATTTCAAATACTCCATTCCCATCTGCTGCATCATGAGTAGTAGTTAAGTCAGGCGTGTCTATGGCTGGGTTCTGCTCAGTGAATTGTTGCTGCTGCACATGCTGCAGATGTTCCAGTTGGTATTGCTGGTACTGGTGCTGCTGAAGGTGCATTTGGTTCTGGTGAGCTGACTGAGAGAAATGGGCTGGCTGTTGTAGATTAAGTGCCAGTTGAGAGCTGTTATTTAGATTGGATTGACCTGTAAATCCTTGACCCTCTAGTGGTATAGAAGGAGGGGGTATTCTAGTATTGACCATTATCTGCAAAATAAGGAAACATTCACATGGTAGTACCACTAGCAACACTATTAATAGTGGCTACAGTATAAACTACATTTTTCCTACGCTTACCTGTGGTCCACTTTCTGACAAAACAGGACAGTCGTTACTACTCTGTGACAAAACAGAGGCCGGACTAGCAGAATTCCTTCCTAATGCTGAATCTTGTCCAAAAGAATTCTCTCTAGTAAACAGGAACATAAAAAAATAAATTTAAAAAAAAAAAAACAATCTAAAAGCTCACAGAAACACAAGATTAAGAAAATGACACAACTTACCCAAATATTGCTCCCTGAGTATCTGAGCCAATAGACTGACAGAGATATTCAGATCTTAAACAGTTCTCTGCAGTTGGTCTGTGTAGTGGGTTGCTTTTCAAAACATTTTGTAGAAATATATTTAGATTGTAATCCTGGAAAAGTACATTAGGTAAGAATGAGGGTCATGACACCTAATGCAACTGGTAGCATTTATTAATTTTTGTGTGTGTCCTGTAATATTAAAGATCTATTTACCAGAGGAACAAACGAAAAATCTACACCCCCATCTCTGGTTTCCACAAATGAAACATTGGGATAATGCATCTGCAATAAGAAAGGTGTTTTGATCAAGCCCATATGGTATGAGGTGATAAGTGTCACAAAAAATAACTATCTAGATCTAGCTTTGAACTGATTTTTCAATCTAGCTGAATATTGTCATGTATTATTTATTTCTAGGGAAAAAACAATGCAAAAAATGTGTATACAATGAATTTATTAAGTTTTAAAAACCATTATTAGGGTCTGAAATATAAACTTTTATTATGGCAGCAAATTTTAGGCACTATTTTCAAATCACGCCATTAGGAATACCTTGTAGAAAATATAAAAACAAGCAGAAACTGGCCATGGTTAAACTCATTTAAAAGCAGCTAACAACTAAGATGGTAGACTCACCCATAAAGTAAGCAGACCTAAGCAATAAACATCAACAACATGTGCTGGTTCAAATGACATTTTATTCTGCTTCATCTCTGGGGCCATTAATTCAATGCCACTGCTGGTGCTATATTTGCTGTGGCACCTATCATCCTAAAACCAAGACACAATGGACAGATTATAATGAACACTTTTGGAGTTTTCTAAACCAGGGTATCACAGCAAGAAAACAATGTTAGCCACTTACATCAGTTAATGTAAAATTTGGAGGAAGTAACTTAGCAGTGCCCTCTTCATCTACAACAACATACTCAGGCTGTACTTGCCCATGCACGAAATTGAAGAGATGCAATGCTTGAAGTGCTTTACACAAGCTATTTACAATTGACTGACATTGCTGAAAAGATTTGTACATGAAACTGAGATCAGATGAAACCAACTATTTAAATGGCTGACAGATGAGCTTTCAACAATGAATCAGTTAGGTATATTATCCCAGAGTACAAGATAGCCTCTTATGGCTACATATCTTTAGCATTAGATGTTAAAGGTTAAGTACCAGAAATGTAATCAAGTCTTAACCTGCTTGGAGAGAGATCCAGATTCAACTAGTGTTGACAGAAGCTCTCCATTCTTCTTGACTTCCACATACATATGCCGACTATCCTAAGGAAATATGACACATTTTAATGTGGTGAAATGAGGATAATCTAGGGAGGTCGACGAAGTTGGGTCAGTTAAGCTCATGGTTGCTGAACCGAAAAGTCCTGAGTATAAACCCCAGGCAGATAAGGCTCAATAATTGGGGACAGCCACTCATCTAGGAGAGACAACTCCAAAATCAAACAACTGTTGCCTTATAGTTTGTTCTTTGTTGGACAAAGGTTATGTAAGCAAATCCAAAAGCAGGCTGAAATCGTAGTTGACTTGTAATAATTGTTGGAGGGAATACCTTCCAATACTAGAATTAAGAATGTAGAAGAAGAAAGAATAAACAAAGTATGATACTGTAAAAAAAAAATATGCTGACCTTGTCAAAAAACACAGCATATACAGGTTCAAGAAAAGGAGAGGAAGCGTTAGAGTAGAGTGCCATTTGTGATAGAATTTCATCCTTCCCCAGTTTGCTGGAACCTAGAAAATATTCCTGAAAATAAACAACAATAGACCTGGGTAAAAACAATTGACACATTTCATTCCAGTACAAAGATAAAGGTCTGGTAAATATAATCTTTACCTTAATAAAGACAGGTTCATTATCCAGTTGTGAAATGAACATCCCACTCAAGCTGTTGCCTACACTGGACAGTTTATATTGGTCAGGAGAATGAGACAATTTGACCAATCCATTGTAGGTCTAGGACACAGTAAAAAAAATAATTTTTTAAACATTTACTCAAAGTGTTGAAAATACTTGAGTAACATTTCTGTCTATAAGCATACAGTTTTGAGATAAGTACAACGATTTTTCATATTTAAACATTTGTATGTTAACTTTTATATGCCAACAGGCTTTACTGCTTGTTGATACTATTTTACGATTTGTCTGAATACTATGATACAATTTGTCAGTTACTTTACTAATTGCGCAACTGTTTGATTATAGTTATTGTAAATTTATAAATATTTTATATACACCTGCGACAAATAAAAAATATATGTGTATGAGAGATAGAGCTAAAAATGCCCAGTCTTATGACTGAATCCACATCAGAGAGAGAGAAGTGATGCATTTTTCTTATACTTACTAAATATGTGCTGAAACCAATATCAGAGTCGGCACTTATGAGTTCAGGGAAATGTGCTCTAGCTAGATCACTGAGACCAACCTACAATAAACAATTGGGATGGATGATTCATCTATAGTTCACTACAATAAAATGGCACAAGCATAAAATTAATTTGGCTTATTGAATAAAATTATTTACCATGATTCTGTCTTCTTCTTTCAAAGCTTTATGAATGTTACTTCTTATATTTTCTAGATCTCTAGCCACTTGCTCCAGTTCACTTGCATCATGATTCTACAGTTTCAGACAGTTCATTAAAACATTTACAATATTTTGTGCATAATTGTATAAAGTGGTTTATATCACTACCTATATTCAACTACCTGGATATTAAAATGTATATAAGAAGGCCCTAATGAAAAATCCAACAATATTTTTGCTATAAAGTTTAACCAACCTCTTCAGCATCAACTTTATCCGCTAGCTTATGACGAAGCTTGGATTTAAGATTTTTCAACTTAAGTCGCACAGCTTGGAGTTCTTCAGTACAGGGTTTGGTTTCTAACCATGGTGCTATGTCCTCTTTAAGTTTGGTGAACTCATGTAGAACTTTATACAGTTGATCAACAGCATTGGCTTCATCTTTTAGTTCATTCAAGAGAGTTTGAACTAATGTTGCAAGAAAAATAGCATCACAACTGTTTTCCTGTTTAGAAAAACAAGGTACAAGACTTGTTGACCTGCATAGTACATAACATAATAAGAAATATGAATCACAGCAGCAAATATTATGCTATAAATAAACTATGGGTAGTTAAGGTGAAAGTGTATTTGCTTGTATCGCACAAACTAAGTTAGAAGTAAGAAAAACCCAACAAAAATTCTGACTGAATAGCTTATCTTTTAAGTTTACTTTCATTAGAGAATAAATTAGAGAATAAACACATGTGCTTACAGTCTCAGCTATAGCTACTTCTTGTTGTAAGGCCTTGGTATAATATTTCAGGGTTGCATCCAGATCCTCAGTCAAATCTTCTGCATCAACATCAGGGTTCAGAGAAATAGACTAGAAGAGAGATTAAAAAAACATGGATCAACACCATAGCTCAAAGAAATAGACTAGCCTAGAAGAGAGGTAATGAAAAATCAGCAGCATATTAACAAATATTTATAATACTTACATTTTTCAACTGGTCCAAGACAGAATTCACTGAACATTCTATACTGTCACTATTTAGCCTGGCACCAATAATTTCATTTTTCTTTTTCATCTATGAAATTAAGTATTTTAAATATTGAATTAGAAAAATATTGACAAAGAAATCTTTCAAAATAAGTAACAATATGTATTAAGTTGATTTATTAAACTTTTAAATTAGGTAAAACTCAAATGTGATACCTTCCATTCTTCAAAAGTAGGCAACAATCTATCAACAGGAGGCAGCTGTGATATAGTGTATTTGGTAAACGTGTCATAGTGTTTTGTTAGGGAAGATACCACATCCTGTCAATCATAAGAAACAACATGATCATCAAATACTGTGCAAGTATAGGGAAGTAGTTAGGTACTACACAGTCCAGACACTTTGAAAGCAACATATTATTGAGAAAATTATTACCTGCACTTGTTTGCCCCTGTCTTTTAGTGAGACTTTACTGATTTCACCAATAGTCAGACTCAGCTTGTCATGCAGGTCCTTTCTCAGCAAATCTCTAGCTACTGTTTTCTCTATAAGAAGAGCCTAAAAGATTTGTTTTTAACTATGTAAAATGGACTAGAATATAATAATGTGCATACGTGAGTGATATACAAATTTAATATTTTACTGTTTATGATAGCAATATTCATAGACAGAACCATTCACAGTGTGTTTTTTTTTTAGCAATAAAATATGAAGTCTGTCTTTAAATTGCTTCATTTAATTTCTTGATTACAATAAAAACTCCTGGATATATGTACTTACAGGATCAGAACACTTGATTATCTCATCCTGGGCATTCCTATAGACTTTGATAGACTTGTGTGCATCAGGCAGAGACTGAACCATTTGAATTTTTATTTTACCAGGAGCTTGAATCAAAGCAAGAGCACAATCCAGAGGGGTTTCTTTGTTCATAGGAAACTGGTTGCTTTAACAAAAGTTAAGTTAAACTTAAGTTGTTTTTCTAATGGAAGTTGTAAACCACACTGCTTCACTTAAATTTATCACATATAGAATATCTGATGCAATTTTAGTCATTATAATATAGTGTTACCTTGTTATACAAGTGCCCTAACGTAACAATTAACATATGAGATATTTTTAGTTAAATACAGTAGAGCGAATTGGTTATAAAATATAAGAAAAATTTGAGATAAGAGCAAAGGGCCTATAGAGGAAAGAGTGAGGGGGAAAGGCAAATAACAGTAAGTTAATAGAAATTCATTACAAAAATAAAGGCACAAGTAACAAAAAAATTTACAGTAGCATTTAGGTTCATCTTCATTAATTATAATATTGAAGGGAATTACCCCAACCTAATTGCATGCCAACATGTGATGTGCCATATGATTGGTTAACTTTGATTTCAGCCATTTTTCTTTCATAACCTTTATCCACTTAAGACCAATTGGTCTGGTTTTTTAAATTTTCTCTCCTAGATGAGTTACTTTCCCCAATTAATGAATGTGTCTCATCTATATGGCTGTCCAAACTCTTGACTTAAAGTTCTTTGTCATTTACAAATGTTTTCTTATTAAAATAAACGTTTAAAAAAACAGGTGGATTTCTGACATTTCAACTGGAAAAATTACTTTGAAGTACAAACTAATCAAATATATTGATGTTCCACTGAACATGCTTAACCTATTAAACCTAGCTGCTTTTGGTTTCTGAAATATACACACTTAAATCATAATAAAAAGCAATATACCATTTATTATGTCTAAGAAAAAATAGTGTACTAATTTACAAGTAAAAATAACATAAACCTAGAAAAACAAAAAAAAAAAACAACAACCTAACACTGATGCTATTATTTTAATAAAAAAAGAAAAAAACATGGTCACTAGAACTGCTTTGTTTCATTTATTATTAATAACATTATTAACAAAGCCTTCATTTATATCACTGTATTAATTACATTATTAACAAAGCCCAATCAACTGAAAAGCCCTGATTAGGTGAAAATAAAAATTGCAACCTTTAAACAGAAAAAGCAGAAAATTTACTGCTAGTGATACGTCTTTGAAAATATCTTTATGAGCAAGAACTATTGCAAAAAAATAGTTTTGATACATCAGACAATAAGGCCTACCACATAAATTTTCAATGCATATGACTGTTAAGAGTTAAGACACATTATGCTTTTTTATTTTTAAACGAGCACAACACTAATATACAGTATAAGATTGTACAAAATATTTGCCTTATATGACTAGTATGTTTTCAGACTACTATTTCTTTTGCAATTTTAGGAAGTTTATTTAGGTAATGTATGTAAAATATCTAGTTATTTTTAATATTTTGTGATATCAGTGTTTTTAGCAGAGCAATGCATATATTTTGAGGCTGATAGGCTAATACTTAAGCTATTGTTTACTGAACTTTTAATGTTTATCATCATAAAGCACCATTAGTCTATCTCACAACCAGAAACTCAATTAATACTATGTGGCTTTCATTTGTCAACTTTATTTATACAATTATTTTGTTCTATGTTTAAATAATGTAACCTTCTGCTTAAACTTGTATACCAATTATGAAACTCTAAGGAAGTGTCTTTAATGCAATGTAGTTGGTCATTTCTGTATACAACTTCGATAATATTTACTGAAATGCCACCTTGAAAGAAAAAGGTTGTAATGATAAATAATTTATGAAAGACCCACACTTACCGTAATTTTCTTACTAAACTTGAAAGCGCCTGGAGATTCTTTATCTATAATATTTTGAAAGCAATACAAAGTTAAGATATTGAAATCAAGCTACACATAGGTATAAGATATTCCTAATAAAATGTATCAAACCTGGGAGGATAAATCATTTTCCTGAGCTTTATTAGATAAACTTGTGTATTCTGTTTGGAGATTCTGTAGAGAAAAAGAGTTCAATGATCATCTATGAAATCACATCTCTTAAATCTAACTTAAAATATTAGGTAATGGACCTGTAAAAGACACTTTCATCACTTTATTTTAAATACTTTAATCTACATATTTGTTAGATAATTCTAGCAGACAATCTAAACAATTTTTAAAAGAAAATGAAATATTCGGTCTCTTGAATGTAAAATGTTGCAAGCAGAATGTAAGCTAAAACTACCTTTAGTTTCCAGCGCAAATTACTTATTTCATCTTTGTCAGACTCAAACTTTCGAGGACCATCACGTACATTTGGCAGTGTACCTTTCATGCCCAGATTGACACTAAATAAGGTTGAAAAAAAAAATTGTATCAATAAATGAAAAAAATTAAACATGGTGTCAAGAACATAACTGTTTTAAATTTTGAAATCAAATTTACTCATAAAACAGATTGCCTTTTTAAATATTTTTTAGCAACTTTGACAATCTTAATAATGTATTAACCATGCAAACATGTAAGTAAAATGAATTAAAAAATACAAAGAAAAAAATACAAAGGAAACAATTTAAAAAAAAATTATTCAGATGCTTTCAATAAATGTAAAAAGAATGTAAAAAGAACAAAATGAACCCAATTAGTCAATGTAAAACATTGTTAGTGGTATTTCACCTATTTGATTTACGACCACTGTTAGAGTGTTTTGAGCTAAATATTTTCTTGAAATCATCTAAAGGTTTAGTGGTAGACTCTGGTTGACTGCCACTATCATTTAGCACTACAATGGGACATAACTTGTAGACTTCTGGTTGTACTTCCAATATATTGGAATACATGTGCTTATAAGACAACCGGCTGTTCCAAAAAATTATTCAAAATAATTACTTAAACACTTAAAGTGAAGTTTAAATAAATGTAAACAAAGAGTTATCGACATTTCTTGAATTGTACTTGCAAGTTAGTTAATATTTTAATTAACTTGGCATATATCAGTTTACATTTTGAGTAATATGTTGTGGCTACATGAGGTAGACCTGTATGCTGAACAAATAAATAAGTAGACCTACTTATTTACAGTGCCATCTCCAGTTGGTCCCTGCACTCGAGGCTTTACCCCTCTCTGATCAAGCCCAGGCTTCTTAAAGGCATACCCATTTTCCAACATTTTCTCATTGACACTAACACCATTGCAGTACATTTCAGCAAAGAAGCCCATTTGATCTGATAAACGAGCTGTTGTACAGACATCAACTTCTTTGCCTTCCACTAATTCTCGTAAGAACTTTAATGCCTAGTTATTTTAAGAAAATACAAGTTGGAAACTAAGATTTTACTTGAACATTAAAAGTTTATAACATGAAAATATCCAAGTTTCATAAAAATCTGAATAAAATATGACAATGAATTCTATGTTGATCATTATTTTCTATTGGTAATAAGCCTTTAAATGCTTGTGTGATACTTCTATCATATATGCATGCTGATAGCAAAAATAAGTATAAATCATTAAAAAAGAACATATAAGACCAACCTAAACATATAAAATACACTGGATATAGGAGTTTATGTATAGTATAAATTACAATATAGGTAGTAGCTCTCAGCATTATTTTTAAAAATGTAGGCCTAAAAAATGAGATTCAAAATATTTCTTGATTTAGTAAAAGTAAAACAAGTTAATTAAAAAGTCTAGTGACAATTTAAGCGCAATTTCCTTATGTTATCCATAACAATTTTAAATCGTCATCACGTTTAATAGATGCGTCATCACGTTCCATGGCTGCGCCATCACGTTCAGTAGGCGCGCAATGGTTTTTAGTCATATAACTATATTGCTATATAGTACTGTAGTGTATTATGTATAATGTAAGTTTAAAAAAATTTTTGTGACCGAACGAAAGGATATTTTTGAAAACTTTCTTCGGCAATATTGTTCTAAATTATGGCAGGAATCTATTGGAAAATGTTTCAAGTCGCTAAGTGGTCTGGTTGCCGAGATATGGGCAAAAAACTGCATTTTTTTTTAGGTTTTTTGGCTTTTCTGGGAAATCCAGGAAGGAATTCCGGATTTTTTTTGGCCCACTATCATCCTCGTAACTTGCTTAACATAATTGCTTTTGGAACTAGTCCTCGATATTTCTTCGTTGAGGAGGAGATACAACTTAAAGCTGCGAACACACATCCATCCATCCAGAAATGACGGTTAATAAACGCAATTCTCCAGAATGGAAATTGCGCTAAAAATCATTTTCTGCTGATACTTCAGCTTGCTTAGTTTGTTTCTAACTTGCTATGTACTACAAATACTCCTTAACTATGAACATGATTTAAATCATACTTTGGTTCATATTTTATTATAATAAATGTAACAAATAGAATGTTTAAATTCTTTCTTTTATAAATAAAAACTCAGAATAGGCTAATCCTAAGAAATTAATGCCTCAAGAAAATCAGATTTTCCTGTCTTTGCATTTTGCAGCACAACTTTCTGTAACATTTTTTATATTTTTTAGCTACCACAACAAAATAGGATGTGTACAGTTGGAACAATGTAAGATTTTATCTTATTTTGCAGAACAATTCAGCTAATGGAGGGACCTAAGGCATTATATTCTATTCTATTGTGGTAACATAGTTATTTTCTACTGACAATATATAGAAAGCAAATAATTTACCATGGCATCTTGGTTGCTGTTGCACCAAAGTGAGTGTAGCATATATTTGACAGCACATGACGGTGGAGCAGTCAAAGATTTGGGTAACTCTACCAAAGTGGATGGATCTAGTTCTTCTGTGTTGCCAAAATCAACATACTGAACCTTAACCTGTAAATAGCATAAATTAAAAGTAAAGATTCCTCTTTAGACCTTGCAATCCATTGGGCTAATGAAGTAGAGTTCATGTTTCTTGACCTCTGCATATGAAGGGATAATGTGGTCAGCACTATGCCCAGCCATCTTTACTTTCCCTAACGTGAGTTAGGTACCCATCAGAGCTGGGTGGACCCAGGAATGTTCTTAAACCCAGATTCGAACTAGAGACTTTCAGGTTGGCAATATAGAGGCCACGCTGTCCCACCTGTAAATAGCATAGTAAGAAATAAAGTTGTCTGCTTTGTATCCTTAATTAAAACAATTTTATAGCAATTCAGTAAAGTAAATGGTACATGATCTAAAGTACAGACCCTCTAGAGAAATGGATACAAATATTTAATATTTATAATGAAATGATTGCATTGCTTGTTTATTAATTGTAGCAAATTGTGAATTAGAACATTGATTTATAAAAATACGAGCCGGCCCGCGGCATAACATACGCCGCTATTTAGTTGTTTCTAATTTTCAATAATTCATAATTTGTGAATTCGACAGTACCAACGCTGACACTGAAAATATTTCTTTAAAACACTATAAGTAGCTCGTTAAGGACCATAACCCCCCCCCCTTCCTTCCCTCCCCCTCCCCCCCCCCTACGTTTAAAATCGTTGGCTCTGCTTGTAAACATTTAGAGTGAACACAGCTCACTAAAACCATGTAGGGGTGGGGAGGTAGGGAGAATTATATATATAGATGAATAAAACATCTTGCTTTCGTTCCAAACAGTCAGACTTTTTTAGTAAAGAGAATGCAGTAAAAAATGGCCTCATATTTTTAGGTGCTTTTAAATCTAGTGATTAACTATTTTCTTTGATTAAAATATGAAACAATTTTAATAGCTGGACTTTTCCTTAAATACAACTATATTGTAGTTGCTAAATACAGAACTGTATAAAATAGATCCTATACAAAAATAATTTTAAACACTGATGAATAGTAGTAGTAGATTTTCTTCTTCTTCTTCTTATACGGAAACCGGCTCAGAAGGTTGACTTCCATCAGCCAGGCAGGCCTCAGTGTAGCAAACTCCGACCACAAGAGTTCCCCACACCTCGGTCGCTACTTCCGTGGGCTCTCACCGGGCTTTCCTTCCCCACCCACCAGACGTGGGACGTCGTCCCACCGCCTGGTACCCAGCTTGATCGTGGGGGGCATTCCGCCAGATCAAAACCCTCTAGCTGCTGTTATCTGCTACCGGCCATTCCGCACCCACTAGGGGGGACATGAGTTTGGTCGGACCAGTGGCATTATTCCGAAGCCCCGTTAAGGCCGCAGCTTAAAGTCAAAATATCTGACTCTTTTGGTTCCCGGCAGTCTTGCACCTCTCCTCCCCCACGCTATTATGTGGGGGACTTGGGAGTCCGACGTACCAGGCTCTTCGGAAGAGCCGAACGCATACAGCAGTTCTACTCGGCCAGATCAAAAACCTCTAGCTGCTGTTGGCTACCACTAGCCATCCCGCACCCACTAGGGGGGTCATGAGCTTGGTCCGACTAGTGGCACACATCCGAAGCCACGTGAAGGCCGCAGCTTAAAGTCAAGACATCTGGTTAGGGTCGAGAGCAAAACCCTTCTTGGTTCCCGGCAGTCTTGCACCTCTCCTCCCCCACGCTATTTAGAGCAAGCGACGGAGATTCGCCCGTCTAGTGCGGACAAATCTCCTGGCTCGCTATCATGTAGGGGCCTTGGGAGTCCGACGTACCAGGCTCTTCGGACAGTAGTAGATTTTTTTAAAAACTGTACAAACCCTGTCTATGCTGTAGATGTATCGTACAATGCACCGATACCAGCACTGATCTTCAGAAAACTTAGCACCGTATATCTGAAAAATATATTAACTCAAACTAAATACTGACATTAAAAATAAAGAGAAAATCAAATCCTTCAAGATTTACATACTAAAAGTTTTTTGTTAAAGATAATTAAGAAATGTTTGCCAATTATGAAGCCATTAAGAATGGTGTCCTAACTGCAACAAGAATTGACAGTATTACTTTCTGCAACATGAGCTAAGAACACACAAAATGATAGTGAATTCTTTAAGATTCAAGTTGCCAGTTGTAATCATTCTATAATTATACACTGAACATTTGTTAAAGATAATTAAGAAATGTTTGCCAATTATGAAGCCATTAAGAATGGTGTCCTAACTGCAACGAGAATTGACAGTATTACTTTCTGCAACTTCAGCTAAGAATACACAAAATGATAGTGAATTCTTTAAAACTTATGTTGCCAGTTGTAATCATTCTAAAATTACACATTGAACATTTGTTAAAGATAATTAAGAAATGTTTGCCAATAATTATTATGAAGCCATTAAGAATGGTGTCCTAATTGCAACGAGAACTGACAGTATTACTTTCAGCAACTTGAGCTAAGAATACACAAAATGATAGTGAATTCTTTAAGATTCAAGTTGCCACTTGTAATCATTCTAAAATTACACACTGAACATTTGTTAAAGATAATTAAGAAATGTTTGCCAATTATGAAGCCATTAAGAATGGTGTCCTAACTGCAACGAGAATTGACAGTATTACTTTCAGCAACTTCAGCTAAGAATACACAAAATGATAGTGAATTCTTTAAAATTTATGTTGCCAGTTGTAATCATTCTAAAATTATACACTGAACATTTGTTAAAGATAATTAAGAAATGTTTGCCAATTATGAAGCCATTAAGAATGGTGTCCTAACTGCAACGAGAATTGACAGTATTACTTTCAGCAACTTCAGCTAAGAATACACAAAATGATAGTGAATTCTTTAAAATTTATGTTGCCAGTTGTAATCATTCTAAAATTATACACTGAACATTTGTTAAAGATAATTAAGAAATGTTTGCCAATTATGAAGCCATTAAGAATGGTGTCCTAACTGCAACGAGAATTGACAGTATTACTTTCAGCAACTTGAGCTAAGAATACACAAAATGATAGTGAATTCTTTAAGATTCAAGTTGCCAGTTGTAATCATTCTAAAATTACACACTGAACATTTGTTAAAGATAATTAAGAAATGTTTGCCAATTATGAAGCCATTAAGAATGGTGTCCTAACTGCAACGAGAATTGACAGTATTACTTTCAGCAACTTCAGCTAAGAATACACAAAATGATAGTGAATTCTTTAAAATTTATGTTGCCAGTTGTAATCATTCTAAAATTATACACTGAACATTTGTTAAAGATAATTAAGAAATGTTTGCCAATTATGAAGCCATTAAGAATGGTGTCCTAACTGCAACGAGAATTGACAGTATTACTTTCTGCAACTTCAGCAAAGAATACACAAAATGATAGTGAATTCTTTAAAATTTATGTTGCCAGTTGTAATCATTCTAAAATTATGTAGTGAATTAACAATGGTGCTGTAAGTGCAGCTACACAAGAAATGACATGGGAGGCAAAAAGTGCTAAATGTTAATTTTACAGTAGTTTTTGTAGATAAGCACTAACAAATTCATTAAAATATGTGGGAGAAAAAAATAATAAGCAACAAGTCATTTACAAAAATTTAGAATATTTCAAGTTATGTTTTATTAATAATTTTTAAAAGTAACGTGTATTATGTCAGATTATATAAAAATGCTCTTAATTAATAAAAATAGGGACAACTGTATTATTGATCTTTTCAAAATTAACTGTTTTTAACCATGGAAAATTGAAAGAAACCTACAAATGTTTAATAAACTTTGAACCCTTGTAACATAATTAAAGAAAGCTTACAACAACAAAATCTTTAGAAAATGTGATTATCGAATGCAGCAAAGTAGATTATAAAATTGTATAAAAAATTTAAACATATGAAGTTTGTTAGCCAATTATGAAGCTATCAAAAATTTAGTTTGGACAGCAACGAGAATTGACTTTTAAAAATTACTATAAGCAATCAGATTTTTAAAAAACAGTAGCAAGACTGAAATTCTGAAATCAAACTATTGCTAACAAAAACAATTATCTTGAATCATATTTTTCAATAAGACTATGGCTGTGCCAACAGTTAATTTTTCTATTTTGAAAAAACAAAAAATGACTTACTTTGTCTGTTTCTGGTTTCCCCATCAGTTTAGGAGCTTCTGGACAAATGATTGCTAGTTGTTTTACAATACCATTCAGTTCAGTGATATTGTCTTGGGAAACTTTCTGTCCCCACATCATTACTGGTGTTTCAATGTGGGTGATTAAAACTCTCTGATAGATTAAAGGCAGATCTATTTACATTCTGATTTTTAACATTTTTGAGTTGCAAACATTTTTGTTACTATTGCTACCATTCAAAAATGTTTAACGAAAAAATGCAGTATGCTATTTAAACCAGGGTAAGTTAAACTTCCATGTTTATATTTATATGAATTCTCAAAAACATGGATTATACAAAAAATAAAATGTAAACCCACTGACACTAAGTATTTAAGACTAATAATAAGAATAATTACCATTGACAATAATATCTATGACAATAATTTTTATAACAGATGTAGCAAATTAAAAAAAAAACTTACTTCCATATCCCTTCGGTTTTGTTGAACAGGTACTGCCTCAAAGGTTGGAACTGGTACAAATATTTTACTTTAGTTGTTATATGAATACATTTCTTTACAAAGGCCTACATATCCTTTTATTATCAAGCTATTAAGTAAGAAACATTACAAATAATCAAACAACTACTAAAATATAGATGTTAAGCTGAAAACTAACCAATATCTGGGTTTCTTTGCTTCATAAACATTGTTTGTTTGTTGTCTTCCTTCTCACACTTGTCTTCCATGTCTCCATCTTTTTTCACAGGCATTCCCCTGAAATTAGAGTCCATAATTTTTGCAAAATTTACATAATGCATTGAAATTGCTCCAAGTAATAATGACCAGCAACTACATGTTTAGTAATTTGCAATTTGAAAGAAATGCTGGTAAAACAATTCAATGAATGCTGGTAGGATGATAGTCAGCAAAAAAATATTTTATCATAAACACATAAGGCAACAAACCGTTTAACTGCCTTTTTGACAAGTATTTTGTTTCCATTTTCAAAAACCATTCCATTGGTCTCCTCTATAGCTTTTAAACAATCTTCTTCACAATAAAACTTGATTATGCTGAAATAGTAAAACATAATGGTAAAAAATAAAGTTGAAATGTTTCATTAATACCTTACAGACTCTACATACAAAACAACTATTAAACAAGTATGCATGTATGTGTGCATGTTTATATAGGACATATATTTGCAAAATTTAGGTCCGATTTCTACATTGTCTCAACTTACCCAAACTTGTTTCCATCTGAAGAGTTGTTGATCCATATATTATGTACTTCCCCAAATTTGGAAAATACTTTACCAACTTTTTTCTGAAATAAAAACAAAGTATTTACAAATTAAAACAAATGGATGCAGAATTGTTAAATACTTTGTATGTAGTCCAAATGACAGGAGCTGTTAATGAATGAGGCTCAACCCGCTTAGTACAGCCTAAGCCTAGAGACTGTATAGTAAACTAACTTATCTCTATTAGGTACTGTATCGCAAATTGCATTTTCTATCTTTGACTAACTTAAGCTTCTTAAAAGACGGTGTGATTTTGTTTATATTTTGAATATTCTACTGTTTTTTTTTTATAAGGCCACTGTCAAAACTTGCCACATTTATGGTCTCTTGCCTGTTTTCTCAACTAAAAGCATGTCTGGTTCTTCAGATGGTATCCTATCTAATATCCAAACAATCTCCATTCTCTTTCTAGGAGTTGCATTTCTACTGTTATTTTTCCACATCTACAGTTTTGTGTTTTCTATTTTGTTATACCACCCAATGATGAAAGATGGTAATTCTTTTTGTTGTTGCTTCTCTTCTCCATGTCTTGGATCTATAAAGTGAATATGATTTAAAAATTCTAATTTCTTAGTTTTGATGGAACCGGGAACCAGCGCATGTCAAGCTAAGTTTACTCTGTGTTTTGCTTCTGAATTTTAGGTCACTATCTTGGTTGTGGTTCAATTTTAATACTGATGTGTTTCTGTTGGTTTTTTTTAAGCCCCTCTCTTTTTCTTGTCTTGCAGAAAGCTGTGACTTTCTCCTATGTAAGTAAGAGTCTGTGGGAAAGAAAGGTTTTAGACATTTCTTACTCCATAGTCCATAGTATCTCATCATGATCACTAACAGTATAGTTTCTGTCAAATGCTTTTTTTTAATACTAATGTGACAAGAGGGGAGATTGCCATTCAACATATTGAAATAATCTCTGATGATCATCCTTTTCTTGCCATTCAACTTATTATTCAATGATGATTCAGAGTATTACTATTTCATCAACACATAATCATCCTTTTCTAAATCCTGCTGTTAAGAATTCTGTTTAAAAACATTGCTTGGTACAATTGATGATTATCATTATAGATGATTCAACATTTCTCACACTGTGATAAGTTCCAGCTCTTAGGATATTTTTATACCTTTCTTCTATTCTGCTAGCAGAGTTTCTGTTGGCCTAACTTTGTAAATGTAATTTATTTATTCTACCTTGTAAAAATTTTAAAAACAATTTTTTTGTGAAATGAGAAGACTTAAGGTTTAACAGATAAAAAATTCTAGTGTCATTATTAGACCTATATCTTAATTTAAAATAAAGTATATACCCTACTAAAAAGTCTGTAGCCTGTAGCTAGCCTTATTAGAGGTTACATCCCCTTTGATTGGTCTTAACTGTGGTAAAACTATATTTTTAGATTGATACTTTTGTATCCTAAACTGACTAAACAATTTAAAACAATTTGGCTATTTGAAATTCTATTTGCATGTTAAACTAACAATGCATATTAAACTATAGGCCTACAATAGATTTAAAATTATTTGATTCATTCATTAAAAAAAATTGTGATAAAACAAACAGGAAACCACAGAAAAAAAATCAAACCAACAAATTAGGTCTACTAGATCTAGTAACTGGCAAGCCAATTTCAGGAACACTTTTTCTCAATTTTTGTGGCCATAAATAAATTATTTCAGCCCCCTTAAACAACTTAATCAGTTTGGACTCTCCAAGACTGTCCATCTCTCTCACTCCCTCCCCCCCCCTCCCTAGCTAAATCGAGCCTTATCTCCCAGGCACAATGATTGAATAGGCAGTGAGGGTGCCAGGAATCTTGCGTGACAAGGTATAGGCCTATATGAACACACCAAAAAAACTCTATGCAGTTAGGGAATACAAGATGGTTTAATCTTATTGCTTTCTCATCCTCCACAAACATCAACTTCCACTTTCCAACCTTCAAGTGTCAACTACACACCTTTCTCTAGCTCAAATTATTCACAACACAACCACTGTCACTTGTTTCCCTTGTACCCTCATATATAACTACTAACTAGCTAGGTAATGTGGTTTCATTATCATCATCATTCCTATGGACACCCCGTGGAGCTTTGGGACACAACCACACCTTTCCATGGTGTAGCTTTTCTTACTAAATCTAGAATTTACCCAAATTTCAAATTAAACATGACTACTGAATGATAGACATCCATATTTAATCCATTAGGGACTAATTTTGAAGTTTTTAGTTCGTTTTAAACTAAATTACTTAATTTAATATTTATTGACACTCACTGCCATGGACAACACATCTCTCCATGACAACTCTTCTTACCCCTGAAGGCACTTGAAGCTAAAGAGAACCACAAATGCGGTTAGACTTTTTAAGTGGCCATGTACCCAGAGTTCCCCACTAGTGATCATCAAATAGCGGTCACGTGGTCAAAAAAATAAAAAAAAATTTGGTTGTCATTTTTTGGCCACTCTTATTAAAAAAAGGGTTGAAGATATTTGATTTATTTTTTCATAGAATGATAAAACTAATAATGCTTTACTAGGGAAATCAATTTTGTGATAGGGAGATCTATATTTAAAAAGTTATATTATTTTGAATGACACCGACTTTAAATTTAGCCTACATTCCCCAAAGCAATTTCTGAAAATGCTTTTCTGGCATATTTAGCCTTGCCACCTATAGCATGTTTTTATAACGTGAAAACCCGCCATTTTACTCGTGATAAACATTTTTAAAAGTAATTCTAAGAAGGTCTCTGGAACTAAGTCGAAAAACTCGCCGGAAGTCATGGTCCGATCCTTACGCCATGTTCTGGTTAGCAACCAAGGACGCTTTTAAGTTAGTGAGCCTCCCTACATGGTAGTGTACTGTTTTGTTTGTCAATGCCTCAAAGTTGGGACCTGGACATTCATGATTCAGTCAGATCTTAGATCTACAGTTCAGTAGCTAGCCTGAGTTCATTATTGTAGTCTGTCTAGAGTTAAGTTCCACGCGCGGTCACACATAGCGAACTCCCGACTTTCATCGACTTTCATCGGGCGCTATTTTGTAACCGTTTAACACAGAAACAAACCCAAAGTACTATATTATTCCTCTGCCTTTCTACTCTTAATATGTATCAATCATTTTATATTCCTACGCATTGAATTTGAGATATTCATGTTTTAGTGACGTGCTACTTGCGATATTTTTTTCCCCTCTTTTTTTTTTCCCTGCGGCCATCTGAACCGGCTTGCGTAACAATCGTGTTTTATACGTTTTAATCCTAGTTTAATAAATAAAATAAATATTTTACACTTTTAAACGTGTTGTTGATTGTATTATTAATTAATAGATTTCAAAACCAAATTAAAAACATGTTAATAAAATTAATTAACGACATTAAAAGTTGACCCAGTGATGACTCAAGGGACGCAACTATAATAATCATAACAAAGGGACGTAACAACCACTGACAAGACATAACGTAACATTTGCTTAGATATGCTTGTATGTAGAGACACAAACTAGATTTAGAAGAAGTAGATGATCGAAATAATTTAAAACAGCAGAAAAAAATAGAAATTATACAGATTCTAGGCTTAGCTTGAAATGTAGAGCATCTAGAACTAGGCTAGTCTAGCTCAAGTCGTTGGTTACGCAGGGCGGTGAAACCACCCAAATCGACACCCAAGCTGCGGCCACCCCTATTCACCTATCAGGTTGCTTTATTAGCCTAATCTATCGTATGTACAGTGTCCCGCACATATTGTAGAAGCTATTTATAGTTAACCTAGTTATAAAAAGCTTTGATTGGTTGGTTTATTCATCTCATCCGGGACCTAGAGGAGTTTACACTTTTCGGACACACACCAAAAATTACGTAGGAGCGAACACTTCGTCGGTTTTTGGCTCATAGAAACTTTAATTAGCATGTCTCACGCGAAACCACGGCGCCTGCACGTAAACTGTTCATTTATGTACACTTCCGTGTCAAGTACTTCCGTTTCCTTTCTCAAGAATTATTTTTAGAAATTTTTTAACGTTGCATGGTACGCACATTTCTATTTTTACACCAGCCGGATGAAGTGACCTAGGGTTGGACTTAGGGGCAAAACTTGAACCAATCAATGCTTAGCTAAAAGGTTACACTATAAATAGCTTCTATATATGTATGGAACATCGTAAATGTCAAGGTTAATGGGTTTTTTTGTGCTTGAACAATAAAAAAGGGGTGTTCGCTAACTTATTTGGCCTTACATGGGATCGGACAGCAACACAAAAATATTATTAAATAAGAATTTAGAGCATAAAAGGGGCTGGTTATTGAAGGGAAAGGGTCAAAATAAGGTCAAGAAGGCAGTCGAATGCGAAAGAGGAGGGGGAATCATGTGACCTGCCTGGCTTAGCAGCGTACTGCGCGAGCCGCAATGGCTGAATGGGATGAACTTTGGGAGTGTGGGAAAAAGGTTTTATACTATTAAAATTACCTCACAAACAATCAATAACACAATATAAATGCATATAATACATGTTTTTATTCATTAAATTGACTTTAAATTATTCTAAATGAACAAAAAGTGCTATGTCCGATGACGGGTAAAGGTGTCCGAACACATGTAAAACGGTATTACATGTGTTCGAACACACGTTAAGACCCCCCAGTCACTATAACAAGAATAGCTTAAGTTCTATGCGTATGAATACAAAATGACACACACATTATTAAAGTAGAATGGTTGCGGATAGATATGATACTTTTTTTTGTTTTCTATGTTAAGCGGTTACTGAATGAGACCGCATGGAATTTTTACGTTGCGTTTTTTCGCTATGTGTGTCCGAAAAGTGTAAACTCCTCTAGTGTTTTTCATACGGGGAACTAGAATCGCCTTCGACGTCATACCTCGAAACTTTAAAATTTAAAAACTCGACTTCCAGAAGGAGAAAAACAAAAGAATTTGACCTGGATATATTTAGAAATGGACAGGTTTACAGCAGATATCGGTAGTTTCGTATAAAACATCAAAACAAATATTGTACGAAGCGATAAACAGGCGATGACCGCACCGGTGTTTTAACCGCGCGTGGAACTTTACTCTAGATCTACATTCTACATGTTTCTCACAGACTAGATCTAGATTTCTACAATTCTAGATCAAGAGATCAAGATTTTCAAGTTTTCAGTTTTGAGTGACAAGAGTTCAGTGAGTCATCAGTCTCTTGTTTCAGTACAAATACACTGACAGAGCGAGAGAGTGGGTCTTTTTCTGGAGGTCTTAATTCTAGACTTTTTAAATAAATAATTATAAAATTCGTTATCAAATCCAAAATAGATCTAGTTGCACTTGCATGATCAGCATCAGCTGGAAGGTTACCAACAAAAACATCATATGTTGTTGGTATTTGATTTTTTCTTGTTTGTAATCCAGACGACATCGTGGTAATCGTCAACAGGGTTGTCCAATCTCAACTGTAAAAAGTTGCCAGAAAAAAAAATTGGCTAAAAGGCCGCAAAAATTCTTTGTAAGATGACACAAATTCCATTGAAATTACTTTTTATATTACCATTTTAAATTAAATTGAGTGTTCTAACATGCTTTTTTTATATTTTAGATCTATCATATGCAAATGAGCCTAAAACAATTTTAGTTAGCTCTATTTTGACTATTTTGGGATGACAATACAATGTGTATACAGTGGCGTCGCTAGGTCGGGTGTCACCAGGTGCGGCACCTCAAGGTGTCACCCCCCTAAAAAGTATATATATATATATATATATATATATATATATATATATATATATATATATATATATATATATATATATATATATATATATATATATGTTTATATATAAATGTAGTTACAATTGGTGTCACCCCTCCCCGATCGTTGATTGACTTGACGGAATCGTCCATTAGTACTTTAAAGGTTGTTTTTTTAAAAACTCTAATTAATAATTAATAAAACTGCAAAAAGCATTTTTCTTCTTTATATTTTGCAACTTTGCCTTGGTGTCACCCATAATTGATGTCAACCGGTGCGGTCCGCATACTGATTTAACTGTTTTTCTATATAGATCTACCCTTAAGAAACACTGACCGGGTTTCCAGCTTTTCCTAGATTGGGGGGGGGGGCTTTTTCGCTGACTAAAATTAAAATCGGAATTATTTACACTGGATTGATGAGTTGATACACTTTACCACTTACAAAATAAACCAATTGTATTAAAGCATATCGTGTAACAATAAAAAAATTTTTTTAAAAAGGTGGTGGCGCTTTTTCTCCAAGGTAATGGGAAGGATTTACACCGGAATGTTGAATACGGTCGGAGCGGGTGGATGAGAGCTAAATTTTAAAAGCTAAATAAAAACGAGTATATATTGTACCGAATAGAGATATTTTTTTATTGCTTTTTTCATAACAAGTCCTAATACTTCAAATTTCACATAGTTAAGTTCACTAGACCTACTAAACGAGGTAACAATGGTACAACACGATGACTGCTACTGCTTTGTTACTCTATTCAATCTAACCGATAATTTAAAACTGTAATACACTAGTATCGAAATTGTTCTAACAACACAAACAAAAGTAGACAAAATAAGCTTGCACCTTTTACAAACTACACTTTAAAGCAATGGTTCTTAACTTTTTGGAGGTAACGAACCCCACCAGTTTCAAATGCGCATTAACGGAACCCTTCTTAATAGTTATATAGCCCACACTGACAAAATCCGATCGTGAATCCAATGAGTCGGCTGTGTGTCTTGACCTCCGCCGAAGCCTTGAGACTGACTTACCGAACCTCTTGGGTTCAATCGAACCCAGGTTAAGAACCACTGCTCTAAACTCTTTATTATTTTCTCCTTTTTATTCATTTCGGCTTCCTGATGAGCATAGGCAACATTTTGTCAATTCACTTGATTTTTATGAAGATCAAACCCTGATAATCCAGTCTCCTCCATCTCTATTTTGTCACTGATTTCACGCAGAAGCATGTTACTATGTTGAATTTTGCACTTCTTCTTCTTCTTCGTTCTTAATTGTGAATATGGTGGAGGATTCAGACAACAAGTCCAACTTCGTGGACAAACCGGACTGTGGTCTCCAGTTTGTCAGGTGCCCCATATAATTTTTCCGGGGCCTTGCCACAAGGGCACATTTCGCTACACCCAACCTTCAGTTTTCTGTGCATGTGTTGATTTAGTCTGTTGTGGCCTGTTCTAAGTCGAAAGATTATGTATTGTTGTTTTCGTGTTAAATTATAATAGCCGTCGTCTTTAATGTAGTGAGGGTGTGTGACAGACCACATTTGCGTTTGTTTGTTTTTTATTATTCTTTTTATTTCTTTTGGGTGTAGCGAAATTTCCGGTTGTGGTTTCTTTCCCCCAATTTTTGCCAGCTGGTCTGCAATCTCGTTACCCTGGATCTGGCAGTGGCCCGGGATCCACTGCAGCACAATTCTGCTGCAGGTATTTTTTAGCCTCTCTAGTGCTGTCATAAGTGTTTGAATATAGGACTCCGGATTTTGTAGGGATTGCAGGACTGATTTGGCATCTGTAAGAAATACAATCTGACTATTCGGTGATTCAGGGTGTTCTGACAGGAGGTTTGCCGCATGTTCTAAAGCTTCTTTTTCTGCCCTAAAATTGTCGGATAGGCTGCCTGTGGCTATTGCCTTTTCCAGGCTTTCTCCGCTTGGCCATTCAATAAGGATGCCAGCCCCGCCATTTTTTGTGGCATCTTCAGCTGAGCCATCTGTACAGTGGCATGGGCAGTGGCTGCGACGAAGAAGGGAATAAAAACACCTCAAAGAACCCCCACAGTGAAAGTGGTTACAGTTGATATTGGTATCAGTTAGCTCTTGTCGGCCGTCTATTTCAAAGTATTTGATGTCATACAAATGATTTTTTACCTTAAAAATAATAACGACTTTGTTTCAACATTTTGGGCTGATTTAGAAGCAAAATTTCATCTGCAAAAAAAAATAACAATGCATAGCAAAATGCCTCAGCTAGGATTATGGCCTACACACTTCAGAAACTCCGGCTGCAATATTGTAGGCCCTATATACTAATGTGTGTTCTATAGCTCCTACATTGTGACCTGGTTGACACACATTATTTGTTATTGGTTGGTAGAGAGGAATGCATGGTGTTAATGTTATAAGAATTAAGTTACTTTTTAAACTGTCCAACCCCATCAACCCCAGCATACCAATGTTCAACCCACAACACCTTCACACAAACACCAACACCATGTTTTACCAGTTTAGTTATTGCTGTAAAAAGCAAATATTTTATTCATGAATGTCCCACTAAAATATAGCTCTGTCTTTTGTAAATAATGGTCATATGTGATAGAAAACAAGGAACAAAACCAACATAACAGGATATCTAGACAGGCTTTAAATATCAGCATGTAGATTTACTAAAAAGATTGAAATTGTAGACAGATAAGAAGAGTAATTTTTAAAACGTTCTAAGATTGTAGTCATCGCAATATTTCAGTTCCTCAACTTTACAAAAATAAGATTTTAAAGAAACTGAAAAAATGTAGTTTTTAAAAAATGATAACGAAACAAACAATTGGTATTTAATAAACAAATACTGACTTGAATGGTCCCTCAAATATAATTAATAAACACAACACCAGCAAATAAGGAAGCAAAGATAAGGGAGTTAACCCATTATAATTTTCTAGTGTTAAGTTGTCTAGTCAACCTATCTAGTAGTGTACTAGTAGCCTAAGGATATTCAGGGGGAGCTCACTAAGATCTATGACAGACTTACACGACTGGTCCCCCCCCCCCCCCCCCCCCCCCCATGGTACAGGGGTTTGGGAAACAAGTCAGATATAAAGTTAAGTATTTTGTACCGCAACAGTACAAGGAGCTTTGTTTACTCGTCCTTTACATTCATCAAGTAAACGCAGAAGGTGCTTCAACTGGGTTGTATCCAGGGAGAAAAAATAATTGTCATGAAAGGAAATAAAGACGTGTGTGATGAACAGATGCAACATTATGGGCTGGCAGAAGTCAGACTAGTCTGGAAAGGTTTGTCACAACACAGAATGTCATTTACATATAGGAATTATGTATACAAGTTGGGGTGTGAAAGTATTGATTGTGAACTGGAAAGACAAGAGTTGTCTAAAGACCTACACACTAGACACATGCATTCACCTGTTTGCTGAAGAAAATAGGAGCTTTATATGCAAACGTTAGGTATTCTTTTGTAATGCATCATCCTATTTTCTTACCTGCAACCTATCACAGTAAAGTGTATATATATATAATATATTTCAAGAATTCACCAGACCATCACAATGGTTTGATGATACTTGTTCAGCAATAGAACAAAAATATAAGCAAGAAGGGGAGATAACGTTGGCATAGAGAAGACAGCAACATTTGTAAACAGGAGCAACAATACTCTAGGGAACTGGTACAATTGTTTTCATATCAGCAGTTGTTGAGTGACGACAAAAACTACACTACTTGCTTTTTTTAACTTGCTTACATCATCAACTATTCTTTTACTGTTGTGTAACCTGATTCTAACCCAATATTTAAAGACAAAACAGCATGTAAGTTGAAATGAGTAGAGTCAGCCTTGGGCAGCTATTTGGTGTTGTTCAAGGACTGGTAGTATTCAACCATGACAGACCAGGCTTTGGGCGACATGAAGCCATCTGGGGGGTTCTCTCCCTCCCTAGCCATCTTCCTCATCCTGGTGCCGGATATGAACTGGAAGTCCTCCTTGTTCTCTGGGTCAAAGAAGTCCATGGCTCGTTTACGGTTGTTGTAGGCTGCCACTCTGAATGGTACGATCTCCAGCAGGGGGAGTCCTGGGGCCATGGTTAGAACCTACAACATAAGGTCAGAAGGTCAACTTTAGAACATAAGGTCAGAAGGTCAACTCTAGAATATAAGGTCAGAAGGTCAACTCTAGAACATAAGGCCAGAAGGTCAACTCTAGAACATAAGGTCAGAATGTCAACTCTAGAACATAAGGTCAACTCTACAACATAGGGTCAGAAGGTCAACTTTAGAACATAAGGTCAGAAGGTCAACTCTACAACATAAGGTCAGAAGGTCAACTTTAGAACATAAGGTCAGAAGGTCAACTTTAGAACATAAGGTCAGAAGGTCAACTCTAGAACATAAGGCCAGAAGGTCAACTCTAGAACATAAGGTCAGAATGTCAACTCTAGAACATAAGGTCAACTCTACAACATAGGGTCAGAAGGTCAACTTTAGAACATAAGGTCAGAAGGTCAACTCTACAACATAAGGTCAGAAGGTCAACTTTAGAACATAAGGTCAGAAGGTCAACTTTAGAACAGAAGGTCAGAAGGTCAACTTTAGAACCTACAACATAGGGTCAGAAGGTCAACTTTAGAACATAAGGTCAACTCTAGAACATAGGGTCAGAAGGTCAACTTTAGAACATAAGGTCAGAAGGTCAACTTTAGAACATAAGGTCAACTCTAGAACATAGGGTCAGAAGGTCAACTTTAGAACATAAGGTCAGAAGGTCAACTTTAGAACATAAGGTCAACTCTAGAACATAGGGTCAGAAGGTCAACTTTAGAACATAAGGTCAGAAGGTTAACTTTAGAACATAGGGTCAGAAGGTCAACTCTAGAACATAAGGTCAAAAGGTCAACTCTAGAACATAAGGTCAGAAGGTCAACTCTAGAACATAAGGCCAGAAGGTCAACTCTACAACATAAGGCCAGAAGGTCAACTCTAGAGCATAAGGTCAGAAGGTCAACTTTAGAACATAAGGTCAGAATGTCAACTTTAGAACATAAGGTCAGAATGTCAACTCTAAAACCTACAACATAGGGTCAGAACGTCAACTCTAGAACATAAGGTCAGAAGGTCAACTTTAGAACATAAGGTCAGAAGGTCAACTCTAGAATATAAGGTCAGAATGTCAACTTTAGAACATAAGGTCAGAATGTCAACTCTAAAACCTACAACATAGGGTCAGAATGTCAACTCTAGTACATAAGGTCAGAAGGTCAACTTTAGAACATAAGGTCAGAAGGTCAACTCTAGAATATAAGGTCAGAATGTCAACTCTAGAACATAAGGTCAGAAGGTCAACTCTGGAACATAAGGTCAGAAGGTCAACTCTAGAACATAAGGTCAGAATGTCAACTTTAGAACCTACAACATAAGGTCAACTTTAGAACATAAGGCCAGAAGGTCAACTCTAGAACATAAGGTCAGAAGGTCAACTCTAGAATATAAGGTCAGAAGGTCAACTCTAGAACATAAGGTCAGAATGTCAACTTAAGAACCTACAACGTAAGGTCAGAAGGTCAACTCTAGAACATAAGGTCAGAAGGTCAAATCTAGAACATAAGGTCAGAATATCAACTTTAGAACCTACAACATAAGGTCAGAAGGTCAACTTTAGAACATAAGGCCAGAAGGTCAACTCTAGAACCTACAACATAGGGTCAGAAGGTCAACTCTAGAACATAAGGTCAGAAGGTCAACTCTAGAACATAAGGTCAGAAGGTCAACTCTAGAACATAAGGTCAGAAGGTCAACTCTAGGACATAAGGTCAGAATATCAACTTTAGAACCTACAACATAAGGTCAGAATGTCAACTCTACAACATAAGGTCAGAATATCAACTTTAGAACCTACAACATACGATCAGAATGTCAACTCTAGAATATAAGGTCAGAATGTCAACTCTACAACATAAGGTCAGAATATCAACTTTAGAACCTACAACATAAGGTCAGAATGTCAACTCTACAACATAAGGTCAGAATATCAACTTTAGAACCTACAACATAAGGTCAGAATGTCAACTTTAGAACATACAACATAAGGTCAGAATGTCAACTTTAGAACCTACAACATAAGGTCAGAATATCAACTTTAGAACCTACAACATAAGGCCAGAAGGTCAACTCTACAACATAAGGTCAGAATGTCAACTCTACAACATAAGGTCAGAATGTCAACTTTAGAACCTACAACATAAGGTCAGAATGTCAACTCTAGAACATAGGGTCAGAATGTCAACTCTAGAATGGACATGATGTGAGTGCGACCTTTACCTTGGCACCATGTGTGGGGTCATATAGATCCCTTCCCCCATCAGGGTGGGGCATGCCTGCAGGATCTCTGCCCACTATGTAGAAATTTGCCCCTGTTGCCATTCTAGCTTTTGCATGCCACTGTACCTGTTCATGAAAAACTCAATCATTATACTTTCAAAATGTACAGCTGTAGTACTAGACAAACACACACTAGACCTTCCCAAAATGTACAGCTGTAGTACTAGACAAACACACACTAGACCTTCCCAAAATGTACAGCTGTAGTACTAGACAAACACACACTAGACCTTCCCAAAATGTACAGCTGTAGAACTAGACAAACACACACTAGACCTTCCCAAAATGTACAGCTGTAGTACTAGACAAACACACACTAGACCTTCCCAAAATGTACAGCTGTAGTACTAGACAAACACACACTAGACCTTCCCAAAATGTACAGCTGTAGTACTAGACATACACACACTAGACCTTCCCAAAATGTACAGCTGTAGTACTAGACAAACACACACTAGACCTTCCCAAAATGTACAGCTGTAGTACTAGACTAACACACACTAGACCTTCCCAAAATGTACAGCTGTAGTACTAGACATACACACACTAGACCTTCCCAAAATGTACAGCTGTAGTACTAGACAAACACACACTAGACCTTCCCAAAATGTACAGCTGTAGTACTAGACAAACACACACTAGACCTTCCCAAAATGTACAGCTGTAGTACTAGACTAACACACACTAGACCTTCCCAAAATGTACAGCTGTAGTACTAGACTAACACACACTAGACCTTCCCAAAATGTACAGCTGTAGTACTAGACTAACACACACTAGACCTTCCCAAAATGTACAGCTGTTGTACTAGACAAACACACACTAGACCTTCCCAAAATGTACAGCTGTAGTACTAGACTAACACACACTAGACCTTCCCAAAATGTACAGCTGTAGTACTAGACATACACACACTAGACCTTCCCAAAATGTACAGCTGTAGTACTAGACAAACACACACTAGACCTTCCCAAAATGTACAGCTGTAGTACTAGACTAACACACACTAGACCTTCCCAAAATGTACAGCTGTAGTACTAGACAAACACACACTAGACCTTCCCAAAATGTACAGCTGTAGTACTAGACTAACACACACTAGACCTTCCCAAAATGTACAGCTGTAGTACTAGACATACACACACTAGACCTTCCCAAAATGTACAGCTGTAGTACTAGACAAACACACACTAGACCTTCCCAAAATGTACAGCTGTAGTACTAGACAAACACACACTAGACCTTCCCAAAATGTACAGCTGTAGTACTAGACAAACACACACTAGACCTTCCCAAAATGTACAGCTGTAGTACTAGACTAACACACACTAGACCTTCCCAAAATGTACAGCTGTAGTACTAGACATACACACACTAGACCTTCCCAAAATGTACAGCTGTAGTACTAGACTAACACACACTAGACCTTCCCAAAATGTACAGCTGTAGAACTAGACAAACACACACTAGACCTTCCCAAAATGTACAGCTGTAGTACTAGACTAACACACACTAGACCTTCCCAAAATGTACAGCTGTAGTACTAGACTAACACACACTAGACCTTCCCAAAATGTACAGCTGTAGAACTAGACAAACACACACTAGACCTTCCCAAAATGTACAGCTGTAGTACTAGACTAACACACACTAGACCTTCCCAAAATGTACAGCTGTAGTACTAGACTAACACACACTAGACCTTCCCAAAATGTACAGCTGTAGTACTAGACTAACACACACTAGACCTTCCCAAAATGTACAGCTGTAGTACTAGACTAACACACACTAGACCTTCCCAAAATGTACAGCTGTAGTACTAGACTAACACACACTAGACCTTCCCAAACTACAAACTCCTGGTCACAAAGCCTGTCCTAATAGGACCCATTTCTAGCTATTGCCTGTGGTCCATAGAGAGGCTGAATAAAAACTCCAGGGCAACTGGCCTAGAAGTCACACCCTGCCCTTCCTTCACCACAACTTGAGCTGATTAACAGGCATGGCCCACATACATCATACCAATCAACACAACTTGAGCTGATTAACAGGCATGACCCACATACATCATACCAATCAACACAACTAACAGGCATGGCCCACATACATCATACCAATCAACACAACTAACAGGCATTACCCACATACATCATACCAATCAACACAACTTGAGCTGATTAACAGGCATGACCCACATACATCATACCAATCAACACAACTAACAGGCATGGCCCACATACATCATACCAATCAACACAACTAACAGGCATGGCCCACATACATCATACCAATCAACACAACTGACAGGCATTACCCACATACATCATACCAATCAACACAACTAACAGGCATGGCCCACATACATCATACCAATCAACACAACTGACAGGCATTACCCACATACATCATACCAATCAACACAACTAACAGGCATGGCCCACATACATCATACCAATCAACACAACTAACAGGCATGGCCCACATACATCATACCAATCAACACAACTGACAGGCATTACCCACATACATCATACCAATCAACACAACTAACAGGCATGGCCCACATACATCATACCAATCAACACAACTGACAGGCATTACCCACATACATCATACCAATCAACACAACTGACAGGCATGGCCCACATACATCATACCAATCAACACAACTGACAGGCATGACCCACATACATCATACCAACATACCTCTGTTGGACCTGCATACATCATGGGAGATGGGAAAATTGCGATGACTGTTGACTCTGGTTCTAGAACTTTCTCCTCAAGTATAGCTGCATGTTGTTTCATCCTCCACGGCAGAGGCACATCATCGTCTTTTGTCCAGCCACCTAGGGAACAGAACATCACAACACTAATGTCACAAGACTAACAGAATGTCACAAGACTAACAGAATGTCACAAGACTAATGTCACAAGACTAACAGAATGTCACAAAAATGTCACAAGACTAACAGAATGTCACAAAAATGTCACAAGACTAACAGAATGTCACAAGACTAATGTCACAAAACTAACAGAATGTCACAAAAATGTCACAAGACTAACAGAATGTCACAAGAACGTCACAAAAATATCACAAGACTAACAGAATGTCACAAAAATGTCACAAGACTAACAGAATGTCACAAGAACGTCACAAGACTAACAGAATGTCACAAAAATGTCACAAGACTAACAAAATGTCACAAGAACGTCACAAGACTAATGTCACAAGACTAACAGAATGTCACAAAAATGTCACAAGACTAACAGAATGTCACAAGAACGTCACAAGACTAATGTCACAAGACTAAGAGAATGTCACAAAACTAAGAGAATGTCACAAAAATGTCACAAGACTAATGTCACAAGACTAAGAGAATGTCACAAAACTAACAGAATGTCACAAAAATGTCACAAGACTGAGAATATCACAAGACTAACAGTTAGAGACTACTAGAAATCAGGATACAGTGGGATGACTGCAAAACCAATAGTCTAGAGTTTGTTAGGTCTATAATTGGACTATAAAGTTGAAACGCATGAAAAGTACATAAAAAGAATAACGTCATTGGTAGCAGATAAAAATAGAATTTATAGTCAAAAAAATTAAGGTTCCGCTGCACATTTAGTTCTAGATCTAGGTGAAGCGACTAAGTAATAGGTGCTAGTCTAGTGTGAAGTCTAACAGAAAGGGGTTGAAATTTCAGTTTAGATAATTGATATTGGTCTTTATTATGATTGCAATTGTGTTTCCGTTTGTGTTTGGTTTTCTGTTTGAGTTTTTGTTTGTGTTTCTGTTTTCGTTTTAATTACATTAGCGTTATATTTGGTTGTGGTTGGTTGTAGATATGGTTAAGTTTAGAGTTAGCGTAAGGTTTAGGGTTATGTGTGATTTTTCTCAAACGTCCATATTTACATATAGACAAGTAATATATTTCCTAAGCTGGACAATGGCGGGTGTATGCTGCTTAATAAACACACAAGTCATGGTCCTTTATAGATAGGTTTTTCACAGAGGCCAGTGCAGGGCCTGGCCGGTTAGTTATAAATAAACCGGGAGTGATCTCCCCTAAACTTTCTCAAATATTCTTATGTAACACTACGGGAGATGGTAACTCGGGATATAGACAATATTTTTAATAAATTTTCAATTACTTTAACTTTTTAAAATAGAATAGAATCTCGTGGAAAAAAGAATGGTACACCAAGTGAACGCCAAATAAAATGTGTATAATAGTGCGGAATATTATTAGTACTTTATAAATGCACATGTTTTTTGAGAAATCTGAAATAGCCTAAATTACTACTTCAGGTCAACAGAAGTTATTCAAAATTTGATAGAAGGTAGAGAATTAGATCATTTACTTACACGTGAAATTTCATTTATCTATCTGAAATAGTACTCAAGTTATAGGCTTTTGAAAAATTGAAAGTAGAAAAAGTTCCACTTCCAGTTATAGGAAATCGCTGAAAAGCTGATCCGTAACTACTAATTTGATATAATACTTATATATGAAATTTCATCATCCTAACTGTAACAGTACTCAAGTTATCGTGTTTACACACACACATACACAAGATTGCAAAACTATGTTTTCCGACTCAGGGAGGTGTAAAACGTCAAGATTTGCAAAAATCTCAATTTTTTTTTTGTGTGCATGATTAGAATACTTTCTCTATACTTTGTATACGAGAAAGTAATGAAAATTCCTAAACCTTTAAAAACCCAAAATAAACCATTAATGGCTCATAAGACAGTATAACAAGAAAATTCCTGGGAAGGAAAGGGTTGAAACCATGGACTGACCTAGAGGATGTAGGAGTAGAACTGGCTTCTTGTAGCCCCTTGCTAAAAGTTTCTTCTTTGTGTCTTGCATGAGCAATGCGTGCCCATTGTGCACTGGGTTTCTCAGCTGGAAGGCAAACACTGCATCTGCCTAAAAATAGATTTCAATGCTTGGTTACAGAATACTTGAAAACAAAACAAGTAGCTTGCTCTTTTACAGGTCCCTAAACTTGTGCCTTAGTGTCTAACTTAACAGTAAACCTTGGTGGTACCCACTTCTATGTCCCTAAACTTCTGCCTTAGTGTCTAACATAACAGTAAACTTTGGTGGTACCCACTTCTATGTCCCTAAACTTCTGCCGTAGTTCTCTAGGAGTTAACCTGTACTCATCCAGGCCGTCATTCCAGTAAATTCTATCCAGCACCTCCAGATCTCCTCCCACCAGCCAGTCACCACTTTCTAGAACCATCTGTAAAAAACAAAGGTTATGTCGTCATTGCCTGTCTTCTAGTGATTACTTTTTCACAGACCAGGCACACACAAACACATTTTCCTGATTACCTTGACATAAGGATGGCCAGGATTTGTTGTGCCAAACTGGCGTCCACACCGCTCTTCTTTGTTGTGAGGGTAAAATTCAGGTTTACGCAAAATGGCTATATCTTTTCCTTCATACTTGAGGGTGAAGGCCTGACACTTTTCTAACCTCTCTTTATCAGCCGCCTTGATGGGTAACACCAGAGGTATACTTTGGTTGATGACACCATCTACATAAAAAACATGGGTAACACTAGAGGTATACTTTGGTTGATGACACCATCTACACAAAAAACATGGGTAACACCAGAGGTATACTTTGGTTGATGACACCATCTACACAAAAAACATGGGTAACACCAGAGGTATACTTTGGTTGATGACACCATCTACATAAAAAACATGGGTAACACTAGAGGTATACTTTGGTTGATGACACCATCTACACAAAAAACATGGGTAACACCAGAGGTATACTTTGGTTGATGACACCATCTACACAAAAAACATGGGTAACACCAGAGACAAACCAAAGATGTCAAACTTGCAGTGCTTTAAGTTTTCTTAAGGTTACCTTGCTTATAGATGAACTACATTGAAACAGTTTATTGGGCATTGGCTACATTAAAAAATTATAAGAGCTTTTTTCAGAAATTTTTAAAAAGGTCTATCTTAAATTCCTGAATAGGTCAGAAATTCCTAAATAGACATGTCATAAATACCTAAATAGGTCTATCATAAATTCCTAAATAGGCCTGTAAGAAATTCCTAAATAGGCCTGTAAGAAATTCTTAACACTGACTCCAGACGTGGAATCTAAGACCTGCGTACACTTTAAGACAGCATGTCAGGGCTGTAGAGACAGATGGACCCTGTCTTAAAGCTACATCTGGCTCAAATGATTTTCACAAAGTTATTTAAACATTTCTTTTTACAATAGTTTAAATGATTTGAAATGTTCATAGACGCATGATTTATTGTAATGATATAACTCACTGTCTAGCAAACTATAACGTTCATAGACGCATGATTTATTGTAATGATATAACTCACTGTCTAGCAAACTATAACGTTCATAGACGCATGATTTATTGTAATGATATAACTCACTGTCTAGCAAACTATTTATAATGTTCATAGATGCATGATTTATTGTAATGATATAACTCACTGTCAAGCAAACTGTAACGTTCATAGACGCATGATTTATTGTAATGATATAACTCACTGTCAAGCAAACTATAACGTTCATAGACGCATGATTTATTGTAATGATATAACTCACTGTCTAGCAAACTATTTATAATGTTCATAGATGCATGATTTATTGTAATGATATAACTCACTGTCTAGCAAACTATAACGTTCATAGACGCATGATTTATTGTAATGATATAACTCACTGTCTAGCAAACTATAACGTTCATAGACGCATGATTTATTGTAATGATATAACTCACTGTCTAGCAAACTATAACGTTCATAGACGCATGATTTATTGTAATGATATAACTCACTGTCTAGCAAACTATAACGTTCAAAGATGCATGATTTATTGTAATGATATAACTCACTGTCTAGCAAACTATAACGTTCATAGACGCATGATTTATTGTAATGATATAACTCACTGTCTAGCAAACTATAACGTTCAAAGACGCATGATTTATTGTAATAATATAACTCACTGTCTAGCAAACTATAACGTTCATAGACGCATGATTTATTGTAATGATATAACTCACGGTCTAGCAAACTATAACGTTCATAGACGCATGATTTATTGTAATGATATAACTCACTGTCAAGCAAACAGCCAAAATGTTGAGATTGGAGATATTCTTTCTCTCTCATAAAACCAGATATAGGTGTGGCCCAACCCTCACCCAACACTTGGGTCCACTGTAGATCTACCTGGAGAGGGAAACATAGCTTGTGATGGGGTGTCCAATCACAGATCACTAGCCACAAGACAAAAGCTCAAGAAAGAAAAAGAACCCACCATTCCAATCTCTACAGATGGGAGAGTGGCGGCCTCTGCTTTAGCTGCTTCACGTTTGTTCTCTGGGACTGTCAGCTCACGGATGTCTTGTAGTACGCCCAGGGGAACCACATCCTTAGGGGAACAAGAAATTTGTTTTATGTAGGGGAACAAGAAATTTGTTTTATGTGCTAATGGTAGAACCACATCCTTTAGGGGAACAAGAAATTTGTTTTATGTAGGGGAACAAGAAATTAAGTTTTATGTAGGGGAACAAGAAATTTGTTTTATGTAGGGGAACAAGAAATTTGTTTTATGTAGGGGAACAAGAAATTTCTTTTATGTAGGGGAACAAGAAATTTCTTTTATGTAGGGGAACAAGAAATTTGTTTTATGTAGGGGAACAAGAAATTAGTTTTATGTAGGGGAACAAGAAATTTGTTTTATGTGCTAATTGTAGAACCACATCCTTTAGGGGAAAAAGAAACTAGTTTTATGTGCTAATTGTAGAACATGCATTTGGACTTACATTTTTAGAGAGGAGCTGGACAACCTCTTGGACACATTCATCTATTGAGAGTTCCCCCGCCTTGAGTTTAACATCGGGGTGTAGGGGCTCCTCATAGGGCTGATCAACTCCAGTGAAGCCTGGTGGTTTTTTAATACAATCAGAGTTTAGCCATCAAATAACCAGGGTTTAGCCATCAAAATAACCAGTGTTCCACTGTTAAACAGAGTTTAGCCATCAAATAACCAAGGTTTAACCATTTAAATTTAACATAGTTTAACCATCAAATAACTACTGTTCCACCATTAAACAGAGTTTAGCCATCAAATAACCAGGGTTTAACTATTAAACAACCAGGGTTTAGCAATTAAACCGGGTTTGGCAAACAATTTAAAAGGTTTTTATACTGTTTAAAGATTTTCAATGTTCATTTTAACAATGGCTTTAGCTAGTGAAAAAACACCTCAAATATTTAGAACCATAATGAACACAATCAGTTTCTATTTACCTTGGCTCTACTGACTTGAGGAATAGAAAGGTGCCTAAGAGAGGTTTCATTTAGTTTTTTACACTTGAACACAATATGTAAGCTTGCCCCTCAATAATCTCTAACTAAATCTGTAAATAAAACATTAAAAAAAAACCCGACCTTTAATCAAGCCAGCCCTGGCCTTCTTGTAAAGTCCTTTTACATCTCTTTTTTCACAAATGTCAATGGGCGTGTCAACATGACACTCAAAAAATTTCAGCCCCGCCTTCTCATGCAGTTCTCTGGCATTGTCACGGTCCTGAGGAGAGTAAAGAGTGGGTGTGTATCAGATGTGCAACACTGTTACATATAACCAACACAATTAGCAGAGATATTGAGAGTAAAGAGTGGGTGTGTATCAGATGTGCAACACTGTTACATATAACCAACACAATTAGCAGAGATATTGAGAGTAGAGAGTGGGTGTGTATCAGATGTGTAACACTGTTACATATAACCAACACAATTAGCTGAGAGTAAAGAGTGGGTGTGTATCAGATGTGCAACACTGTTACATATAACCAACACAATTAGCTGAGATATTGAGAGTAAAGAGTGGGTGTGTATCAGATGTGCAACACTGTTACATATAACCAACACAATTAGCAGAGATATTGAGAGTAAAGAGTGGGTGTGTATCAGATGTGCAACACTGTTACATATAACCAACACAATTAGCTGAGAGTAAAGAGTGGGTGTGTATCAGATGTGCAACACTGTTACATATAACCAACACAATTAGCTGAGATATTGAGAATAAAGAGTGGGTGTGTATCAGATGTGCAACACTGTTACATATAACCAACACAATTAGCAGAGATATTGAGAGTAGAGAGTGGGTGTGTATCAGATGTGCAACACTGTTACATATAACCAACACAATTAGCAGAGATATTGAGAGTAAAGAGTGGGTGTGTATCAGATGTGCAACACTGTTACATATAACCAACACAATTAGCAGAGATATTGAGAGTAAAGAGTGGGTGTGTTTCAGATGTGTAACACTGTTACATATAACCAACACAATTAGCTGAGAGTAAAGAGTGGGTGTGTATCAGATGTGCAACACTGTTACATATAACCAACACAATTAGCAGAGATATTGAGAGTAAAGAGTGGGTGTGTTTCAGATGTGCAACACTGTTACATATAACCAACCTAATTAGCAGAGATATTGAGAGTAAAGAGTGGGTGTGTTTCAGATGTGCAACACTGTTACATATAACCAACACAATTAGCAGAGATATTCATTTTATTGTCATTGTTGAAAACACTCAGAGAAAAGCTGGCATTAGATTACTACACTACCCCTTATGATAGCTACCTGGAATGGGATAAGCACATGCAATGCCATCTGTCTAAATAAGCAAACAAGGTGAAGACTGAGGGCAGTACTTACAAACTGGGGGCAGTACTTAGAGACTGAGGGCAGTACTTACAGTCGGAGGGCAGTACTTAGAGACTGAGGGCAGTACTTACAGACTGAAAGTAGTACTTAGAGACTGAGGGCAGTACTTACAGACTGAAAGCAGTACTTAGAGACTGAGGGCAGTACTTACAGACTGAAAGCAGTACTTAGAGACTGAGGGCAGTATTCACAGACTGAGGGCAGTACTTACAGACTGAGGGCAGTACTTACAGACTGAAAGCAGTACTTAGAGACTGAGGGCAGTACTTACAGACTGAAAGCAGTACTTAGAGACTGAGGGCAGTATTCACAGACTGAGGGCAGTACTTACAGACTGAAAGCAGTACTTACAGACTGAAAGCAGTACTTACAGACTGAAAGCAGTACTTAGAGACTGAGGGCAGTACTTACAGACTGAAAGCAGTACTTAGAGACTGAGGGCAGTACTTACAGACTGAGGGCAGTACTTACAGCTCTGAAGGGACTAATGAAAGCAGTGATGCAAACGATGCCTCCATCAGCAAACAGTTTGGCCACCTCAGATATACGACGGATGTTTTCTTCACGGTCTTCTTGAGAGAAGCCAAGGTTCTTGTTGAGACCAGTGCGGACATTGTCTCCATCCAGGCTACATGTGGAAGAAATCTTTGAGTTAAATATTGGCTACACACCAGCTAAAGATACCAAAGGGCCAGGTGTTTGTCTATCTGGTCTGATCTATGATAGTCTGAATTCTGTTTTTAATCAGATAATAATTCGATTCAGTTACCTATTTAAAATTCTGAAAATGACTAGTTGATATAGCAATTATGAGGCATATTGATAAAAAAATGACTAGAACTAAAACCAGAATAATCTAACTAAAGAAGAGAACTGACCAGTAGGCTGGTATCCCCTGACCCACCAGGTACTCCTCTAGAGCGAAGGATATGGTTGTCTTGCCTGCCCCAGACAGCCCTGTCAGCCACACGGTACAGCCACGAAACCCACCCTTCTGTCCTACAGCTTTACCACGCTTGTCACGGGACACGTGGTGCTCCTGGAAGGCCACGTTGGTGGCCCGCTGGACTGCCTGCAAGACAAGTTATCTCATCATTCACTGCCTGCAAGACAATTTATCTCATCATTCACTGTCTGCAAGACAATTTATCTCATCATTCACTGCCTGCAAGACAATTTATCTCATCATTCACTGTCTGCAAGACAATTTATCTCATCATTCACTGCCTGCAAGACAATTTATCTCATCATTCACTGCCTGCAAGAAAATTTATCTCATCATTCACTGCCTGCAAGACAATTTATCTCATTCACTGCCTGCAAGACAATTTATCTCATCATTCACTGCCTGCAAGAAAATTTATCTCATCATTCACTGCCTGTAAGACAATTTATCTCATCATTCACTGACTGTAAGAGTCCATTCATGGGCTGGAGGCAAAAGTACCCAATGAAAAAAGGTTTGGTTGGAAGGACGAAGCTAAATGGTGATGTAGTTGGCAGTGCCAACAAAAGTTAAATTACAAGCAAGTGTTGAATGACCCCTCAGCAATATTTACTCTACGCCAGGTAAAAACAACAAGTCCCATCAACATAATGTCTAGGCACAAGTCCATGTTATTCTATCATCACCTGCACACCTTGCCTAACACAACAATTAGATAATTAGCCTTAGTCCCAGTAGTTCTAATAATGTAAGTCAATTAGTGATACAATCAAAGACAAAGGGTTTTGAGTCATTCTCTAGTCTTTCTGCTCTTGTAAGCCAATTAGTGATACATGCAAAGACAAAGGGTTTTGAGTCATTCTCTAGTCTTTCTTGTCTGCATGGGAGGATCTCAGTTTGTCTTGTGTTTATTTTTACCCATCAATTTTATTTAAAACATGCGCCCTCAATCTGTGAAGGGTTGGGGGGAATGGGGCAAGTCAAAGAACACGTCCCCCATGGGACAAGTCAAAGAACACGTCCCCCATGATCCCATGTCCCCATGATCCCATGAGCTCTATGAATTGAGTTGACTAGCCAAACATCAGGGTAAAAAACTATAAAAAAAAACAGTTGAAACAACGAGATAGAAAACAAGCTGCATTTCCCATGTGTTGCCTGACCATCTGAATGCTGTGTGCAAACAAGCCTGTAGCAATGTAGCAAACTACTCAACAAACAAGCCTGTAGCAATGTAGCAAACTACTCAACAAACAAGCCTGTAGCAATGTAGCAAACTACTCAACAAACAAGCCTGTAGCAATGTAGCAAACTACTCAACTAACAAGCCTGTAGCAATGTAGCAAACTACTCAACATAGATGCTATCAATACTAGGTTCTGTAACAGGCCCATGTGTTACAGTGTTGAACCATTCATACACACCATGGGGATGCAACTGGATATCAATAACATGTTTGAGATTGATTCCCTTGGTCTAGGGGTGACCACAGATTGTTAGACCTATCCCTGCCCCACCCACAAAGCTAATCCACTCGTGGCATAATGGCACTATCTAACCTTAACACCACCAAACAAGACACCTTTAAACATTTGAATCGTCACATTATTATTACCTGAGGTGGGCAGGATGATATGGTTGTCCAACTCATATATTTTGGTGTGTGTGTGTGTGTGAGAGGATACTTGGTGTGTGTGTGTGAGGGTACTTGGTGTGTGAGGGTATTTGGTGTGTGTAAGGGTACTTGGTGTGTGTGTGAGGGTACTTGGTGTGTGTGTGTGAGGGTACTTGGTGAGTGTGTGTGAGGGTACTTGGTGAGTGTGTGAGGGTACTTGGTGTGTGTGAGGGTATATGGTGTGTGTGTGAGGGTATTTGGTGTGTGTAAGAGTACTTGGTGTGTGTAAGGGTACTTGGTGTGTCTGTGTATGTGAGGGTATATGGTGTGAAAGGGTACTTGGTGTGTGTGTGAGGGTACTTGGTGTGTGTGTGTGTGTGTGAGGGTACTTGGTGTGTGTGTGAGGGCACTTGGTGTGTGTGCGGGTACTTGGTATGTGTGTGAGGGTACTTGGTGTGTGTGTGTGAGGGTATTTGGTCTGTGTGAGGGTACTAGGTGTGTGTGAGGGCACTTGGTGTGTGTGTGAGGGTAATTGGTGTGTGTGTGAGGGTACTTGGTGTGTGTGAGGGTACTTGGTGTGTGGTGTGTGAGGGCACTTGGTGTGTGTGTGAGGGTACTTGGTGTGTGTGAGGGTATATGCTGTGTGAGGGCACTTGGTGTGTGGTGTGTGAGGGCACTTGGTGTGTGTGTGAGGGCACTTGGTGTGTGTGTGAGGGCACTTGGTGTGTGTGTGAGGGCACTTGGTGTGTGGTGTGTGAGGGCACTTGGTGTGTGTGAGGGTACTTGGTGTGTGTGAGGGTATATGCTGTGTGAGGGCACTTGGTGTGTGGTGTGTGAGGGCACTTGGTGTGTGTGTGAGGGTACTTGGTGTGTGTGAGGGTATATGCTGTGTGAGGGTACTTGGTGTGTGTGTGAGGGTACTTGGTGTGTGTGTGAGGGTACTTGGTGTGTGTGTGAGGGTATTTGGTGTGTGCAAGGGTACTTGGTGTGTGTAACAGTACTTGGTGTGTGTGAGGGCACTTGGTGTGTGTGTGAGGGCACTTGGTGTGTGTGAGGGCACTTGGTGTGTGTGAGGGCACTTGGTGTGTGTGTGAGAGCACTTGGTGTGTGGTGTGTGAGGGCACTTTGTGTGTGTGTGAGGGTACTTTCTGTGTGTGTAAGGGTACTTGGTGTGTGTGAGGGTACTTGGTGTGTGTGAGGGTACTTGGTGTGTGTAACAGTACTTGGTGTGTGTGAGTGTACTTGGTGTGTGTGTGAGGTTACTTGGTGTGTGTGTGTGTGTGAAGGTACTTGGTGTGTGTGTGTGAGGGTACTTGGTGTGTGTGTGTGTGAGGTGTGTGTGAGGGCACTTGGTGTGTGTGAGGGCACTTGGTGTGTGGTGTGTGAGGGCACTTGGTGTGTGTGAGGGTACTTGGTGTGTGTGAGGGTACTTGGTGTGTGTGAGGGCACTTGGTGTGTGTGTGAGGGCACTTGGTGTGTGTGTGAGGGCACTTGGTGTGTGTGTGAGGGCACTTGGTGTGTGTGTGAGGGCACTTGGTGTGTGTCTGAGGGTACTTGGTGAGTGTGTGAGGGTACTTGGTGTGTGTGAGGGCACTTGGTGTGTGTGAGGGCACTTGGTGTGTGTGAGCACTCGGTGTGTGGTGTGTGAGGGCACTTGGTGTGTGTAAGGGTACATGTTGCAATACAAAATTATTTGTGCCGCTAAGAACATTTGTAATTCATAGGCGATACAAGGAGCTTACTGTTAAAAAAACAACAACACTATAGTTTTTAAAGAAAACATCTATGCAAATATTTTCACATCTGTAGCTGATGTAAATAATTTTACATCTGTATGCTGTATACAATTAAAAGACCCCCCCCCCCCCCCCCAAGATGATTGTAAACATCCAATTAGAATCAATTGTTGCATGATGTGAGTGGTGTGTGGACGCGTGTGGAGGCCAGGTGTTACACGTGCAACTGTACACGACCTTTCTAATATTACCAGCACAGAACAATTGAGCACACCTCCATCAGACACGCCTTGTACGTGCCACGAGTTTGGGCAACACGGCCAAGTGGTTGGTGCTTGAACGTCACCTGACTAAATCAACCAGTTACCCAAACGTCACCTGACTAAATCAACCACTTACTCAAACGTCACCTGACTAAATCAACCACTTACCCAAACGTCACCTGACTAAATCAACCACTTACCCAAACGGCACCTGACAAAATCAACAAGTTACCCAAACTTCACCTTACTAAATCAACCACTTACCCAAACGTCACCTGACTAAATCAACCACTTACCCAAACGGCACCTGACAAAATCAACAAGTTACCCAAACGTCACCTTTACTAAATCAACCAGTTACCCTAACGTCAGCTGACTAAATCAACCACTTACCCAAACGTCACCTGACTAAATCAACCACTAACCCAAACGTCACCTGACTAAATCAGCCACTTACCAAAACGTCACCTGACTAAATCAGCCACTTACCAAAACGTCACCTGACAAAATCAACAAGTTACCCAAACGTCACCTTACTAAATCAACCACTAACCCAAACTTCACCTTACTAAATCAACCACTTACCCAAACGTCACCTGACTAAATCAACCACTTACCCAAACGGCACATGACAAAATCAACCACTTACCCAAACGGCACCTGACAAAATCAACAAGTTACCCAAACGTCACCTTACTAAATCAACCAGTTACCCTAACGTCACCTGACTAAATCAACCACTTACCCAAACGGCACATTACTAAATCAACCATTTACCCAAACGGCACCTGACAAAATCAACAAGTTACCCAAACGTCACCTTACTAAATCAACCAGTTACCCAAACGTCACCTGACTAAATCAACCACTTACCCAAACGGCACCTGACTAAATCAACCACTAACCCAAACGGCACCTGACAAAATCAACCACTTACCCAAACGGCACATTACTAAATCAACCACTTACCCAAACGTCACCTGACAAAATCAACAAGTTACCCAAACGTCACCTTACTAAATCAACCAGTTACCCAAACGTCACCTGACTAAATCAACCACTTACCCAAACGGCACCTGACTAAATCAACCACTAACCCAAACGGCACCTGACTAAATCAACCACTTACCCAAACGGCACATTACTAAATCAACCACTTACCCAAACGTCACCTGACAAAATCAACAAGTTACCCAAACGTCACCTTACTAAATCAACCAGTTACCCTAACGTCACCTGACAAAATCAACAAGTTACCCAAACGTCACCTGACAAAATCAACAAGTTACCCAAACGTCACCTGACTAAATCAACCACTTACCCAAACGTCACCTGACTAAATCAGCCACTTACCCAAACGTCACCTGACTAAATCAACCAGTTACCCAAACGTCACCTGACTAAATCAACCACTTACCCAAACGTCACCTGACTAAATCAACCATTTACCCAAACGTCACCTGACTAAATCAACCACTTACCCAAACGTCACCTGACTAAATCAACCATTTA